TCTCTCCCTCTCCCCCTCTCTCTCTCCCTCTGCCTCTCTCTCACTCCCCCTCTCTCCCTCTCCTTCTTCTCTCTCCCTCTCCCCCCTCTCTCCCTTTGCCTCTCTCTCCCTCTCCCCCATCACTCCCTCTGCCTCTCTCCCCTCTCCCTCTGCCTCTCCCCCCTCTGCCTCTCTCTCCCTCTTCCCCCTTTCTCCCTCTGCCTCTCCTCTCTCTCCCTCTGCCTCTCCCCCCTCTCTCTCCCTCTACCCCCCTCCCCAGCCTCCTCCTCCTGTCTCTACCCCGAGCCTGAGTCCAGCCAGAGAGAGAGAGATCAGCAATATATACATACACATGTAGTATATGTATAGCCAGATACACTCGTAAGGGGTTATTAGACGAGGAGGAGGGGGTGGGGGGAGGAAAGTAACGAAATAAAATGGCGTCACGATCAACCGGGGAGTTTCTTTTGACCGAGGGGCGAATGCGAAAGGCAGGGAGAGAGGGAGAGAGGGAGAGAGAGAGACGGGTTGTCTCTGGGAGGGTGACTGAGCCATGAAAGTAGGCCGTGGATCCAATGCATTCATATTATCTCTGCTGTTCTCTGCCCCCCCCTCCCCCCACCCCCCTCACTCCCGCTCTCTTTTAATTAAGTCAAAGAAACACCTTTTAAAAAAAATTGTACTTTATTGTTTTAATAATTATTAGAATAATAATAATTAATAATGCGCCGGATGCTTGATAATAACGTGTCCCTCTGTAAACCTGTGTGATGTGAGTGGTGTTTGAGAGAAGGGAGGTGTTAAAATGTGACAGGGCTGAAACTGATCACATTGAATTTGACTTGACTGAAAGCCCTGTTTATATGTGTATGTGTGTGTATTGTGTGTATGTGTGTGTGTTGTGTGTATGTATTTGTGTGTGTGTGTATTTGTGTGTGTATGAATGTGTGTGAGTGTGTATGTCTCTCTCTCTCTCACTCACTCTCTCCCTCACTCTCTCTCTCTCTCTCTCACACTCACTCTCACACACAGAGAGCAAAATAGCCATCGGACGCCAGAACGCAACGACACACGTGATGGGCAGCGTCATCAACACTTTACGAACGGTGCAAAATACTTGGAAGTTGCTCCGGGGGGTAAATGTGTTTGGAGCAGAAGGGAGAGGGGGGGAGGGGAGTGGGGGTGAGGGGAGTGGGGGGAGATCAGGCTACTCCCCCCCCCCACCAGGGGAAACCCAAGACATGTTCAGATGGGTTGTTCCTGTGGTGGTGGTGGGGGGGAGTGGTGGGGGGGGAGTGGGGGGCGAAGGATAATAAAAATTCCGTCGTTGAGACGTCTCAAAGCGCTTCACGGGATACGCTGTCAACTGGAGTGTTCTTGCGGGCGAAACGCGGCGGCCAGTTTGCGCACATCAGCGTCTGTCCGCAAACCGTCGTGGATTGAGCGACCAAATTATTGCTATTTTTGCAATTTCTTTTATGTTTTGAACGGGGTTTGTTTACCCCCGGAAAACAGATTAATAAGTCTACTTTCCGATTGTTATCACATTACACTGCACACACACACACACGCGCGGGTGAATTTATTTTAAAGGTAATATAAATTACAGTATAAACTGCACAGCACATCTCTCTCAATCGTTCGACATAATATAACTAACTGTTTAGACATAATATAACCAACTGGTTCCCACTTGCTCTCCAGACTCTAACCAGCGACACATCACATTGAAATGCACCATAAAAAAATAATAATTTGGTCACTCAAATCCACGACCGTTTGTGGGGACACTGCTGTGCGCAATTGGCTGCCGCGTTTCGCCCACAAAATACACAGTCAATTCCCTTTGCAGTATATTCTGTGATGCGCTCTGAGACGTCTCGAAGACGTGATGAGGCGCTGTGTCAAATGAAAGGTTGCTGAAGATTATCATTACATCAAAACCAAGGATTATTATTATTACCAGTGCTCTGCAGACTCTGCAACCAGCCACACATCAGTTTGAAATGCATCATAAATTGTCCATACCTTGTTTTATACATAAACACACACACACACACGGGGTTACTTTTCATCGCAAAGCAAAAGTGGGTGTTTGTCTGCAGCTTCTGCTGTCTGTCTGTCTGTCTGTCTGTCTGTCTGTCTGTGTCCGTTTGTCACTGAGCCCATTTGGGGCTGAACTGAGCAGAACAGAGCTCAGAGGATGGGCTGTGCTGTGAGACTGGAGAATGTGTGTGTGTGTTTGAAATCAGCGCCTTTGTACCTGTTATTCTTGATTCCAATCGTCCCTTTCTGCTGAGTGGCTGCTGATCGCTTTCTCTCCAAGAGGCTGGCGGATGGTCATGTCGCCCTCTCCTGTTGCCAGGTTATTTGTTTGTTGATTTCCAAGGGATTTCCCCACCCCCCACTCTCTCGCTCTCTCCTCTTTTATGTCTCGGAATATTAACACAGCGGAGGATTCTCTCCGACACCAACACCCTGATGCCGCCCCAGAACGTTACCCACAAACTAATCAATCATTGTGCATTATTCCATCAGTTCCTTCTCGCATCGATTCCTTATTGCAAACTCGCTCACCATCGCACTCATTTAAATTGTCTTTTTTTTCCTCTAACCCTGAGAAGTGCACCCGTCAGCAGCAAGGCAGGAAATGAAGAGTACAAAAAAATGTTAGTTCAAAACTGTCAGATATTTTAATAATATTGTGGTTATTATTGGTCCTCACTAAAGATAATAATAATAATCCTTGCATTTGATATAGCGCCTTATCAAGTTTTTTTTTAGACCTCTCAAAGCACTTGACAGACAATGTAAAGTGAATTGACCATATATTTTTCTGTGGGCGAAGCGCGGCAGCCAATTGCGCACAGCAGCGTCCCACAGTCGTGGATTGAGTGACCACATTTTTTTTATATAAAGATTCATGATAAAGAAAATTGATGACAGAGTAAACCAAGATATTGTTCTCAGCCGTAGCGACACATGCCTCAGAAATCAATTTTTGCACGTTATGTATGTGAAAACGCATGGAGAATATTATTTAAGGTTCGATAAGACATTAATCAGTAAAGTGGGAGTCACTACTGTAATGTAATGGAATGAAAAAATAACAAGTCTTAAAATTAATAATTATAATAAATGGTGAACAGGAAAGCTCAAGTGCTCTAATACAATCAGATCCTTCAGGCTTAGTTTTTGGTCCATATCTCTGCCAGCCTCTCTCTCTCTCACTCTGTTGATTCTGTTTCACAGTTAATGTTTAGATTATTAAGGCTGAGGTGGGTTACTTATCTGGGTGTTAAGTAAGATAAGTAACCCTAGGTGTTAGTGGATTGGCAGATCACTTTTCTGGGAGTAAAAATTCCTTCAAAATAAATAATAAAAAATAATAATTTATAATAATAACTTGATCACTCAGTCCACGACTGTTTTATGGGAGGGACACTGCTGTGCGCAGTTGGCTCTCCAGCACTGTTGGGCTGTCCTCCTGATATGAAAGGCGCTATATAAATGCAATTTGTTGTTTGTCTGTGAGTTTGGGGAATATCGGTAGGGTTTTCTTAAGAGGTTTGGTGTCATGGTTGAGGCCAATCCCAATCCCACCATCATCCATTGCTCTGGAATTATGAATAGCGGTATTTGGAAATAAGGTGTGGTGTATTGAGTAGAGAACAAAGAAGCTGAACCACAGCTGCCCACGTGAATAGGGATAGACACGTTACATCATTGAAAATGTGCTGCTTTTACGCAAGGAGATTTGATCTCTGGGCTTAGCTACCTGTAAGGTATATTTAGCTAAGTATGTCAATAAAATTCCTCACACCGTCCACAAAGTTGTCATTCGTGAAGTTGCGATAAATTATGGAACCTTATTAAATCTCGGCAACAATTTTTATGCGTGGCATCTTCTTATTAATTGGTTTTCTGGTGTCATTTGGACACTAGAAATTGGGGAGATCCCAAGGTTGATCAAAAATGCTTATACCACAGCATCCAATAGAGTCCAGAGACTTCTTAGCCTAGTATCAGATTTATTCTGTGAACAAATTTGAACTTGTCAAGAAACACACACAGACACACACACGCAACCACACACATGGTTTCAATTCCATAGCAATGCTGCCTGAAACATCTCTCGTCGGCTTTGTAATCTGATGGGACAGCTCTGGCACAGTGATATTGCAATGTCGACTGGTTTCTGTTGATAAATACATGTAGTGACTTGTGTTTTGCATTTGGAGAATATGCTGGTACAAAATTGAGATTACTAAATGCGATAGACAGTGAGTGCACTGCCAGTAATATATTTTATATATATATATATATACATGGAACTCTAGAAACTAGCTTGGTGACTCAGCACTACATTTAGGAATGAACCATGGGGTTGAGGGTGGATATGACCTGTAGTTGGTCATGGTTAAGCTGTAAGAGAGACTGGGAAAGGGGAAACCATTCCAGAGAGGGAAGGGCAATGTTGGGGCGGAGGAAGGAAGGAAAATCAACCAGTTTCTTGCACAAACATCCTTATTGCCAGTTACAGAGGAGTAACGGGATAACGGCTGGGAGCAGGTCTCCGACATCCCCTTTGGGGGCAAAGGAGGATTGCAAGGGAGAGAGAAAAGATTTAAATGAGAAAAGCTGATCGTTAGATACTAAACTCCGTTCAAAGCGACCAAAGTTTTGCAGTCAGCAAGTTAAGATTGGTAGGACATCTTGCCTTGTGCGCGTGTCTGTTTTTTTTTACCTCCTGTGAATTTTGTACTCAGCAAGATGAGGGGTGAACATTTTGTACTCTGCGTAGAATTGAGCATTCCTAGTCTCGGGAGCGTTCCTGTTGAGTGAATACATACATTATTAGATTAGCAGAGTTTTGGGCTGCTTCGGATCCCTCCATCAAGTGAGTAACTGGTGTTACAGTTGGATACTGAAGAACAATGAACCCCAACGTTGAATTGGAGTCCAAATCCAAAACAGTAACCGAAACAAAACAAGGCAACTATGGGCACTGCATTCGGTTGTTATGGTTAGAAGTTTTTATTTCTAAGATGTCACAGGGGAATAACTCTTCTTGCTCTGGACGCAGTGTTGATTTGGTTTCTGATTCTGTTTCCACAATGACGTTCATTGTCTGGCAGTACTCATCTGCAACAAAAAAAACCTCCCTTCTAATCTCCATGATACACCTGACAAATGGACCAAGGTGGTCCTGCAAACTGATGTTTGCATATCCCAGTGTTATTTATATACAGAGATAAATAAAAGAACTTGGACGAGAAGTGGCCATTCGTTCCAACAAGGCCGGAACTTTCACAAGACACGCCAATCTGATCTACTGTGAACCCCACCATAATCCCGTGGGTGACCTAGAGAACGGTCAGGTTGGTGAGGTGCCCAGTGCCCTTAGAACCATGATTGATTGTTTTCAGGAGAGAAGGGATAAGAATCGGAGCGGGAAAATATTTTAAAACCACATATTAAAAAAGATAAAGTAGATGTATTCTGAGTGGAGAGATTGGACAAGGAAGTGGGTAACAAAACCAGATGATACAAAATAAATCAGCACAGGAAAGAGATAGGAAGGAACTTAAGCGGCAATATTGTATTTACATGAAGTGTATTTACATTGAGAGAGAATGATGTCGGCAAAGAAGCTCACTGCTGAAGTTAAAAGATAAATATTGCAGGGATTAAATGAGGACAGTTACAGTGAAGGTAGGGTTCATGAGTGTCAAGTGCATAGAAACAGATCTGTTAATATATCGAATTAGCTGTGATGTTGGCCTACAAATTCTATTATCCTGCCAACATTTATTGTCTTAGCTCATACTAAGACAATAAATAAACTTGAGGCCCCGAGAATTGCTGGGGCCCTACAAAGGGTCAGTGCCTTTGTCTCAAAGGGAGAAATTACCAAAATAATCCCTTTTCGCAGAAAGGAGCAATGCACAACATAATAGGTGGCGACACATCGTCAAAGCCATTACACTTAGCAACCAAAGCAGTTTCTCATCCCTGGAACTTGGACACCTTGTCCATCAACAACCAAGTGAGCGATCAGAAACTCATCACTAGGAGGAATTATGAGTGCAAAGTTGTGCCCTACGACCCAGCGTACTGTCACTTTAACGTACTGCATTTGAAAACATGTGAATGAATGAGTTCAGAGAGAACAAGTCTAAGAAAGAACTTAAGACAGATTTATTTTCGATATAGGGAAAGGAACAAAGGCCATTTTGTACAGTGTACCTCACTCGCAAGTGTTATTACGTGCGCTATTCTTCACAGAAGAAGTTGAAAGTTAAGCAACAACAATCTAATAATATTTCCACTAATTTCCCCTCCACCCTTCCCCCAACAACATTTTTTTAAAGAATGCATGGCCTCAAAACATGATCCTTTTGAGTCACAGCAACAATTTTTTGTACATGGGCCGAGACCCGCAAGCCGAATTACCTTTAGTAAAGTCAATTCACGTTGAGTGTGTGCTGAAGTTCTTTTTTTTTTAAAAACACGGACAGGGAAAAAAAAAAGAAGTTACTTGGGGCCTCAAGCAACCGTTCTACTCCTAGACAGAAACTAGAATCGAAAAACTGTGGTGTCAGCCTGGCCCGGTGAGTGCCACTCACCTCAGATTCAGAAGTTTGTGGGTCCCAAGTCGGGTCTTGACAAGATTGACGCGACATTACGTGACTTGGTACGGTTTAGGCTGATGCTCCATTGTTGGCAGGGCTATCCTTCGGATGAGACATTAAACCAAGGCCCGGCTGCCTGTTCAGGTGGATGTTAAAGATTCCATGCCACTACTCGAAAAGAGAAGAGAGTTTGTCCTGGTGTCCTGACCAACAAATCCCCCCCCAAGTGAAAACGAACGTTCCCTTCATGGCTGGTTGTAAGGTATTGCGGTGGGCAAATTCGCTGCCACAATCACCTACTAAGAACACAGTCACTACACTTTACAGTAAATCCTGGGGAGGCATCCTCCAGATGTAAATGCGGAGTGTATTTTTATCATCAGGCAAGTCTTGCTTTCTTGCTTCCTTTCATCTGAGAGAGCGACTGAAACAACAACAAAAACAGACGGATTGAATGAACAACATTAGGATTTACTCCCTGAAACTATTTTCATTCAACCATTCAACAAATAAAATGGAAGCATAAAGCTTGCGAACACACCAGATAAACATACAGATGAAAATCCCCATTATACGTGTTGCTATGATACACGTTCAAAGGTATTATCAGTTAAAACCTAAGTGGGGATAAGGTTTGGGCAAACTGCTGTATGTATGCTATTCACTGTTAGAGCTTATAATTCTGGGAGGGAAAAGAATCCTAACCCTAAATTAACCAGTAACATTTATTTTCTTTTAAAGGGGGTTCACAAAGGTGTGAGGTTCAATGTGTTCCTCTCTAATAAGGCAATTCCACGCCATGCTATTCTCTCTGCAACACTAACCCAACCCCTAAGCTATCACCCATATCATCTGATCCTTGATTTGAGAGGACACTTGATAAATGGCTCAAGCTTCATTCTCATGGCTTATAATGTCATCTCCTCGTGTACGTCCTTTGTCCTCTTGCTCGGATAACAATAATAAAACAAGGGAGGCACTATTCCTTGGTATTTCGTCCACAAAATATACAGTCAATTCACTTTACAGTATATTCTGTGAAGTGCTTTGAGACATCTCGAAGACGTGTTAAGGCTCTATGTCAAATGCAAAGATTATTATCAATTAATCTATTATTCAGAGTAGATCAGAAAAGTAACGATTTAACCTTTCCCCCAGTTAAACCCAGAGAAATGCAATGGGAGAAATGTACTCGAAGGACAAAATGGATACGATTTTAAATAGAAAATTTGGAAGTGTGTATTTCAATCTTGGGACTATAAGAAAGACACTATAAGAATGCAGATGGTACTGTACTCACTGTTCCTTGTTGATAGAAATGTGGGGCTAACTCCACCAACCACGAAGATTCGATTGCGGTCACATCCCTCATAAAGTATCTGGACGTCTGCACAACCTCATTGAATACAACCCTGAAGACAAGGGAAGGGAGCGGAAGACAACACTGAACCATCTCGAAACCACACCCGATTTATTGCAAAAGATAAGTTTTCTTTGTTAAATTTTTTTTTACAATCTCACTGAATTAAACTCACCACTTTGGTTCCTTCTCTCCATACAGCACTGAGGTGGGATGGATGTGCAACTCATAGTCATCTCGAATTGTCCTATGAACCACAGATTTTCAAATGTAACTCATCAGCCGTGTGTAATTTGGGATGTGATAGAAAATGCTGGTGTGTAGACAACATCTTTTAAAAAGGAATCTTTTTAGAGTTACGGAAAGGGTAGAAGGGAAAGTTTCTTTTTTAATATGGTTTCATTAAAACGAGCGATAAATAGGTGCATTATATACCGAGGAATATGGGGTATGTGAAAAAATGTATATATTTAAGTCTGCACTACATCAGGAAGTGTTGTGTGAAACGATGAGTATTAGATCAACAACAAAACTAACAAACTTGCATTTGTAATAGTGCCCTTCACATCGGATAATGCCTCAGAGCGCTGAGTATTGTATGAAGCGTTGTAAATCAGGGTGCATTATAGTGCGGATGGGGGATGGGGTCACAGCAAGGTCACCAGAGAAAAGAATCAAAAACTGAGCTCAGCGTTACCTGTAGGCTCCAGTGTAATGAAGTTTGGCCGCATTAGCAAAAAATCCTGAAACTATACAGCGCAGGATAGGATCGGGGTCACCTGAGGAAAAAACAGAATTGTAATGTAGGCAACTTCTCTCCTTTCTAAAGGAAGGCTCTAGGCTCAGCTTAAAAATATTAGCCTTAAGCACTTGCACATTTTACTTCCCCGCCCTGAAAAAATCATGTTCATACTTCAAATACCGAATAGTTAATGAAGTCATTTAACTATTTATAAAGAAGTGTTTTCTTTTCATGTGAATCTTGAAGTCTGGGCTGTGTCACTTGCAACAACAACAACAACAACAAATTACATTTACACGGCGCCTTTCACTTTGGGAGGACATCCCAAGGCGCTGGACAGTCAGGGATTTGGGGGGTTGCGATTAGTGTTGTCCCACATTGGTTTGTGTTGGAACACTGCAATTTCACCGGTTGGAGTCAAAATGATTGTTTTGCAACGATCTATGAAATGCTTAATTTAACAATCAATTGTATTTTAATTTTTTGCATTTTATAGACCATATACCTAAACCAACTCATTTGGACAATTTAAAAATAAATATATACTTTGCTGCACCTTCACACGAGTTCTTGGGCACTTTGAATTTAGACAGTAACTTCTTCAGTTGCTCTCGGACTGTGGTGGCTCTAACAAGTCCCTTGTAGTTTAAGAAATATTTCAGACACCACTGTGAGCTTTTCTTGGCCTGCAGGATGAAAGGAAAATATTTTTAGTGATAATGTTCATCTTTAATTTCTCAAACAATTTCTCCTTTAAATACTTCACGTCAGTCTGAATTCACAGTACTAGACAGCGGCATCCAGTTTATATTAGATGAAAAGGGTTAAAGGCAGTAAGGGTCAATAAATAATCCTTGCATTTGCATTTGATATGACACCTTATCACGTCGTTGAGATCTCTCAAAGGGCATTATTACCCTCCACGAGGGTCACTATATATAAATGCAAAGTTGTTGTTGACATTGGACACGCACCTTAATGAAAGCATCATAGATGTTCAGCATCGTGATATGATCTCCCTCAGCCACCGCAAACTTTCTGTGCTCCCTGGCCTTGAGGAGCAAACAGACACAAACCGTGAGATTTACACAAGCGCTGGAGGCCTTTGTGATCATGTAATCTGTGTGAACAGTCAGCAAGTCTCGGGTCAAACAAAACAACTCAACTGAAAATTAAAGTCCCCGTATCTCCCACCCTGCCCACACCACACACTCTGTTGTTACTGTTGTAATAGCGCAGAACAGGAGAGAGCGGTGGACTGACCATTCAGCCATTCAGCCCCTTGAGCCACTTCCGCCATTCTATAAGATCATGGCTGATCTGAACTTCAACTCCAATTACCCGCCTTTGCCCCATATCCCTTGATACCCTGACCCAAGATATATCTATCCACCTCAGTCCTGAAAATGTGAATGGCCCCAGCCATAATCCACAGCCTTTTTTGGGGAGGGAGAGCGTTCTAGATTTCCGCTATCCTTTGGATGAAAACCTGCCCCTGATTTCACCCCTTAGTTCTAATTAAGATTAACATGTAGTTTGACAAAAGCTCTAAACCTACCGCTGGACCCTTCTGGTTTGGTGGCACCACAAACACATTCTGTATCTGCATCATGGCTGCGATGCTCAGGATCTCCTCCGAACAGCCAAAATTTCCTAGGATTTAAGATCATATAAAATGTTGAATCATTTTGGATCAATGAGGATACTTTCTCTCTTCCCAAGTGGCCGTGGAATTTTTAGAGCAAAATTTAGTCTGTTCAGCAGTTACACATTCACATAAGCGCAGTTCATTAACCCAGCCACTTACCCGACTCGAGTAACATTTTAGCATACATAGGATTCAGAGGAAATTCTGCCATACGCAAGCCCAGCGGGTCGGTGAGGAGGCAGTGTTCATTCAAACCTGCAACAGACACACGAGGTTCACAATGCGTAAATAAATACAACAACAATTTGCATTTATACAGCGCCCTTCACGCGGGGTAGCGTCCAGGACCGTCTGCCTGTGACGGGATATGACGTCGAGCCAGGGTGGGGAGGGGGGAAAGAGGAAGGGGGGGGAGGGGGATGTGACGATAAGCACGATCAAAAAGCAAGGCCTTTAGGCGTGATTTAACAAAAATATATGCTCTTACCTCCAAGTGCGTAAAGCAGCTCCAATGCCTGAACCATTGCCTGGGCTGGGGGAGGCTGTTGATAAAATGGTACATTTTTCTGCATCAGTTTCACACACAACACAATACAACCCCACCCCCAATAACGCTACACAAAGTATTGACGTCCATTTCCATTTGTCAAGAGAAATACGGTGTCTCGATTTTTTTTTAATGTGTTAAGCACAAGTAAAGTTGGTGTCTGTTTTTTTTAAACTGGCGTAAATCTCTGGTCGGTCTGTGTGGTAACATCTGTTTCTCAAAGAGTAGCTCACTAGCCTGCCACGTGACCGACCACATTAAATCCGTTCCGCAGAAATAATCGCTCTGGGACACCCAACAGGGGACAAACACAGATTCCAAGATTGCGGTGGATGAGGGCTCCTCTTACAGGAATTATACACGCACTTGAGTTCAGCAAATTGCTGGAATTTTTGTGTTGGAATCGCAATATTAATAATTCTGCTGCCAACATTGCTGAATGAGGAATTATGCTCCTTTAAGAGAAGGCAAAGGGATGATTACTGAACCGAAAACTCTGCAAGTAATCTGGCTGTATCCACTGTGCAAGGTAATTGAAATCAGAGGTTTCAGTGTCATATAAAAAATACGGTGGAATCAATTGATCAACCACAACCACTTGCACTTATATAGCGCCTCTCACACACCCACAGTAATGTCCCAGAGCCCTCAACTGGGAATTTTCATCCACGAAATACACAGTCAATTCACTTGAAAGTATTTCCTGTGAAGCGCTTTGAGATGGCTCGAAGACGTGATAAGGCGCTATATGAATTGCAAGGATTATTATCATTCAATGATACTGATAGGCAATAATATCTTCATGAGATAAATAGAAGTTCACAAATATTCTACAAACTGCCTACATAAAAATCAGGTGAATAATGCCTAAAGGGAGCAGTGATTGTGAATTTTGAGCTGGAGTATCACAAGGTCTTGTTCACTGCGGAGGCAAGAGGAGAAAACTGAAAATGGAGATAAATAAGCATCGCTCACAATTATTTACCAAATAACTTTCACCTGATGTTGAACTGGTGGAGGTGTGAGCCTTTTTTCCCCTCAAATATAGAATAAATAAACCCTCTCTCTTGTCTCTGTCATCTCTTACTAACCGTTTCCTTTTATGTAAACAGTGACCACCCAAATGCATACACAGACTGAACCCTTCCCACAGCACGCACTGCACAAAGCATGGGCGTGCCTCAAACTGTCACTGGAAACGTTTATAAATTATCGGCTCCCATGATAGCAGTCTTGCTCTAGGAAATGAAGCCAATCTCCGAGCTAAAAGGATAAATAGACGAACTGTTCTCAGCTCTTCATGCGTGTTCCCTCTGCAACCAATCAAGGGATTATTGCCTATTTATTACTGATAATAAATGTGAGGAAAGGACATTGCCTGGCAATGTCACAGCAAGTACTTACTGAGAGAAAATTGAACCTCAGCACATTGTCAATGCCCAAGGCTTTTAGCTGAAGGATGACAGGAGCAAGGTTACTCCTCTGCATCTCTGGCACGGTGGATTCCGACAACGTCCCAAAGGTTTCCTCTGGAACGACGAGAGCAGAAAACACTGATCAACATTTGGAGCGTGTAGGAACAACGACAACAAGAAGACCTCCGAGCAAACACAGCGAGAATTCTAGATGCCCACGGCGCTGGCTGGCCCATGGTAAACAACCTTGCCCACGCGCTCTCACCTGTACACAGTCTATAGCACTTTCCCGAACGATTGCGTCCTGCCCGTCCTGCTCGCTGGGCTGCAGACGCTCGGGAGACAGGAGCCACCACCAGGGACTCGATACCGGTTTGGGGATTGTAGGCCCGGAGTTTCACGAAGCCACAGTCGATGACGAAAACGATGCCGTTGATAGTGATCGATGTCTCGGCGATGTTCGTGGCCACAACCACCTGCGGGAAGACATGAAAGGCCATAGATTTAAGGTCGTTTGCAAAGGAACCAGCGGGGAGGCGAGGAGAATTCACCGTAAAAACTTATTTATTTATTTATTTTTAAAATCTTTTATTGACTCAGTTGTTATGGTCTGGGACGCACGGCCTGAAACGCTGCTGCCAAACAGATTCAATAACAACTTTCAAAAGGGAATTAGAGAGGTATTTGAAAAGACAAAATTTGCAAGTCCTGAAGTTCCTCTGACTCTTCCCTTTCTTCCCCACTTTCAAAACCCACGTCAAGTTTGAAACCTTTGACTGCGATTTTGACCACTACCCACCCACCCCCCCCCCTCCCCGCCTACCCCCCTGCCACGACCCTCTTCAGCTCTTGACCCACCCAGAGGATCGTGTGTCGTCTCACCTTCCTGCAGTTATGAGACACTCTCTCGAAGACTTTCATCTGATCACTGGCGGGCAGGCCTGCATACATGGGGAGCACACGGAGGTGTTTCTTCAGCCCGCTCCGTGAGAGAGCACGAGCCTGTTCCACCAACATGGAGACCACATTCTCCACTTCCTCCTGCAAGATGAACACAAAGTGGAAGAGGTATTTCAGTGGAATTTCTACCATTAGTCTATGTCCTTCTCCCTCCAATCTTGATTAATCGATCGGTCACCTCATGGCTGGTTGTGACACAAACGGTTACTTGATTTGCCTTCAGAAAACAGCTTTTAGAGTTGGTAATAATTATCTGTGAACCAAATTTTAACCTTGTGTAGGGTATCTCACTTGCGGTCCAACAAACCCGAAGCAATGAAACAATAGCGTTAGGATGAATAGGATAAACATACCTGGCCAGTCAGAAATGCCAGAACATCTCCTTCACTCTCATTCTGGTGGATTTTCATCACAGTATCCACTGTAGCTTTCACATAATCGGGTGCAGGACTGAGAAAGAGCAAAATTACAACATCTGGTTAAACATGAAGGCTTTCTTGTGAAAAAAAGTAATGAGCATCAACACAGCACAAGTCCCCCCTCCCCTTCTCAGCCCACGTGTATTCACACACACACACATAAAATATATGAATGAGCCATCTAGAATTATTCTTAATCACCTCCCAAGCGTTAAGGGAATACGTCTGCCTCAAGAATGTTAAAGTACAAACCTCAGAGAATAAAAAATGTCAACCGGGTACGTCCTGCCTTCCACAGTGAGAATCGCACAGGTATCTTTACTGGAATCATTGGTCTCATTTGCATTGAAGAAATCTCTGAATTTCTGCAATAAAGTAGAAGGTATCATAACAATCACGACACGAGGAAACGGACAGAAAGACAAGCACCAGACTCTCAAATCTCATTAATCTTGTGCTCACCTGGAAAGTGAGAGCCAAACAATCTGTATTATAGTTTTATTTAAACATGAATCGAATATTAGTTCCGACTTCAGTCAAACTGGTTTACGGCAAGTGAGCCTGACAGATGTTTGGGTACTGTGGGAGTTCTGGAGGGTCCATCAACGAGTGATACATACTTGCAAGATTCACTACTTATAAATCAACTGCAAATTTCTCTTAATGCGTCACTAACAATGGATCTATAAAGATCTCCATACAATGTTGTTAAGGGATGTCTTGTACAGTTGAAAATCTACTGATGCTGACTGTTTAGATTTAAGGTGAGGAATGTGCACTGGAGCTAGGTATTGGGGAGGAACACCATGAAACAACCCACCAACATGAGTCAGTGCCTACAGACAATCAGAGAAGAAAGAAAAGTATAACTTACCTCTGCGTCTAGTGTAGCTGATGATACAATGAGACGAAGATCACCTCTTTTCTTCTGAATCTACATAAAGGGAAAATATAGATGAAGAAACAGACACAGATAACATAGGGTTATGCTGGTACCTATTTTAAATACGTTCCAATATATATAATGTTTCTGAAAGATATTGATTCTGTCACCCCTGCACTGCCTCATTTGCCTGCGTGATTGGGTTCTAACTTTGGAATTACAAAAAACAGACTCAGTTGAGGAGATGAAAATCATCATTTATGCCAACCCCAAGAAGAGTAAATTTAGGTCTAAGGTCTTATAAAATAACAGGAATCATTTACTTTCAAAATATCTTTCAGACACTTGCCCACCCACACCCCCTCTCTCTCTCTCTCCTGAACCCCCTCCCCAAACCTTATTCATACAAATAGAAAACAACCCAGGGTTTGTTATTTTGCAAACGTACACAAAGGCAAAACTTGACCTGACCTTTCGTAATAAGCCGATGGCCATGTCTGTGTGCAAGGTTCTCTCATGAGCTTCATCCAACATGAGAACACTGAAATCAAGTCAAAGAGCCTGTCAAAGAGATAATCACACAACTCCCTCCGCAGAATACTGCAGGTCAGGTTTCAACACCTACATTCTTGCAATGAAATTCAACAAAAGCCAGCTTTAAAAAAAATTAAAACTTACAAGTATGTCAACAGCCCATGATTGTCGCATCATTGCTTAACCATTTACCTGTATTTCTTCAATAAAGGGTCTGCCATCATTTCTCGGACAAGCATCCCGTCTGTAAGGAACTAATCAATAAAAAGTTATTCAGTAAGAACGATGCTATTGACAATTTAAAAACATCCTGGTGGTGGCGGTGACACCTTTCATGTCACTCCGATGATCTTCTACATTTCAACTGATTTAGCTGGGAACAGATTCGGGCCATGATTAAATGCTGTACATAATGAACATGTTTTTTTTTCCTTTCTGGGTCTGTTTCTATGTCAACAATGACAGTCAGTTATGGAATCCAATGGCCAATGTAGCGTGTCATTGATACACGTTGGTATCCAGACTGAAAATGAATAATTGTCACCATATGTAAAGCAAAATGTAATCGTCAGTTCGAGCAGCTTTATTATCATTATTATTTTGATTTCAGTGGTAAGCATTGCCAAGTCAGAGGCGGCTCCGTACAGTGGATCTATGGGAATGTTTATTGAGGCCAATTATAGCTCCACGACTGCTACCCTGGGGGAGATCAGCTAACATAGCAAAAGCTAATTTGACCTTGGATTGCTCGAGTCTGTGTGGCTTGGTACCAGAACCTGTCACCAGCAATTACTCAGGATCGCATCTTTACAATAAGTCATGTGTCACCTTTATTCGCGTTGCCTGTGGATCACTACAGTCATCGAAACGGATGGAATACCCAACCTCATGGCCTAACAGAGCACCACGTTCCTCAGCTACTCGTCGGGCCACCTAACAGCACAAAAGGAAAAGATCACAAGGTGCCCTAGTCTATCATATCACTTTTCAAACGAATTTCAGTCATTTCAGGCATTTCAGTCCCACAGAATTTGTGGAAGCCACGTTCACAATCTGTTAAACATAACAAGCAAACTCCTTACCGAAACTGCAGCAACCCTACGTGGCTGTGTAACCCCAACCACTCGACCCTCTGCTGTCCACCCAGCCTCTGCCAGATACTGTCAACAAGATGTGAGAAAAGATATTACCACCATTACAGACAATTCCCTTAATACGTGCCTAGTTTGAAGTGCCCCAGGACGCTATCCCACGTGAAGGGCGCTATATAAGTGCATGTTATTGTTGTATCTAGTTTTACATTTATTTTGTCGACAACAGGCACCAATGTAAACATTGAATTGTGATATTTAAGCTCTTTCATTAACCTCTGTGACTCAGTGCTCTAGGTTTATTTCAGTTCCCTATCAGGGAATATTATTACCCAGGAAGAGATTATTTATTTAAAATGTGCAAAAATAAATTATTTTCACAGTCTGCAGTGAGGAGAAAAAAATCGGAGTAATTGTGGGCAGTCATATAACTACCGACTGCAACCAACACCTGAACAAAGACTAGAGCGTTTGCTTATAAACACAAATATAACATTATGCATTGTAATGAATGCACCAACCTGGGGGATCTGTGTGCTTTTTCCACATCCTGTTTCTCCCACTATGACCACCGTCTGATAGCTCTCTACCAGATAGAGGATGTGATTTCTGTGCTTCAAAAACAAAGTAAAAGAAAGAAAATTCTAAACCAGTACTGAAACATTCAAACAATCCGAAACAAAAGTCTCCCCGTCCAGAATTTCCCCTTCCCCCCCACACTATCGGGATCGTGTCCCAAATGCTCTGCTTGTTTAAACGTATGGTGGTTGGAGGCAGATATTCTGCAGGGAGATTTATAACGTGCACGAGTTGTGACATTAAATCATGTCACATTCAGAACTGAGGTGTGGGAACTGTAAGAAAATGATGCGGGAGATATTGGTCCAGAATTACTGAGCTTGGTGCTGGAACAACTGCAGTACTAGGTACGAGGCCAGTAGAGACCCTCAGTGAACAGCTACTTTTCAGTGTCTAACCAGTTCCTGATTTGGGGAAAACTTCTCAAAAGGATTGCATTCAAATTATCAAATTATCAATTCTCAAACTGTTAAACTGTCTCAAGATCCCAAACACTTAAAAAGTAAATCGTTCACTTAACACCGGCGCTCCATATTTTCGCAAGCAAAACAAATCCCAAACCCAGCGATTGGCTGCAATAATAATAATCCTCGCATTTGATATAGCGCTTTTCACGGCTTCGAGACGTCCCAAAGCGCTCCACTGAATAGGCTGTAAAGTGAATTGACTGTATATTTGTGGGCGAACGCGGCAGCCAATTGCGCACAGCAATGTCCCACAAACAGTCGTGGATTGAAAATGACCAATTTATTATTGTTTTTGGTTTTGGAGGATTATTATTAGGCTCTGTGTGGAGTAAGGAAACTTGCCCAAGGTTTCGCCCTCTGCCTGGGATTGAACCTGGTGTCTCGCTCGCAAAGCGAGTGCTCTAACCGCTGAGAGCCACAAACTCTGCCACGTTTCGCCCACACAATATACCGTCAATTCGTTTCACAGGGTGTCCTGTGAGAAGCGCTTTGAGACGCCCCGAGGACGGGGATCGGGCGCCGTATCGACTGCGAGGATCATTATTCTGACTGTATTTGTTACCTTGAAGGCCGGCAGCTTCTGCCTCTGTTGCTCTACGGAGAGCGAAGCAAATCGATTGTAAATAACCGCCGCTCCACTCGCTTCCGCCGGACTCACCCGTTCTTCATCGAGACTCGCGTCGGGCCCGTCGGTACCTGAGCAGTGACGGTTCAGAGGGACAATGATGAGAGAAATGCCCCCCAGGGGGGTTGGGGGGGGGGTGGTGAGGGGGGGGTTGGGGGGGAGGGGCCAAGCGACCGGCCCACCCCTCACAGCAGCGGCAGAGGGACTCCGCCACGAGCCGCACGGCTTCAGCGATCGCCGCTTCTTGAGGCGGCGCCTGTGATCGCCTTGAAGCGGCTTCACAGAAATGCACTGCAAAGTGTAGTGACTGTGCATCAGCTTTCCCCCCCACCCCTCCAGTAACGTGTGTGGGTATCTCTCCCCCCTCACTCCTCCCCTCCTCACCATCTCCTCGTGCCCCCACCCCCACCCCGGGAGTCTCTCCCCCTCACCCCCCCCCCCCCCCCGGGGGTATCTCTCCCCCACTCTCGCCCTTCCCTTTACCCGGTTTCCAGAATCTCGGCGCTGCCATGGACGCCGCCATCTTGGGGGGGGTTAAAGGTCACGCGGAGCGTCACGGAGGGCCCGCCCCCCCTCCCAGCCGCCCGGGGCGGGGCCGGAGCTGTCAATCATCGCAGCCAACGTCGCCGGATTGGGCGGGTTTGACGCCCAGTTTGGGCGGGTTTGACGCCCAGTTTGGGCGGGTTTGACGCCCAGTTTGGGCGGGTTTGACGCCCAGATTGGGCGGGTTTTTGCTGCACTGCCTATTAAATCTTAAACAATAACAATAATCATAATAATAATAATAATAATAACGACGATGATGACGATGAGACTCGCACAGATCTGAGGAGGCTTCGGGCTACACGCGCCCCCGGTCGCCGGCCCAACACGAGGCCCCCCCCACGCGCCGCCGTTACGCGAGAGCCGTCTCTGCCGCTGCATTTATAACCGTAACATTGAGGGCACAATAACCCTAACGCGAGTTTGAGAGAAAGCGCCTTAATCGCACCTTCCGAGACGTCTCAAAAGAAAAAAAAAAAAAGTACCAGCGACTGTGTGTTTCTTTGTGGGGCCGAACGCGGCCGTCTTTACCGTTGGTTGGGTGACTGGATGTTTTTTTTTCTGGGCGGGTGCCTGATTTTATTCTGATTTCATTTAATTTAATTCTGGCTGCGTCCGTGTCTGCTCCCCGGGAAGGATGAGTTTAGACGAGCCAAACGGAGCATCCTTCGGTCAGATCTCTCCCGTCGTTTCCACCGAAAGTAAACGGGAGTTTTATCCGCGTGGCGAGGAACGTCAGACGCGAGTCTCGTTCGAGCGAGAGAGAAACGTGTCAAGGTACAAGCAAACGACAAGTTTGGTTTGTTAAGGCTCTTTTATTAACTAATTTCAAGCACTCGTACTTAAACCCAACCCGGGCCCCGGGTGCTCTTCCCTTCACATGCTTTAAATCAAAAATATCTAAAGTAAAATTCGAGGTCAGGAGCACCAGTCACCCCCACCAGAGACCCAATCCTTTGGCGTCTCAACATACAACATTTAAAACGCAGGAGAACAAAAAAAAAACCTGACACTCGAAATGCTGTAAGTTGCGGAAAAATAGTCACACTTTCGCATCTGCCAACACAGACACTGATGGGCCGAATGGTCCATGTCTATGCCATGACATCTGCGGTAATTAATTCGGAATACAAATAGAATTTGTTTCCATATACAGTTCAATAGTTTGTTTACTTCTGCATGAAACACAGTAGCCAGTTCAACAGGTTTCCATCCTGCATCTTATAATCATATGCTACGTTTTGTCTCTTCAGCTTTTCATAAAAGGATCCTAAACTCATAGCAGCCAAACCGATCTTCCAACTTCTAATGTGGGGAGTCTTGGATTAAAAGTAAATTTGTCCCACATTGAAATCTTGTAATTCTAGAAATGTCTTACAGTAAGTGCACAGCCATCAATATTTCAGAGTAGCATCAGCATTGAAGAAATACACTTCCCAGTGCGCAAATACAACGTAAACAGAATGAAATATACAATCAACAGTGCAACTTGATTCAAAAACATGCGACAGAAACCAACACAAACATTAAAAAAAATCAACCACCCATTAAATAGACACACCCACCTTTTACATTTCTAAAACTAATCATTGCTGTACAAACACACACAAAAAATAGGAAATGCACTAGTTTGCATTGGACAGATTGCAAAGGCATAAGTTGAAACATTTAAGTCAGAAACCTCTCAAACTATTCTTCGTAGGGAATGTGCAAAGGGTTTGTTTGCAGCGCGTAATTAATCAGGACACTCATCTGTGAGGAAGGAAAGCGATAATCTACACAAAAAGATTTGATTTGATAAACGGCGTTCATTTCAATGTGCCCATGATAAATCCTAATAATAAGACAGCTTCCTTCACAGCAAATGTGAGTCTCCTTGAAAAACCCATAGAGTTGGCGAAATGTCGTAGGAGTCTTCTTTCTACCTTCCAGGGCAGGTGTACGAACCAGAGTGACCGTAGTAAGCAAACTCCCTTTCCCCAAGTAGAAGACTGTTTGACTTTATTTCTCTTTTCAGCTTGAAATATTTCACAGAAAGAGCTTTTTTAAAGAAAATATTTGCACTTGATGCAGTGGAAGTTGCATTCATAGGAATGTGGAGTGTACAAAAACATATATAGTCTGCGCAGACATTTGAAACGCCAATGTTTGGACATTAAATTTGCAGGAGACATTTACAGCGCATTCTCTACTCCCCAAAGTGCTTTCCTCTCCAGAATATTGTGTATGCATCGATTGTGCAATGAGTATCAATGGAAAATCTTTTGTTCAATTTATATCATACATGTTTTGCTGACCGCATGTGTGTTTTTGGGGAGTGGGTGGCAGTTAAAAAATGATTTCATGAAACTAAAAAAAAATCAATCTGTCTGTTTGTGGGACATTGCCACGATTTGCCCACAAAATATACAGTCACTACACTTTACAGCTATCCTGTGAAGCACTTTGAAACGTCTCAACGACGTGATAAGGCTCTATATCAAATGCAAGAATTATTATTACAAGCATGATGATATTATTACAAGCATCATACACTTTCACGAATGGCTTCAATGTTTTTTAAACCCTTTATTAACATACCCTTTTACACACAACGGCAGTGATTTACTGTAGTGTTACTTATAGTTTTTCTTTGTTATATAAAAAAATAGCCACTGGCTATCAATCAACAAGTTTAAAAATAGCCACCAATATATCAAGTTTCCCTTCCGTTTAATGCTCCTGGATTTGATTCAATTTCCCAATGAAATTACAAAGTTTCCCCTCCACTGATCCTTCCCAAACTACATGTACCTATACTGTGTTACAAGGTCTATGGTTACACAATCAAGTGTACAAGAGACTGGCAAAGTCAATAGGCACCAATTAAATAGTAAACTTATGGAACTAGGGAGACAGCTGGTGAAAGCAGAAAATGTTGTTTGTTTCAAGATAGATTTCTGCTAGAAAACAGTATCCGGGGATACAGTATATAGTTCAGGACACGACATGTCAAGCAACTTCCAGGATGGTGGAAGGCGAACTAGATGGACCTTGGTCTTCTAGTCTTCACCTAGCAAGTTCTTATGTCCTTATGTTCAACTCAAATGGCTTAGTTTCGAAGTGCCATCGAGGCCAACAAGGGCATATCTCTCAGGCGCACAAATCCGTTCCTATTCACCAAATCGTTGCTGCTCCTCAAGGCGTACTTGCCCGGCTCACGGCCCTGGTACTTGATGACGTCTCGTCTCCTCGACAGGATTGAAAACATATCGTCGAGCTTGGACCGAATGTTGGAGTAATGATATCGCCGTTCTTTGGTCAGGTTCAGAAAGCTGTGCCTCAGGGTAGAATTGGCACCATGGAATCCAGTGATCGTGGGCTTTGTGCAGCTTCTGAGATAGATTGGATCCTCAGAGTCGAAGGGGATTCGCGAACTCCTGGAGCTATTGTCAGAGCTGGAGTTGGAGAGGGGCTGTACTTTGGAGCAGGCGGACTGGTTACTGCTGGCTGGAGGATCCTCTATAACCTGCTTCTCTGTGGGGGCTTGTCTCCCGCTGGCGGAGGTCATTTCAGTTTGGGCGACGGTAGATCTGCAGGAGCCTGCCATCTGAAATGCAGCTGATTTCAGTGGGGAAGCGGTTTGAGTCGCCTGCTCGTTCGCTGAAACGCACGTCTGGGTGGCTGTCCCCCTCGTTACCAGCGGTTCTTCCTCCTCAGTCTGTGTACTCACGCTCTTCATCTCCTTACGCTCAACATCCTCTTCTTCAAGCAGAGCTTGGTCTCCGAGGGTAGATGCTTCTGAAATGTGGCTGCGCTTTTTGGAGATCTGCAAACACAACGTATCCTCGATTTGCAGCTCATTGTTCCCGGGCTTTTGATCGCTGGGGGAGCAGGTCACCTCTTCTTGTTCCAACACGTTAGCAATAGCTAGAGGCTCTTTAGCTTTGCCTGCCGTCTCCTTGCAAACGCCTCTTTTGCTGGGACTTGCTGACTTGGGTGTGATGGGCTTGGATTGGGCGTACAGCATCCTGAACTCCTCGTCGTAAAACTCAGACACCTGACCCGAGAGCACAGTCAGGTTACTGCGGTTCAGCTTTCCATCAGTCCACGTGAAACTGCGAGAGAGAGAGAGAGGGAAAGGAAAGAATGCAAGAGGTAAAAGAAAGTGGGAATAATAGTAATCCTGGCATTTGATATAGCGCTGCATCATATCTTCGAGATGTCTCAAAGCGCTTCACAAGAGTATACTGTCAAGTGAATTGACTGTATGTTTTGTGGGCGAAACGTGGAAGCCAATTGCGCCCAGCGACGTGCCACAAACAGCCGTGGATTGAAGTGACCAAATTATTATTATTATTTTGAAGAACTGATTTGGAGCGCAAGAAAAAAATCTGCTGCAAATTTCTGCGGTTCAGGTAACTACCCATTTTTTTTGTACCTGTAGGAGCCAGTGGCCACTTTATCTCCGTCAATCAACATGAATTTCTCGTTGGCTTTGCCAATAATCCTGGCTCCTGTTCTCGTGTAGTACGTGCACCCTGTGATAGTGCGAACTCTCAGCTTCTGAAAGGAGAGAAAGGGTCAGCTGGTAATACACTGGGCACCAACAGACTCTGGCTCTACACACACACATACACACACACACAACGCCCAGATATATCCCCCTTGTACCTTCGTCCTCCCTTTTAAAGCCCTCCCCTGTCGTGCTCCTCCCTATCTCTGTGACCCACTAACACCAACACCGAGCTATCCACTTCCTCCGCTCAGTGGGCACTGGCCCTGCTCCATGCCATCCCCACCACTGGCGGACAGGTCTTCAGCTTTTCTGCCCCCATCCATCCCCAGCTTCCGCCCAGTCCCTCCGCCTTGCCCCCTCCTTTGCCTACTGCAAGACCCGTCTCAAGACCTTCTTCTTTGACCATGCCTTTGGTCGCTCTGTTGAATCCAACCCCCCAGCTCGGGTGCGAATCCCCCCTCGACGTGAAAGGCGCTGTGCAAGTGTAATGTGTTGTTGTTACCAAGTTCCATACCCTCTCCGTTTCCAGCCAGACACCAGCGTTCTGGCACATCTGCTGAAACTGCGGCAGCCCAGAGTGGTCGAGGATGATGTAGACCGGGATCATCCGCCTGCTGCAAGCCTCGTGAATATCTTTGAAGATGTCGATATCGGTGAAGGAATCCATCACCAGGGCAATAACCTGCGGCACAGAGCGGGAATGTCTTTACTCGCGTCCTCTCTCTCGTTGTGGCCGTAGCACGTGAGCACATCCGGCGCTGACCACTACGCTACAGGACTCCGCAATAATCCCTCCCCTCTAAAAATGTGGTCACTCAATCACAAAACGGTTTGTGGGCCGCTGCTGTGCGCAATCGGCTGACGCCAATTGCTTTGCCTAAAAAATACACAGTCACTACATCAACAAAATTACATTTTCACAATCAGTGTTTCGGACCCGAGCTGGGACTCGGGACCGGGGAGAGTGGAGGGTGGGATGGGGTGGAGGGAAGGTGGGTGATCGAAGGCACGGTCGAAGAGGAGGGCCTTCAGACGGGTCTTGAAGGAGGTGAGGGTGGGGGCGAGGCGGAGGGATGGCGAGACGTCTCAAAGCCCTTCACGGGATACACCGCGAAGTGAATACCAGGTGCAGGGATCATCATTATTATTATTATTAACAACATTATTATTATTGGCGCAGTACATTGTACCTTCTTCGCCTTCCGGATCAGAGTCCTGACCGCCTCCTTGCAGGGGTAGATGACCTCTCCATAGCTGGGCTGGAAGTGCACGTCCACCCGGGTCACCCCGCGGTACCAGGTGTCCGGGTAGGTGGGCCACCCCAGGTCCAGCACTGGGACCTCCACATCTGAGGCTTCAGGGAAGTAGGTGCCTGTGGAGCAGTCCAGGGACTGGTCCAGAGCCTCACAGCCGGACTCCCTGGTGCTGGGGCTGATGGTGGCCCTGAGGATGTGGCTGATCTCCTCTGAGGACAGGAAGGGTTGGACCCTCTCCCTGTGCAGGAAGCTGGTGTAGGCCTCCTCCCCCCGGGCCACCAGCACCTCCAGGGCCAACCTGTGGCTCTCACTGTACACCTCCTCCAGACCCACCGCCACCCCCTGTCCGAGAGGCCCTGAGCTCAGCCCCTGGCGGCCCGCGGGCCAGTCATCCAGACACTGGGAGTCATTCATGGTGAGAGCACCAGAGCGCTCTCTCTCTCTCCTCTACTTTCCTTCTCCCTCTTTCTCACTCTTCCTTTCTTTGTATTCTCCTCTCTTCTCCCCTTTCTCTCTCTCTCTTCCCCTCCTTTCTTTCTTTCTTTCTTTCTGTCTGTCTGTCTGTCCGCTTCCCCCCTTTTCTCTCTCTCTCTCCCTTTCTTTTTATTCTCCTCTCTTCCCCCTTCCCTTTCTCCCCCCTTTCGTTTTCTCTCCCTTTCTATCTCTCTTCCTTTCTTTTTCTTTTCCTCTCTCTTCCCCCCTTCCTTTCTCCCTCTCCTACCCCTTTTCTCCTTCTCTCTCTCTCTCTCTACCCCTTTTCTCCTTCTCTCTCTCTCTCTCTACCCCCTCAGTCAGTTTTCTCCTTCTCTCTCTCTCTCTCCCCCTTTTCTCCCCCTTTATTTTCCCTCTCTCCCTCTCTCTGTGGCTAATAATTTCAAACCGCCGCTGCTCTGTGGCTGATTGGATGTGATGGGATGTGTTGCCCACAGCGCGCGTTTGAACGGAGTGAATCGCGTTTCGTAAACTAATTGGGTCACAGTCCGCGGTTTGGGGCACAGCAGCGCCTGTGATAGGCTCCGGATTCAAATTCATCCATAAACAAACACCCAACACCCGCCACACCCCCAGCGAACAGCCCAGACAGTCAGACAGACACCAGCGAACAGCCCAGACAGTCAGACAGACACCAGCGAACAGCCCAGACAGTCAGACAGACACCAGCGAACAGCCCAGACAGTCAGACAGACACACAGACACCCCCCCAGCGAACAGCCCAGACAGTCAGACAGACACACAGACACCCCCAGCGAACAGCCCAGACAGTCAGACAGACACAGCGAACAGCCCAGACAGTCAGACAGACACCAGCGAACAGCCCAGACAGTCAGACAGACAGACAGACACCAGCGAACAGCCCAGACAGTCAGACAGACACCAGCGACAGCCCAGACAGTCAGACAGACACCAGCGAACAGCCCAGACAGTCAGACAGACAGACAGACACCAGCGAACAGCCCAGACAGTCAGACAGACACCAGCGAACAGCCCAGACAGTCAGACAGACAGACAGACACCAGCGAACAGCCCAGACAGTCAGACAGACACCAGCGAACAGCTCAGACAGACAGACAGTCAGACAGTCAGACACACAGACACACCCCAGCGAACAGCTCAGACAGACAGACACCAGCGAACAGCCCAGACAGACCCACAGACAGTCAGACAGACACCAGCGAACAGCCCAGACAGTCAGACAGACAGACAGACACCAGCGAACAGCCCAGACAGTCAGACAGACACCAGCGAACAGCCCAGACAGTCAGACAGACACCAGCGAACAGCCCAGACAGTCAGACAGACACCAGCGAACAGCCCAGACAGTCAGACAGACACCCAGCGAACAGCCCAGACAGTCAGACAGACACCAGCGAACAGCCCAGACAGACCCACAGACAGACAGACACCAGCGAACAGCCCAGACAGTCAGACAGACACCAGCGAACAGCCCAGACAGTCAGACAGACACACAGACACCCCCCCAGCGAACAGCCCAGACAGTCAGACAGACACCAGCGAACAGCCCAGACAGTCAGACAGACACCAGCGAACAGCCCAGACAGTCAGACAGACACCAGCGAACAGCCCAGACAGTCAGACAGACACCAGCGAACAGCCCAGACAGTCAGACAGACACCAGCGAACAGCCCAGACAGTCAGACAGACACCAGCGAACAGCCCAGACAGTCAGACAGACACCAGCGAACAGCCCAGACAGTCAGACAGACAGACAGACACCAGCGAACAGCCCAGACAGTCAGACAGACACCAGCGAACAGCCCAGACAGTCAGACAGACACCAGCGAACAGCCCAGACAGTCAGACACACCCCAGCGAACAGGTCAGACAGTCAGACAGACACCAGCGAACAGCCCAGACAGTCAGACAGACAGACAGACACCAGCGAACAGCCCAGACAGTCAGACAGACACCAGCGAACAGCCAGACAGTCAGACAGACACCAGCGAACAGCCCAGACAGTCAGACAGACACCAGCGAACAGCCCAGACAGTCAGACAGACACCAGCGAACAGCCCAGACAGACCCACAGACAGACAGACACCAGCGAACAGCCCAGACAGACCCACAGACAGTCAGACAGACACCAGCGAACAGCCCAGACAGTCAGACAGACACCAGCGAACAGCCCAGACAGTCAGACAGACACCAGCGAACAGCCCAGACAGACCCACAGACAGTCAGACAGACAGACAGACACCAGCGAACAGCCCAGACAGACCCACAGACAGACAGACAGACAGACAGACAGACACACAGACACACCCCAGCGAACAGCCCAGACAGTCAGACAGACACCAGCGAACAGCTCAGACAGTCAGACAGACACCAGCGAACAGCCCAGACAGTCAGACACACCCCAGCGAACAGCCCAGACAGTCAGACACACCCCAGCGAACAGCCCAGACAGTCAGACAGACACACAGACACACCCCAGCGAACAGCTCAGACAGTCAGACAGACACCAGCAAACAGGTCAGACAGTCAGACAGACACCAGCAAACAGGTCAGACAGTCAGACAGACACCAGCAAACAGGTGAGACAGTCAGACAGACACCAGCAAACAGGTCAGACAGTCAGACAGACAGACACCAGCAAACAGGTCAGACAGACAGACAGACACCAGCAAACAGGTCAGACAGTCAGACAGACACCAGCAAACAGGTCAGACAGTCAGACAGACAGACACCAGCAAACAGGTCAGACAGTCAGACAGACACTCAGACAGACAGACACCAGCAAACAGGTGAGGCACTCAGACAGACACCAGCAAACAGGTCAGACAGTCAGACAGACACTCAGACAGACACCAGCAAACAGGTCAGTCAGTCAGACAGACAGACAGACAGACAGACACCAGCAAACAAGTCAGACAGACACCAGCAAACAGGTCAGACAGACACACAGGCACACAGACACACACCAGCAAACAGGTCAATCACACACACCCACAGACAGACAGACAGACACCAGCAAACAGCCAGGGGGTCAATCACACACACACATACAGACAGCCAGGGGATCAATCATACACAGACACAGACAGACACACACAGACAGACACACACACACAGACAGACAGGCAGACAGACACATAGACAGACACACAGACATACATAGACACAGACAGACAGACACATAGACAGACACACAGACATACATAGACACAGACAGACAGACTCACACACAGAGACAGACAGACACACAGACACACACACAGACAGACACACAGACAGACACACTCACACACACAGACACACACAGAGACAGACAGACACACACACACACAGACACACACATACATACAGACAGACACAGACAGACACAGACACATACACACACAGACAGACACACACAGACAGACAGACGCATTTACACACACACATACACACACACACATACAGACACACATACAGACAGACACACATACAGACAGACACACACACACACACCGACAGATATACACACCGACAAATATACATACGTGATCACACATATATAGATATAGACACACAGATACACACGCAGACATACACACACAGACACTGACACACAAAGCACAGACACACACACACATACAGACACACACATACAGACACACACACACATATAGACACACACAGACAGGCTTTTTAAAAAAAAATTGGGAAAGGAATTGTGCAGGATTCATATTTAATACCTTAAAATTAAAAAATATATAATTGGGTCACTCAATCCACGGCTGTTTGTGGGACACTGCTGACTCATTTCGCCCACAAAATACACCATCAATCCACTTTACAGTATATCCTGTGAAGCGCTTTGAGACGTCTCGAAGATGTGATGAGGCGCTGTATCAAGTACAAGGATTATTATTGATATTTTTATTATTATTATTGGATTATCCGAGACAATTTCCTGTTGTTGCTATTTGTTTTCTCTCCCATCAATTTGTTCGAGTTGCTGTCCAGCTTCCCTCCAATATCTCGCAGCAGGTGGTTACTTATTTGGTCAAGATATGCTGTCATGAGGGAGGGGGGAGAACGACAACAACAACAACAACAACAACACGTTACATTTACACGGCACCTTTCACGTTAGGAGGCCGTCCCAAGGTGCTGGACAGGCAGATTTTTGCACCCAAGTTGGGGGTTGGGATCAGGAGGGAATGGAGGGCAGTGAGGGCAGTGAGGGCTGGGGGGGGGTAGGAGGGTGACCAAAGGCGGGGTCTTAAGATATGCGTTGGAGGAGGCGAGGGAGGGAGTGAGGCGGATGGACTGCGGGGTAGAGTTCCAAAGGGTGGGGGCAGAGAGGCTGAAGGCTCGACCACCAATGGTGGGACAGTGATCAAATCACAACCGAGCCCACTCCTGTCCATGCTCAATGCCTATGTATATGTGCACTTTCCAACAGATATGGCTCAGTGGTGATGTGGAGTAAAAGAGCTATGATTTCTGTGCTTGAAAGACTTTCTGGTCCCCAGAAACCCTTTTTGAGGGAAATGATAGCATCCAAAAACCATTGGAGTTGCCTCGGTCCACCATTCACTGTCTAGGCTCACATGAGGCTGGGCTCTGTGGAAGTCTATTCCAGCAGAAATGAGCGCAACCAGGGCAGGAGAACACTGGAGGGAGGGAATTGCTTTTTGGGGGAAAAATGAATAAAACCTGAGTTTCACAAAAGATATTGTTTTGCCCCACAAAATACACAGCCAATTCACTTTACAGTATATTCTGTCAAGCGCTTTGAGACGTCTCGAAAACATGATAAGGCGCTGTATCAAATTATATTAAGGATTATTATATTATTATGATCTATTGTGCTCTGGATAAGAAAGCTTTCACAGCAGTGAATGTCAAGACCTTTTTGAGGGACTTGAAAATAAAGTTTATGCAGCAAATCTCACAAATAAAACAAGATTATACAGTATTACGTTCATTCCAAAAGTGCGTCTTGTTATACGATCTGGAATGAGTCACGATGTACATCGCTCCCACTCTGCTTTGAAACTACATGTAATCAGCGTTGCATTGCATTGGGATAGTTACATGACAGATTGAATGAAGAGTGTATTGGAATAGTGGCACAGCTTTGCACATTCAGTCAGTTTTTGGGGGGCATCGAAGGTTTGTTTCATGCTGTTACATTAAATTTGTGTCCTGAACGAGCAGGAAATCTGTGCAGTAATGTAAATCTAGTGCTTGACCCTTACAACCAGGAACTTTGTGTAGCTGTACAGTGAGTGTTCCTTAACCTGCTGAATAATCAGCAACTCCATACGTGGAAAACCGGTGAATTAAAACAGTGCTTAAATTAACAGCCTCATTGCAATTTCCTTAACCCAGCGCCCTGATGATCGTTGTTCATTGTTCGGGCCGGGCTGGAGATGGGAAGAATCACTGCAGGAACAAGATTGGACCAGAACGATTCTCCCCTCTCTTCAAACAATCCTGCAGCACACCAGTTCATTTTCCTCCGGCTCTTGCAACGGTGCCTTTAACTTTAGTAGTGGCGGGTCACCGTAGGGTACAGGATTGTAGAAGGAGTCCCCATTAGAGTTAACCTCAGATGTCCTGGCGTCCAGAGAACGGGCCTTTGATTGCAGTTGTTCATTTTCCAATATACCTCCCAGGCCATTAACCAGGCAACTCTCATGAGTGGAAAGTCTCTTCAGCTTAGCAGCCACCCTCTGACGCTTGAGTTCTGCCAATGTCTGATAGGTCTTGTCCTTGTTTAACTGCACCGACGGGGCAGAGTCACAGTATCCGTGGGGCACTTGGCCGTTAGCCTTCTCCGTGACTGTAGATGTCTTTAAGGGATCTGTGCCGGAGGAAGGTTGCTGGGAGGTCAAGGAATCATCTGTCGCTTCAGGTTCAGTTTGGTCCAAATCATTTATCGCTACGGGTTCTGGTGAAATTTCCTCACTTGTTATGTTTTCTACCGGGCAGTCGGACGATAAATCCTGCGTTTTGAAGGGAAAAAAAGTACAAGGAAAATTCAAATACTTTGAAGACTATTAAATGCTACCGTTTATAATAATAATAATACCATTTGAATTATTTGTTAAGGATTTTTTTGTTCCCCAGCCCTGAAGGCAGCTGCTCAACTCAGAAAACTGCTGACCTGTTCGGCTACACAAGTGAGTGTTCTTAAACCTGGTGAATTAAATTCAGGGTAAGGAACATTCATTGTGTAGTTATTCGGGAGAATCCGCTCACCAGGCTACCTCCGCGCAACCTCCGAACCTTTTTGAGCGGGCAATCTATTACCAGTGGCTAGTTCTGTCAGCACAAGGTTCTAGCGATTCAACGAGAATCACCCTCTCTCTAGGTCAGGATGATGATAATAATAATAATAATAATAATAATCCTTGCATTTGATATAGCGCTTTTCACGTCGGGAGGACGTCCCAAAGCGCTTCACAGAACACACTGTAAAGTGAATTGACTGTATATTTGTAGGCGAACGCGGCAGCCAATTGCGCACAGCAATGTCCCACAAACAGTCGTAGATTGAAAATGACCAATTTATTATTGTTTTTGGTTTTTGGAGGGATTATTATTAGGCTCTGTGTGGAGTAAGGAAACTTGCCCAAGGTTTCGCCCTCTGCCTGGAATTGAACTCAGGTCTCTCACTTGCAAAGCGAGTGCTCTAACCACTGAGCTACAGGACTCCACAGATGATGATGATGATGATGATGATTCGAAGCTGCCATTAACAGCAGCTGCTCCATTCACTTTGATGTCTCCTAGGGTGGAACGCCATCTGGTGCCCAGGTTCAGAACCTCCACACCTTGACCCAGGAACCATCAAGGTCCTGGCCAACCGGCCTCCAGGTAAGCCATTCACTTCATGGCTGTTTGCGGGAATATTGTTGCGTGGCCTACAAATACAGCCACAGCATTTCACAGTAAATCCCAGGAAGTGCTACGAGATATGGTGCTGTGACCAGGTACCACATCAAACCCAAGGAGTATGATTATTATTATTTTTTATTAATGATTAAGGGACAAACCAGACCACCACGCTCTCCTTAACAAAACGTTTTTTTTATTACTATTGTTTGAAATGATTATAACAATAATAATAATCCTTGCACATGACACGCCTTTGAGACGTCTCAAAAGCGCTTCACCAAATATATTGTAAATATTGCGATCTGAAATGAATTAAGATAGGAGTTCAATCTCCTACCTGGGTAACGTTTTCCTGCTCTTTGGATGACCCTTTATCTTCTGCATCACTGCTTGGGATTTCCTTCTCCTCCCTCCTTTCCATCTGCTGCCAGACAATTGCTTCCTGCTCACATTCCTTCCTGTATAAATTATTCCGGTCGGACACGCTCGCTCTCCGCACAACCGTTCTGAAAGGAAACGGGAGAATCCTCATAACGCTTGGCACGCATGCATTCCTCACACGGGAGGCGGGAAGAATTCTTAAAATAAAATAGCAGCCGAAGATATCGGCAGCACTTTCATTCAGCCTCAACTGTAGAGAGCAAAAAAAAATCCAGAAAGACTTCAGATAAACATTTCTGGAACGCTCAAACAGGGGCAGCACTTTCGTTTGATTACTGTAACGACTAAAAACTTTGCCGGGTGAGGAGGGCATGTACCAACCCTCGACATCTGGCGCTGGATGTCCTCCTGCTCAGCGATGACTTCTGCTTGCCCAGTGACTTCATGATGCTCTCGTGCTTGTGTTTGAGCTGTCGCAGCATGGCCTTGGACTCCTCGTCTTCACACAGGTCTGCGGTGGAGAGACAACAGCAGCACTTTTATTAACACGCGTCCGTCCTTGTGGCATTTCAGGCACCAGAACGCGTATCAGTTTAACCCCTTCCTTCCCTCCTTCATCCCCCCAAACGCCACCTTTCAACAGCTCACCCAAGTGACCGATCTTCAGATCTGAACCCAGAATGTGAGCTTGGGCTAGGTGATTGCAAGGCCACTGCTGTTCCATCTGCCGTGCAGATCGACCGAATGAGACAAGATAAAGGGTTTCAGTGCATTATGTGTCTGGAAAGGAATTCCACTACATTTGCCTGGAGGGAAGAGAGAATGAGACATCGGTGATGGACTCACCAATTGGTGTTTCTTCCAGGTGGGTCTTGGCATTGAGATTCGCACCATGTGCTACCAGCAGTTCTGCGATCTGCAGCTGTGGGAAGAAAAAGCATGTCCAACGTCTTGTTCGGAGCATATAGATTTGCCTACAAAGTACAGTCACTGCACTCTACAGTACACTAAAAATATCCTGCAAAGCAATTTGAGATGTTTTGATGGTGCGGAAAGGGGTTATATCAAATCCAAGGATTACTATTATTATTTCAGCACAGAGCAAGAATAGAACCTGTAGTCAAATCAAGTCTTTATTATTCAGCATCACACGTAGTCCCACTAAGCTGAGCCAACGGAGAGGCTGTTGAGCTGCATCTCACCCACCCAAGCAGATGACTTAGAAACAAACTGCAGTTCTTTGTGATAAAAATCAAATCTTCAACAACACAGAGCAATGTTAACGTCACCGCTCTGTAGGATTCACCACCACAGGTATTCAGCACATCACATTACTAGATCTATTGATGGGTTTCTTGGTAGCTCACGAGTGCTCAGTCTCAACTAAAAGGTCAGAACATTCAATTCCCAGGCCCCCCGTCAGTCACTCACGTGTCTCGGCTGGATGAGCTCCGAGGTTCACTGTCACTCAGATACGCTATCTGCATTGGGTGGTCCCAGGGCTGTCTGTTAGTCAAACTCACCAGCTTCATTGGACAAGTCTCAGACCTGCCCATCACTGAGACTGTGTAGAAGCTTCAAGCTCTACTGCCTCCATTGGGGAATTTCACAGCAATCTGTAACAGACTGGGGGGAAATCCCAGAGCTCTCTATCACTCTGACTAGTTGGCTCAGCAGGGAATTGTGTAGGTTTCCAGCTGTGTTGGTGGATTGAGATCTGTGTGGAAATGAGACATTCTATCTCGGGGGAGATTGAGTGTCTGGCTCCCGCTGATCCTGCCTCAGCCAGGAATGTGGGGAAGGAGGAAAGGAAGAGCTAAAGCTGGTCCCGTTAGGAAAGGGACAAAAACAACAGCCAAGCATCATCATTATCCAATGATCCTTGCTGGAAAGTGTGTGTGTGTGTGTTGGAGAGGAGAAAAGTTGATGTGTGTGGTGGGTGGGGCGGGGGGGTTGGGGGTTTCTGACAAGGTTTGAGATCAGATTCACATCACAGCTCAAACACATGAGGTTGGAACTGAAGTTACCTTAATCTGTCAAAGGTGTGACAAACTTTACGATAGATCTCATCCACAGTTATTCTCTAATATTCTTTTGCATATATGTGGGTATGGGTGTGTGTATATATATGTGTATATTCACACACACACACACAATAAATATATAAAAAGAAATGTGGTCACTCAATCCACGACTGTTTGTGGGATGCTGCTGTGCGCAATTGGCAGCTGCGTTTAGCCCACAAAATATTGTTTTGAGACGTCTGAAGACGCGGTGAGATGCTGTATCAAATGCAAAGATTGTTATTATTATTATTACATAGAATTGTAACACACACAAACACACACTCACCTGCCCCCAGCATGCGGCGGCATGCAGTGGCTCCCAACGGTCCAGGTCTTTGACGTTCACTTTAGCTCCGTATTTGAGCAGCAGCTCAGCTGCTGAACAGTAACCATTAGCAGCAGCTACATGCAACTGAAGGGAAGAAAATAAAAGGGGGTTCATGAGACCTCGGTAAACCCAGAGACCAGCCATTTCCCGTAAAGAAACAACAGCCGCACGATAAGGATTTACTTTCATGACTGGTGTTTCCCAGCAGGAGTTCCCTGCTTTACAGCAGAAGATTTAGCTTTGGTTTATTCTGTTGTATTACATTACCAGGTATTTTAAACAGTAAAGGAAGACATATAGTCACTGGGGGAGGCAAGGAATCCTCCCACCCAGCTCCTGTTAACCCTGCAAGCCAAAGCCCTATCTGGTAAGGGTGGTCCTAGCTGGACAAGCGTTGGGAAAGCTTGCCAGATGGTGCCATCAATGGCAAGCTATGACGTATTAGTTGGTTAGACTTCCGCAGTTACCCCAATGTACACTCTGGGGTTCTTTCCAGGTGTAGGTAGGATGCATGGAATTCTCAGCTTGATTTGGTGACTGTTAGGCACGGTGATGGGTTTCTGTACGTGTCAAGACAGTGGACTGACTAAAAAAAAGTAAGATCCCCAAATGCAGGTTGGAGGTTTTGCGGTTTGCAGAACTGATAGAGGCCGTGCAGTTTGTACAGAAGGGGGGTGGCTAGTGGAGGAGAAATCAGCCAGAGTTCCCACATCAAGGAACGAGTGTGTGGGTGGACAGGATTGGGCTCAGCTGTGATACCTTGCACTGTGAAACAGCTGCACTGTTGACACTGTTCTTCACATGTGTCCAGCCTCATACGTGAAGAACGAACGGCCACTTTTGGGGGATGTTACCGTAGGGCAATTAATGCCTGTGGGAACCGTAGCTAGATCGCTGTTTGTTTTACAAGTGAGGAGAAAAGTCGATTTAAACATGACGTTAAACGAACAACATTTAAAAATACACACACACACATATATATATATATATATATACTCAAATAGCAATGGCCAGGTCACATTCCCACACAGCAGTGAGTGAGTACACCACAAGATCATCAAAACAAACAGCGAGGAGGGTTGCACTAATCAACTAATCAATTTGCCTGATCCTTGACCCACACATTTTTGATGATCCTTCACATTTACCGAGCAGCAGGATGCCTCGAGTAGATTGTTCCTCCTGCTGGCATTGCTTACCATGGTGCCTCCGTGTGAGTCTGTTCCATTCAGATCTGTTCCGGCCTGAGCTGCTTCTGTGATGTCTGCAATCATCTGCTGCTCTGTGGCCGCCCGGACTTCATCGATCTTTTCCTGAGTGATCCCTGAAGAAGATAACAATAATAATGATATTAATAATAATCTTTGCAATTGATACAGTGCCTTATCACATCTTTGCGACGTCTCAAAACGCCTCACAGAGTATACTGTAAAGTGAATTGACCGTATATTTTGTGGGCGAAACACGACAGCCGACTGAGAACAGCAGTCTATTAAATGCCTGAGCAATGTGTCCAGCTTCTATGAAACGGACTCTCTCAGGCGATTTGTAACCCTCTAAAATTTGCAGAGATAGAGGAGAGGATCTAAGCCTTGGAAATCAAGATAGGGATCAGCGGGGATCAGTTCCTTGCACGCTTTCGGGATGAGGCAATGATAAGGTAACTGTAACGTGCTGAATATTTTACACCTGGATTTACTTACAAGACACACGGAGTCAGGAGCGACTTCCTCCTACACACACACACTGTCAACAGTGGAATCAGTTACCTCCTGGAAAGATGGTATCAGTTTTACCAGCTGTGAAAATAGTGATGTAAAAAAACATCACTTCTGTAATTCTCCCAACTCAATATTCAACAGCAGCACCCGGTCTCACACCTGCCCTCTGATCACTGTGGTGTTTTGCCTTCAAAGAAAAGTCATTACATGCGGCAGCAATTGCCGTGAAGCACGTCACAATGTTTTGACGTCCTGCAGTTACAAAGATAGAAATAATAATAATAATAAATTGGTTACTCAATCCACGACTGTTTGCAGGGCACTGCTGTGCGCAATTGGCTGCCGAGTTTCTCCCACAAAATAAACAGTCACTATTCTGTTCAGTATATCCTGTCAAGAAGTTTCAACGAGGTGATAAGGCGCTGAATCAAATGTAAGTCTTATTATTTGATTGTAGAACGCCGGACCATGGAAGAGATGGAAAAACACTGAGCAGAGCAACAAGGTATCACAGTGTGAGGGGGAATTAAATCAACAAATAGATTACACTTGAACTTTTGGAGAGTTCCTTGCCTTTAAATCAACTAAAGCAAAATAGCACATTTACCATTAGCAGCAATCAGACCACTGACCGGTTGTCAGGCAGATGAGTTGTCTCTGCTGCCTCTGTTCAGTACATTAGAGATTTACATCACTCATGGACCACACAGATCACTGAATGGTGTGCTTTTCCTCTCTCCGTGGCCTCTCATTTTTGTATAATGTATTCAGTCGCTGGCCTAACTAACAGCTGATGTAATGGCTGGTTAATTGGGGAGCTGGAACCAACTATCTCGGTTAACATTCTGAAAATGGTACGCCCGAATAATTAGGCTAAGTGTGAGTCAACGTTTCCATCTCCCATTGGAATGCTTAATAGAAAATATTTAAAAAGGTCCTTTTGGGAGAGGCGTGTGTGTGAGCGAATGAGCACATAAAATAGTGTAAAAGTGTAGGTGCATCGGGAAGAAGAGCGACAAAATGCTGAAGAGGATCTGAAAGGGAGAATTAGAGCACATTTGTATGCAGCGAAGCCACTGAGTGTGTGATTTATTTGATAATTTAATCGTTTTAGACCATATTTTTTTGTGGTCTCCTCCAATGTGACAGTACATTTACATTGTGTCTTCCTCTCCCCTTTAAGCTTTTAATCAGCTAATGGATTATTCAATCTGTTTCTGCATAAGGCAACCTGGATAAGGAATAAGGGTCTCGAGTGTTAAAAACTGACCCTGTACCAGTGCTCAGATGAGGCCATTCTCATGACCTACATAACCATCTGTTTAATTATCCTCCTCTGTCTTACCCTGGTTGGCCATCGCTGTCTCGAGAAGGTCCAAGGTCTGCTCATCATCGCACAGATCATAGGGCATGTTCCCATCTGCATTGACTGCCAGCAGGTTTGCTCCCCTGCGGACAGAAGCAACAGTGAGATCATGGGCGTTGCCAGCATCATCCCAATTATCAGACATCGCTTACAACCACAACAACAAATTCCATTTTCACAGCGCCTCTCACGTCAGCAGGACGTCCCAAAGCGCTGGACAGTTCAGGGTGTGCACCAGAGCTGGGGGTTGGGATCAGGAGGGGTGGAAGGCAGGGAGGGTGGGGGGTAGGAGGGTGACCGAAAGTGCGGTAGAAGAGGAAGGTCTTGAGACGGGCATTGAAGGCGGTGAGGGAGGGAGGTGAAGGGACTGTGGGATGGAGTCCTGAAGGAACTTACTTCCTGCTACATAAGGTACAACCCCACCAGTCATTTTCCTGTAGGACAAAGTCTTATACTCCACAGTGACTTCCCTTTTGTTAGCTATCAAAGCCACGCTGGTGATTTCTGCGGTAAAGACACTGAAGGTCATTTCCTGGCCAGGCTGGAGGAACACTCACCTCCCCACAAGGATCTTCACCAGATCGGTGTGTCGACACGTGGCTGCAGCGTGTAACGGAGTCCACAGCTCGTTGTCTGTTGCGTTCACGTTTGCTTTCTTATCCAACAGCAGCTTTACCAGCTCTTCAAAATTATCTATGCAGCACTAGGAGGAAATAGCAAGACATTTCAGCACCTGGAGACAACACAAGGACAGCATTATCCAATAATAATAATAATCCTTGCATTTGATAAAGCGCCTTAACACGTCTTCGACACGTATCAAACATTTCACAGAAACTGCAGTCAAGTGCAGTGACTGTATACTTTGTGGGCGAAAAACGGCAGCCAATTGCTTACAAACAGCTGTAATGCATGTTCTTGTCCTGCGCCAGACACACACAAGCTTCACGCTGAGTTTCGTTGTATAACCTGCTGGCATTTGTGCGTATGCTTCAATATGGGATGTTTCAATATGGTAAAGGAGCTATAAAAATGTAAGCTTGTTGTTTTACATGAAATTAGAGGAATTTACTGCTAAGCATCAACACCTCTGACTGTTCTCAGTTGGTAATATTTCAGATATGCAAAGAATAATAATAAACTCCTATCCTGATTGCTTTATTTAGAAAAATCCCAATGCCTGAAATGCAGTGATTTTGCTATTTGAGCAATTTGATGGGTTCTGTTCCAGTTCAAAAAATGGATATGTATGAAGTTCAGCTGCAGCATCTCTCCGGCTCTCCAGCAATGAATGACAAAAAAAGGGAGTATTTAAAAAGAGTTTCTTGTGAGCACAGGAGGCCAGAAACCCTTTACTTTTTTTAATCAGTTTCAGGAGCCGAGTTAACACAATAATTCCAGACGTCCACTGTGGCCGAATTGAAGAACATTACAGCGGGAACATGAGTGACACGGAAGCCGAGCGACAAGAGGAAATGTTTCGGCTGCTTGAGGTCTCTTCCAATGAGACCAGTAAAACTAACCGAGAAGGAAGAGGCGGGGCGAGAAATGAGGTTTTAAGGAAATAACTAACCCAGCGCAAAGCACTGTTTCAAGTGGCATTCGTGGTCAAAGGACAAAATAGACGATTGTGTAAGAATACTATTTTTCCTCCCTAAATTAAGGTCTGTCCAACGCCTTGGGATGTTCCCCCGACTCGAAAGGCTCTATGCAAATGTAATTTGTTGTTGTTTTCTGCCGCACTCGAATCGTGATTTTTTTTTTGCTGGGAGCAGACTTCCTGTAGCCTGTGTTCTGCGACATTGTCTGCCAGACTTTGCTCAACACACACTCAGGCCATAAGCTGTTCAAGTGCATGATAATAGTTTGGTCACTCAATCCACGGCTGTTTGTGGGGACGCTGCTGTGCGCAATTGGCTGCCGCGTTTCACCCACAAAATACATACAGTCAATTCACTTTACAGTAGATTCTGTGAAGCGCTTTGAGACGTCTCGAAGACATGATAAGGCGCTGTATCACACTAAACGATTGTTATTATTATTACGTTCTTTTTGTCACACTGTAGCTTTGTGACCTGAAAGGACACTTTTTTTTTAACATATCAAAAAAATGACGCAATCCTAAGACCCACTGAGATGCATTTCATTAAAGTAAGCACTGCTTTTTGTAACACTTGCATTTTTACTGGACTTGTGCGTGAACCATGGAATCCAAACTAAAGATTGGGATTTGCTGTGTACCTTAAACTTTTCCCCTGTGGACTGAGACCGAACTGGCCAGTCGCAGCCCTTCTTAAAAAATAATAATGGAAATTCCTGAAATTCTCAAGGATTACTGTTTGCCATCAATAAGCCCTTTCAATTCCCGATTAACTTGGCAGTAAATCTCCCAGTGCTGCTGTGGAAAGCCCTCTCTCATCAATCAGTTTAATCAACACTGTTAAAGGCACAGACCAGAGCTTCCCCCTGATGTCTTGGTTAGTTGAAGTGACTACCCAGAGTAATACTAGAGTCCAGAGATAAGGAAAGTCCCAAATTCAAATCCATCCCGCAGTCCCTTCGCCAAGCCTCACCTTCGGTCACCTCCTACCCCTAGTTTCCCTGCCCTCCACCCCTCCTGATCTCAATCCCCAGCTCAGGTCCAAATCCCTGACTGTCCAGCGCCTTGGGACATCTTCCTGACGTGAAAGGTGCCATGTAAATGTCATTTGTTGTTTTTGCATTAGTTGATCTCATCCTACATTTGTAATTCTGCACTTGGCTTCAGGGAAAGGAGTAAGTGGGGGGGGGGGGGGGGGGGGGGAAGGTGGGGGCAAGAGATGGAATCAATCAACGTTCCCGCTCCTGATCACCACTATCTCTGGAGAGAGCTTGTGTGGATGTCAGATGAGAATGAGATGAGGCTGAGCTGTTGTGATGAACTAGTCTGTGAACACTCATTCTCTGGCAACACATGAAAATGGCCACTTAGGAAGAAACCAGAGGGCAGCACTGACACTAGTTGAGATCAGGTTCCATGGTTAACACCTGTCCTTCTGGCCCAAGTAGCTCTTCTTCAAGGTCTCCACAGTAAGATTAAGAAAAAGTTAATTCACTTCATGGCTTGGGTGTGGGACACTGCTGTGCTCAAATTGGCTGCCGTGTTCACTTACACAGTCACTACACTTTACAGAAAACTCTGTGAAGTTCTTTGAGACGCTTTGACATGATAAGGCGCTATATCAAATGTAAGGATTAATATTCTTTTCATCATTATTATGATTAAAATACTCTCCCATTGCCACTCCAGCTAAGAATAAGTTAGCACAGAGCGGGAATCGTTGTTAGAAACTTCCACAAATGTTTCACAGTTGCCAGTGCGAAGAGAAGGAAAAAAGTAAGCAAAGTATTTTCAGTGAAAACCTGTCAGCACAGATGCACGAATAAAACTTGATTGGCAAATTCAGATAAATCTCACCTTGGCAATCACTGACAATAAACATTGTCAAGTTCTTCAGAAACCCAACAAAAGCTCACGCACACAGTCTCTTGTCTCGTGTCGAAACACGCCAGCAACTTTTTCCACTTTAACTAACATTTGAGGCTCAACAACGGCCCCTTTGTCTGGGAACAATGAGAGAATTAAAGAAAAAAAAAGGAAAATTTTCTGCAGGAATCTGTGCTAATACTTTCCAAACAAAGGCGCTATTGAACGAATGGCAGAAGTGAACAATGTTGGGATGCAATGTGTGACTCCTTCCCGCACCAGCAACATAGCTCTGCTGCCACTTGTTCCCCTGATAGCAAGTGCCCAAACGGGAGCAGAAGGCAGGGAAATAACAATAATAATCATGGCATTTGATATAGCACCTTATCATATCTTCGAGACGTCTCAAAGCACTTCACAGAATATAACGTAAAGTGAATGGACTGGATGTTTTGTGGGCGAAACGCTGCAGCCAATTGTGCACAGCAGCCTCCCACAAACAGCCGTGGATTGAATGACCAAATTATTATTATTTGTTTATTTTGAAGGAATTATTACTCCCAGAAAAGTGATCTGCCAATCGAATATCAACTGGGTTCCTACTTACTGCTAGATAAACAGAGGTGTGTGTGTGTGTATGGAGTAAGGAAACTTGCCTAAGGTTTCGTCCTGCCCGGGAATCGAACCCAGTCGAGTGCTCTAACCACTAAATTACAGAAATGTTATTCAGACCTTTGGTGCTGGTCGATGTTGGCCTGAACTATCAGCCCACAAACCATTCCAGATGGAGCTCAGTGACAAACTCACATCAGGTTATTCAGTTGGTAAACAGCTGCTCCCCTTCCCAGCACTACAATATTTGCCAGCACCTTGGGACGTCCTCCCGACGTGAAAGGCGCTCTATAAATGGAATCTTGTTGTTGTTGTTGTTGCTTCTGCATCAACTCAAATGATCTAATACACACAAGTGTGTCAGCTAGGCTCACTTGATGTCACTACTGCCTCTGTAGTTGCGGGTTCAAGCCCCATATCAGAACTTGAGCTTATAGTCCAGGCTAAGACTGCAGATCAGTTCTCCAATGCTAGACATAACATCCTCCGAGTAAGATATTATAGTTCTGCCTGTCCAGGTGGATGTTAAAGATCCCATGACGCTATTCAGAAAGAAAAGGGAAGTAGTTTCTGGCCAGGAATCCACCAGATAAATTGTTTATTCACCGTGTAATATATTATTCTAATACTAATATTCCTTGTATTTCATATAAAGCCTTATCACGTCGTTGAGACATCTCAAAGCGCTTCGCAGAATATACTGTGAAGTCAATTGACTGTATGTTTTCTGGGTGGAGCGCTGTTTTTTTTCTCATGGAAAAAAATCTCATGGCTGTTTGTGAGACTTTGCTATGTGTACACTGGCTGTGGGGTTTATTTGGAAGTTTTTAAAGAACGATTGTTCTGGAACGTCAGCACCGAGAGGTTTCTACAGGATGAGACGAGTGAGTTTAGGGTTTTTCACAGGCTTGAGCCAGTGTGGGGGCTGTCCTTGTGTACATCAACATATTTGCCTTATCTGAAATCAGGAGGCAAGACAGAGGGTGTCCACGTATAATCAAGTGAGGTCATGTCTACTGCCAATGCCTCCCTTAAGAATCAAAACATGATTTATTGCAATATTTCCCCTAATGAAACACAAGGCGAGTTGCAAATCCCTGAGTTATCGCTAACCTGACAGCAACGAGCAGTGCGTCTAAAAAGTGGAACATGTTGCATTCCCCAGAACTGGTATCATTTCTACTGATAAGTGCAAAAAATAGTTGCAGTGAAAAGTTTCCTGAAGAGAGAGAGAGGAGACTTTCCGCTCATAGGTCTTGTTTTCAGTTGAACAGGTGTCCCCCTAGGTGAAGGGGCAGCAATTTAAGTCACAATCACCACACCTTTATAGTATATCCTAGGAGACATCCTATATTAAAGGTAAGGATTATTTTTTATTATTATGAATAATACTAAAAATGCCACATCTGCCATTGAATACTGAGCAGCGTTCTGAGTTCCTGTGGTACTTGGAAGCTTGCCAGCAATTAGAAGCCAGTGTGCGTGCAGCCCACTTCAAATGTGCAGTGCAGGTCTGCCAGCACAGACCGGGGGGGGGGGGGGGGGGGGGTGAGCGATGGTGGGGTGGGGGGGGCGGGTGGGTGGATTTGGACTGACACCAGTATTGGCTGAACCAAATTAATTCACTCGATGCTGGCCTCAACTGTTGAATCAGTTGCTAGTATTCCTTTTGATGCTAACAAGCTGTTTCAGACCAAGTTCTAGGATGTCGTTCCATAGCAGAGTGTGAAAGAATCTTTTACACGTGACTGACCTCCTCTCATTGACACTGCCTGTCCCGAGGGCACTTTCCCGCATCGACACATAAACACCGTTGGAGACCTCCTGTAGTCCAAAGTGATCAAAAGGTTATTCTTTACCTGATGCAGTGCAGTGAGTCCATCTTCATTGGATAGGTCTGGATTTATGTTTCTCTTCAGTAATTGGCGCACTGCAATGAAAAGGATGGAGATGACTGTTTACAGTATAGAGCCCTGGCCTTAAACCAACAGCAACTAAAAGAGCTTAAAGTGATGTGCATTAGGCTTGGTGTGGAAAGAGCCAATATTCAATCACAATCGAGTAGCCTCCTAGAAGGCACCACCTCAAGTAATGTGCGAATATTTGGGAGAAGGTATTAGAGCAACTTGTGTCCATGGGACCAAAATACCAATTATAATAATCATAATAATAATAATCCTTGGATTTAATACAGCGGCCTATCCCGTCTTCGAGACATCTCAAAGCGCTTCTCACAATATACTGTAGAGTGAATTGACTGTACGTTTTTGTCGGTGAAAGAAGGGAAAAAAAGTAAAATTCCTTCAGGAGAAGGAGAGAAGCGAGGAGGAAGGTGAACTGCCTTTAGATGTTTGCAGCAATCATTCCTTCATTATTCCTCCTTTCCTGCTTGTATTTACACCGGTAACTTTTATATAGTGCTGTGAATCAGGGTATGGTAGCCAAGCATCCAGTTCTTTGTCTGTGTTCAATAGATGACACTCAATGATGTGAAGATACAGACAACTCACTGCTGAACAATGACACCAAACAGAGGCTCATCACACATTAAGACTTAATAGTTTTCCACAATAGCATCAGTGTATTTAAGAGAAAACGTGCTGCTTACATGAGGGAGAAAGGAATAGAGAAATAGAAGAGGATGGGAGGGGACTGGTGTGGACACTGACAAGGACTAGTTGGACTGAATGGCCTCGTTCTGTGCCATATTACTCTCTATAACTTTGTAACCATAAACAAGACACATCCTACATAAAGACAATATGATAGCCATTTAATTCAAGCTTTCTGTTAATGGCTAGACTGGCTCTCTCTGGAGACTTAAGCATAGACTTAATCACTGATTCCAATTTAATAGTGCGAGTGGCTGTGATAGCCCCCAATGCTCAAAATAGACAACCAACAGTCATTACAGTGGGTTGATATATTGAGACATATTGTAAAACAGCTGCAACACTTTAATCCAAACCTAAAGTATTTTGTTGCTGTACATTGACAAAGACCAAAGTGCCCATGGACTGTGGAGCAGGTGTGAGATTCCAAGATTCAGAATTTACTGAAAGAAAATAGAATCTAACACAATGTCATTTTACACACGGTTGCTCTTAACCTCAGTTACCTCCTGATTGCTTGAGCCCAGATCAAGCCAGCACAGACAATCCAGTAGTTCCCTAGTCAACGTGATGTGACATCAACAGTAAGTGAGATCAACAGTGCAATCACTCGGCCACAGTGAGCGTAAGCTACATTAACGGAGCACCACATTTCACCAACCCTGCCCATTGGACCTTCCTCTTCGACCATGCCTACCATTACCTCGCTCCCCCCCTCCCCGTCGTGCTCCGCCACTGTCAAGCACTCCGGGATGCTAGCCTGCATGAGGGGCGCTCACAGTAGTCATACTGTACAACAACAAGTGCCTATATGACAAAGTCAAGAGTACAAGAGATACAGTAAATATTGTATACTAATGGTAGGAAGAGACAAGTCAGAGTGGCAATTACATCTCCAGAGATCCATTGCAATACATTTCCTCTAATGCAAGTCCGCTATTAGGGCTGAATGTTCTCTAGCTTCACTTAACCTCTAATAGAGCAAAATGCTGGTATCTCTCAATATGTAGGCCAGGCACTGTGCACTGGGGAAACAATGGTTGCAACAGGATGGGTCATTTTAATTCTATAGCAGGGACATATTTTTAATGCACGTCTGTAATATTAAACAGAACCCCCTAACAATCCCTGTGAAGCTGAGTGATTATGTAATAATAGAAAATAGCATTAAATATAACTGTAATAGCAAAGAGTATGAATTCAGGTTTTACAATTCTCAGAAAGTTCCATCGAAGTCCATTAGTTCATCTCTCCCAGGGCTCCTACATTCATTTATCACTTGAGTTGCTCGTGAACTGTGCAAGTTACTTTTCCACTGCATAGTTTGATATAATAATTGTTTGCTTTGTGAAAATAAAATCCATTCATCATGTTGTTGGCTTCAGTGAAATGAACTGTGTTGGCTCTTGAAAAACCTAAGAGACTTCAAAATCTCAACACATCAAAATTACATTCAGCATCCAATGACCGACCAGTCTTTGAAATCAGGACTCACTTTAACGTGATGAAAAAGCAAGTGAACACTAGGATCAAGGTACTCATCATCATCCCTGGCCCTGATTAGCTTGTCACTGGCATAGAAGGAGTTAAGCATGTAATGCTATTAAGCAAATGGAAATCAAAAACCTCAAATCATTTCCTACCCACACCCAGTGCATTTACTTCTGTTGAGTAAATATGACTTCCTATTGAAGGAGACGTGTCTTGCAAGAAGTTTTAACTTGTTTACAACCCGAGGGATTACATCTACATGATTAATGCAGCAAAGATAACAGCAAACGTATCTTTATCCTAATCTTTTCTTTTTAAGGTCAAACCTAGTTTTTAAGTATATATTAAAAATATTGTTTTAAATCATGGGTGAAAACGTACGACACTTAAGGCATAAAATGATATAACGCGTTAGAAATTATATAATGGCAAATGCAACGAAACAGTACGCTGGGCTCCCTGATGGCTCGGTTGGTAAATGCAGTATGTGTTGTGGGATTGGGACTTGTAGACCAAAGAGTTGTCATGCTTGGTTCGTGTGGTTAGCTGATCTCAACCAGGGAAGCAAGAAGAGACACCACAATGGGTCTTTGTGCCTCTGGCACCAGATCTGATAGAAAATGGTCAACTGTATCATCCTCTAGAACAAAAGGGAATCCAGAGTTGGAATATGTTACCAGGAACTTTTACAGAGCTCAAAAACCATAGAATATTATAGCCCAGAAGGAGGCCATTCGGCCCATCGTGCCTGTTCCAGCTCTTTGGAAGAGCTGCCTAATCAGTCCTGCTCCCCCGTATCCTTGCAATTTTTTCCTCTTCAAGTACCTATCCAATTCCCTTTTGAAAGTTGTTATTGAATTTGTTTCCACCGGCCCTTTAAGACAGTGCATTACAGTCCGTAGCAACTCTCCGTGTGTAAAAAGAAATCTCCTCATCTTCCCTCTGGTTCTTTTGCCAACTATCTGGAACCTATGTCCCCCAGTTAATGTCTGCTATCACTAATTTAGTAACTTTGTTCTGAATGGGTTTAACTGCAATGTGCCTAAGAGTACATCTATTGCTCTAAAAATAGTCACAGAAAGACTGTGTGCAAGTCAAGAGACAAGGAACGTGAAACATCTGTAACAGAGACAGGATTTACCTTCAGTTTTTAATTAACGAACATTCGGTGACTGGCGTATGTGTGGCTCATAAATAAATATTCCATTGAACGAAAAAGTCTGGAGATTCAGTTAACCTGAGGGCACTTGTGCAAGGAAAATCTTGAAACACAAAAGTGTCAGCAAAGGCCAGGAAGTATAGATAGCCCTAGATAGCTGCTGTCTTGACAAGTCATTGATACAGGGGAACCTAAAGAGCAAGGCAGACTAAAATCTGGGGAATACTTTATGACACAATATTATAGTCACAGAATACAAACAGCAAAAGCAGACACTGATCCAGGAAGCGGTTAAGTTCCTACCACACTTCCCTTCCTCCTCCACCAACTTGTAAAGCTGTAACTCACTTGTGATGTGTAATAGACTCAAACGTGGGGAAAAATTAATTGCAGACTTTCTCCTCTCTCATCATACGGAACAAATTTGCAGTCATATGGGAGGCAGCGGAAGGGGGAGGGGGTGGGAGGTTGGTGGAAAGAAAACACATTCTTTTCTAAAACAGGGGTCTTCAGGAACACGAAAAGCACAATTGTGCAATCTAAAAAGGGGGAGCATTGCCCAGGGTGCAAATCTCACATATTTGGGATATCAAATGGATCACGATGAAGGTCAAAGCAAAGCAACGAGGACAATTGAAAAGTCCCACAATGATCATCAGAGATTCCCCAGAAACACCCTTTCCAGTTTAAGGTTTGATTATTTACGTTCGATTATTTTGTGGGCCCAGGTTTCAATTCTCAGCAAACTTTGGCAGGTAATGCAGAACCATAATGGTTTTGCTGTTTGGCAGCTTGTACAGGACTTAGCAGTGACCTGCACACTCCCAGTTGCTGCCAATCTGTAAAAGCGGTGACATGCCTAAGAGAGTAGACTGTTACTGCTCGAAGCTGTCACACTCATCAGTGTGCGGTGTTCCCAGTACTCCATGCCTGATGCTGCATTTTCTACGCTGCATCTGATGCTGGCTTGCTAGTCAGCGAGAGCGCGATTTTCACAATAATACTATCCAATGCTGGTGTGCGCTTGGCAAGGAGTAATGTCCAACTTACTTCATTGTTCAATGTTAGCATGCTCGTAATGATGTGCCACATACACCCCCTGCAGTGGACAGAGTCCCATGTTGGCATGATTTCGATGAGAAGCTGTCGTAGCATATCACGGTTTTACATTGAGGATATTGCACACATGATAATCAGTGAGGGCAAATGCTGAGTGCGGTACTGCCAAATATTTACAAGCAGAAGCCAGTCTGATTTAGAAAGGATGAGAGTCCAACAGCATCTGGGACTCTGCAATTAAAGCATTCAAACTCTACAGCTGGTGTTCCAACATGTGCAAGAAATGTTTTGTGCCTCCAGGGCTGAACTAATGTATTTCTTGATACATAAAGAAGATCAAAGCACAACACATTTGGAAATAAATAGGTCTCCCTTTAGTTTCCAACATTCCACTGCAGTCCAGACTCCCTCCCTCCACATACATTTTCCATGCTGCTATATATAATATATACATCGTACAGTATATAAATTAATTATACAACCACACATAAATATTGCATCTTCAATTTGTTTGACTGAGGCAGGGAAGGATCAATGCCCAATGACTAAAAACTTTGGAAGGTAAAACACATTGCCTACTACCACATGACACAGAATATTTAGCATTTTTTAGCAACAGTTTCATGAAGCCAGTCCAGGAACAGTTAAGAAGAGAAAATGAAAGTGTGATCCATCTGTCTGGAACACTGTCAATCAGAGTGTTTATGTGCTGTTTTCATCCCTTCTTCTGTTTCACCTGTAGCTCATCGTGGTCAACTTACGACTCAATTATCTCTGGGTTTCAAAAAAAAATTTGGTGATTCAATCCACAACTTCTGTGGGACACTGCTGTGCGCAATTGGCTGCCTCGTTCCGTCCACAAAATACACAGGTAATCCACTTTACAATATATTCTGTGAAGAGCTTTGAAACGCCTCGATTAGGATTATTATTATTATATTATATTATTACTTGATGAGGAGATTAAATAGAATGACATTTCTAACAAGCTGCCTACAGATCATTAACTGGCTTGCTTGTCAACCCATTGAACTGAACAATTTTCGGGACAAATTGCTGCCTAAACTAAACTAAATCTCATTTGTACTCTTCAAATGTAAGCTAATTTGGGCAGGTTTTGCTCCATTAGTGTGATGAGCACAATTAGGAAGCTGTACAAGAGAGAAAAACAAATGGACATTATCCCAATTCCACCTGAAGAGTTTAAAATGCCAATTTTGGTACAATGTTTCTCAATTATTTCAGGGGGGAAAAAAAGAGATAGTGTGTTTGTGTCGTTTAATATGAAGCTCGGGTAGAATAGGAAGTAATTGTACTGATCAGAACCGAGCCGAGTTCCTGCTTAATGATGTCTCCAGCCTCTCTCCTCCTCTGCTCCCCGAATTTAGAAACTTGTGCAAGCGTTTGTGTTGCTGTAGCTTTCACAATCACAAGCTTGACGGACAAATACATATATATGTACGAGGAGTTGAATAAAGTACACCTTCTGAGGCAGGAGAAAGTTTACGACTCAGGAGACCCCTGGCTGTGCTTCAGAAAAGCAGGAATGTGCGCAATACGCTATCACCAGATGCCTTCAGGTTGTTATGGAAACCTGCATTGAAGAATTTTTTTGGGTGCACAGCTGTGCACAACCGAATAATCAAGTGCATAAAACTCAAGAGAGGGAAGAGACTGCATGAATCATGGGCACAGCAACAGCCAGCTACATTTCATTACTCAAGAGGCTATTTTGGGGTGTTCCATCTTTGATATTAATTTTTTTCTACCCCCAGGTTTGTTGGGCAACCAATTGCCAGCCATCGGTTGAAAGAGTAGAATTAAAACTAAGTTTAGAATGAAATTCAACTAAACGCAATTCAGTAGATAACTGCTCTGCTCAAACTTCGTCGATAGATACATGGCCACCACTTCAGCCTGCAAGGCAACCACACTGCAATCACAGGTCAAGTACTGTGTGTATCTAAATAAAATAATGTTAATGCAGCTCAAGTATGTGGTGGTTTAGGTTTTAAAATTAGACAACTTGGACCCTTTACTTTCTAACTTTGTGAATCATTCTGTCAAAATCTGCGGCTGCAAGCTTTTCTTTCAACCACTTTCCAGTCTGTCCAATATTCTGGCCTCAACCACTCTTCCTATTGTCCAGTTCCAGTCATCGATTATCCTCTGGGTAAAGGCATGCTTCCTGGTGTCTGTCCTGAAATTGCTCTTTGCAACCCTAAACCTGTGTCCTCTTGTGGCTGGGAAGGGAGAAATGTTTGCGAGACCTGAACTTTGAAAGAATTTATAAGGTTAGAAGGCGAGATTTCAGATGCCGTTAGTAAACTAAACCTTTGCCTCCAGTACAGGGACAGCAGAGGAAAATGACAACACATCTTCACACAAGACTGAAATCTTTAACTGCGGATTCAATCAGATGAGGAAGTAATTATATTTCCCGTTGAGAACATCACAGCACGGTTCTTGAGAGTTTTGACTCATCGCAAATGAGGCCACTTAAAGAATGACTCAAAGCTAATTGAATGAAAGCTTCACTGGATGAAATAAAAGCTTACATAGACTGAGAGATCAGGGTTGAAAAGCTCATCTCCAAGGCCCAACAGAAAATAAGGATAATTATAGCATCAGTAGTATTTTACAGTAGAGATTTTTCCACGGTTAAATGCAGATTGGACTGAAGGTTGGACCTTACCTTCTTCCACGTCGTTGCGAGCAGAAGCCTCCAGGAGAGTGATGTTGGGAGCAAACGAGACGCGCTTGTGACTTGATGCGTTTTTCTTTCTGTCCGTTTTCCGCTTCTTGTTGTGCAGCTCTTTCTCATATTGCGCCCATTTCTTCAGCTGCTGGGTCCGACGTTTCCTGGCCACTCTCAGGCGGTCAGGCGCAGGCAGCCTCTCCAGAAACGTGAGCTCTGTCAGGAGTTCCACATGGTTTGACATGGCCAAGGGAAGTTGTGAGAAACTGGGAGCAGGCGGTCGAGGGATAGGTTTGGACAACACAGAGGGGTGAGGTCTGTGCACTCACTCATCAACCATTCGGTTAACGGAGGCTCTGTATCGGTTCCTGTTATTTATAGCTGTTCTTGGTGAAGCGTGGGCAGGATTCAAGAACGAGCCTGGAGTTTGCCATCGCTGTACCCTGCAACGTGCAAAACAAGAAAGATCATTAAACCTTTTACTGCGATCATCATCCACCACTTACAATACACGTCGATGCTCGTACCATAAACACACTCCAAAATGTATTCACTGACGGATTTTGTACATTTGCAACACATCGGGCAGCTCAAATAACATAATAATAAACAAATAATAATCCTTTCATTTGATATAGCACTTCTCACGCTTTCTAGACGTCTCAAAGCGCTTCAGAGAATAGACTGTAAAGTGAATTTAAAGTGAATTTATAAACCAAGAGAAACCTGTTAGATTACAAGTCAGAAACAACAATAACAACAAATTACATTTGTAGAGCGCCTTCCACGTCTGGAGGACGTCACATGACACGGAAACTACTGACTTACTGATTAGGTTTTGCTTCTCAAGTCCCATCACCCTGTGGGATAGTAAGTCACAAAGAGTGGGAGAATTCTACAATGGACATGCAATCTGCACGAATGCGAGCACAGGTAATGAGTCTTCGTATCTCCTGGGCTAGAGAAGGGGAGAAACAACCTGCCAGGTGTCTTGCTGTGCGTGGGTGAGCTGTGTTGTAAAGTGGTGGCATTTAAATGTCAGGTCCGGAAAGGAATAAGCGGTGCTGTCCCATATCGTGGGATAACCTGCTGATCCCAAAGTCTCAATAATGACCCAGCGCCTCATCACGTCTTCGAGACGTCTCAAAGCACTTCACAGGATACACTGTAAAGTGAATTGACTGTATGTTTTGATTCACTTGTGAAAAATAGCTGCTGAGGCAGGGCTGAAGAACATGGTTGGTGCCCAGGAACTGCACCCGAGAATGAGGAAGTTGCGTTCTGGGCAGACAAGAAATTATAAATACAATACAAATGACATTTACACAGCGCCTTTCACGTTGGGAGGACGTCCTAAGACGCTGGACAGTTAGGGATTTGGACCCAAGCTGGGGGGTGTCGGGGTTAGTGAGGGTGGAGGAGAGGGAGGGTAGGAGGGTGGCCAAAGGCTCGGTCGAAGAGGAAAGGTTTGAGACGGGACTTGAAGGAGGTGAAGGAGAGAGCGAGGCGAAGGGACTGTGGGATGGAGTTCCATAAGGTGGGGGCAGAAAGGCTGAAGGGATTGTTAAGTACCCTCGACAAATAAAGGTAGCAATTGTGAGGGGAAAAGATATTTTATGTCTGTGTACACTATCTGAGTCAAGAAACTGTCGATTTCATGTCTGATTACTTACTCCACCCAGCTGTTTATTTCAGCTCTGCAGGTGAAGCAGTTACTCCTTATCTTTGGTTTCCTTAACTTGAATCTTTATCAGCCTCTAACCACGTCTCCTACATCCCTGCCCTTCATCACACAGTAACACCCGAATGAGCAGCAAATGCTACAAGCGACAGAATGCAGCGTTTCCTCACTTTGATAGGGGAAAATTAGATTTTACGATGAAAGGAAGTGGTTTGTTTGTGACAAACGTCCAGTACAAATGTGATTCGGAACGTACAGAACACCAGGTGGCAGCTACACAGATATCCCGAGGGGCTCCGGCTGAAGACCTCATGATTGGAAGGAGTTGGCAGGTGTACTTGTCAGGACTTGGGGAAGCATTCGCCCACAAAATATAGTCATTTCCCTTTACGGCATATTCTGTGAAGCGCTTTGAGACGTGACAAGGTGCAATATGAAATGCAAGGATTATTATAAAAACCTATGAACCGTCCAGCCCCTGTCCAGTGATTGCAACCAACAATGTGACTGATGTCTTGGGGCCTATGCTGTTACGTGTCAATTGCAATGCTTTCAGAAATTCGCCATATTAAATGCAAGGATTATTATTAATTATAAGCAAATTATTAGTTACAAGCAAAGCACAAGCACAATTTGAATGAAATAGAGCAGGAATGGATGCAGTGTGACATGGTGCTGGAGATACTGAACGTCTCATAATCTTTATTGCTTTATTGCTCAAGAATGCAGCATCCTTCTACTTAGAGCACAGCAGGACTTGGAAGATCAGACCTGTCACTGGGGGCAGGGAATCCTCACACTCAGCTCCTGTTAACCCTACAAACCAAAGCTCTAATGGGTAGGGTGGCCCTAGCTGGTCTCACTGCGTGTGTCTGGATCTGTGTGTGTGTGAGACAGAGGGAGAGATCACAAGGATGGCTAGTGATCTCTGAATATACATCTTTAAAGGGATTTATCTCATCATACAAAGGAAACTAACTGATATGGCACGGCTTGACATTGACAATGGAGAAACTTTTTTCTGTTTCTCAGCACAAACATCACCTCGATGCGCATAAAAATACTTTTCTTTCACACACTGATTGTCACCATTTGCTACACAAAAAAGAGCAGTTGAAGAGTTTGCGAGAGGGGAAACTGGAGTGCCAAACAGACTGTTTCCACTGCTTTAACATTATATGTAATTCTATGTAAAACTGGTTTGCTATTTAAACACCAGAAGGGATTTTTATAATACAAGTATTTCAAGACATTATCCTACACGAGAGCCACTACATACAACAACAACAACGTGCACTTATATAGCACCCTCCTCACAGGGCAGCATCTCAGAGTGTTTAACAGTGGCCTGTTAACTCGTCTCTACGGAAAGCCAAGTCAGTGTTGAACTTGATGTAAGAATACTTAAAACAAGACTGTACTCTCCTTGTTTACCTGGGAAAGATCTGAAGGCGCCGAGAAGTACTAAAGCAACATTTTCTGGGTCTGTGGGTCTATTTTCTACCCGCTAAGCAGTCAGTGCTCCTTCCCACCTTGAACGTTTCCTGTTCAGCAGCCCAAGGAGACGAGATAACAACAGCACAGATCAGAGTCTGACAAGCGACTTCCTTTGTTTGCACGTCACTGTGCTGCAGCTAGGGTTAGAGTTTCCATCGGAAACTTTGAACAAATAATGGAACTCCGATTCCTCCAACTGAATGTACTTCATCCTCGCCCAGGGATAGCTGAACAGATTTTACAAGCGACAACAACACAAAGATAACACTGTAGAAAATCGATGGTCCAGATGTGACTGCTTTCGCTTTTAATTCCACCTTACTAAGCTCCTGCAGGACACATTCTAGTGCTGTACTTTACTTGACCCATTACTTGTGACGTAATTGGAAAGTGGTGATTTTCTTTTTAAAAAAGCAATGGTTTATTAATATGCATAGATTTATGCGTAGGGGTTTAGGATGATAAACATTTCAAATAAAATCTGCCTTAAACTGGTGGTGGAAATCACTGCGGTAGCATTCCTTCCTCACACAGACTCCTCAATCCATCTCCCATTTGTTTTGTAAAGACACAGTCCAGAATGAAGAGAAATAAAATAAGATGTCCCCCAGATTAATTAGGTCTCTCACCACATAGCTGTACGTGGCAACTTCCTGAACAAACAGTTGCTGCGTTTGTCTTCAAAACCAATTACCTTAACTCAGCAGCCAGTTACCTGTGAGATATTTGGTCATGATAAGACACCATATACATATTTTGTATATCTACAATTGCACGTTTTATTGATGAAAAATGCCAGACTGGTCAGTTGTCCATCAACGGTGATTTGGATTACTGTGGGGCTAACTAGCTTTGTCCGGCATGTCTGTTCAAGCCTGTTCAGCCCTAGGGAAAGCTTGTTTACCTCCAACCCCTTCGGTTTTACACACAGCTGCCATTTTATCCACTTTGAAAGCAGGAAGGACTGAATGGACTCACTGGGATTCAAACCCAGAGTCTTTTTGTCCCATGTCCAGAACTTAACAACAACAAATTACAGTTGTATACATTTGGATCCGAGCAGTGTTTGGGATCAGGGGGATATAAACTGCTGATAGAGACTTAACTCAGGTAGAGTTTGTTAATTTCAGAGAGTTAGGGGAAGGAGGCTCAGTGTCTCTCAGCTAGGCAGGGGAAATAAAATACAGCTTCTAAATGTCTTTCTAACTTGATCGCTTCATCTTTGTACGTCCCTTCAAATAGCTTTCAGATCGGTAAATAAGATTAATGATAAAAATCACAACTAAAAACGTACTAGTAGGAAATGGGTAGTATGGTTGATTTGAAGATTGTTTTCCACCTCTGGGAATATGGTTGAAATTTTGTCCAGACTGATGGGACAAAATCTCTTTTTTCCTCTCTCCGTCTCTCTCCCTAAGCAAGCGAATCCTAAGTGAAATGGGTTTCAGCAGTGTAAACCAAGTTCCATAATGCTGAACCACTTCCTGATAAATTAGTAAGCCAACTTGGGAGATGCCACAAGGATATCCGGGTTGGGAAATCAAGGGGCTCGTGAAGTCCTGTAGCTTAGTGGTTAGAGCACTTGCCTCGCAAGTGAGAGGACCTGGGTTTGATTCCCGAGCAGGGCACAACATTGGGACACTGTTGTGCGCAATTGGCTGCCTCATTTTGCCCACAAAATGTACCGTCAATTCACTTTATATTGTACCTTGTGAAGCACTTTGAGATGTCTCAAAGACGTGATGAGGCACTATATCAAATGCAAGGATTATTATTATTATAAATGCAGGAGTAGAGATGTTCTTTTGTATATATAGCACATTGCTAGTTGGTGCAACTGAATCTTTAGCCTGAATCAATAGATACAAATAGCAAAAGGTGTGTTTTTTTTTGAGACGGGAGTTAAAATAATACAAAATAACCTATCTGGATTTTAATACTTTTATTTTTCATCTTCAGAACTATGTTTCACTTCACGTATTGCTCCTTAGCAATGACAGCAGATATACAGCAAGTTCTTTGTTGAATTTTACACTTGTGAAAGCATTACCCAGTTAGGAAATCTGACCCATATTATGCTGTTCTTGTCACAGTAGTAGTCATAAAACCGATGGAAACTTCCTTGCTCACCAGTGACTAGCTGGAACCATTTCTTTCTTCTCCTGCCTTTCACTGAACATAAATTCCACTCATATCAGACACATCCTCTCTCCAGAATCCCCCCCGCCTTCATTATCCATTCAGGATAGCTTTTTTAAATTGCAATTGTTCTCGAGTTACCTCGTGCTCTCGCACATTACATTCATAGTGAAAGAAGTACATGGTGTATATTAATGAAAAGTGACTTAGGAGGTCCCTGGGGAGTGAAAATAGTGCTGCGATGCATTGCTCCATTTTCTTGCCTATCAAGTGTCTAGGTTGTTTGTGTTTTACTGCTGTGATCCCTCAATCCTCACCATTTGGGTGGGGCCAGTGTGTCCCTGAAGTGCCAGTTGTTTAAAGGGTCAAAAATGTCAAAGAATCATCCTGCTGGCAGACAGCCAGTTCAACCTCTCCATGAAATAACAAAAATTCTACCTGTTTAAATAACTACATAAGATGTTGATGCTACAGTTGAATCTCAGCCAAGCTGCCAGTTTACTTCAGCTATACCCAGCATGTGTAGCGCATGCTGGCTGCTTAAAAGCCAAGATAATAATAACAATACTATTAAAATTAATCCTTGCATTTAATATAGCTCCTCATCACGTCTTTGAGACATCTCAAAGCGCTTCACAGAATATACTGTAAAGTGAATTGACTATATTTTGTGGGCGAAACGTGGCAGCCAATTGCACACAGCAGCGTCCCACAAACAGTCGTGGCTTGAGTGATGAAATTATTTATTTTTTTTGAAGGAATTATTGCCCTCGGAAAAGTGATCCACCAATCGACTAACAACCGGGTTCCTACTTAATGCTGGTAAACAGAGATCCGTGGAGTAAGGAAACTTGCCCAGTGTTTCGCCTTGCCCGGGATTCGAAACCAGGTGCTCTCGCTTACGAGGCCAGTGCTCTAACCATGAAGCTACAGGACTCCACATTGTATTTTTCAGAGTTCCTGTTTCCCATTCAGTGTCTTATTAGGAGGAATATTCTCTATTAAGTACATGGGGTTAGTCTGTACTCCTAAATTCCCTTGTGAATGCCAATTTAATCATACCCATCAAATGCTCTTATTCGGATTAGCTGCTGCCTATTCAAAACCCAATACTTGCTCGTAAAGCCAGTTAGGACCAGAAAAGACGAGTTTAGTTAGTCGGATCTACTGAATTAGCTTCAATTAGAAAATGAATATTAACTCCATCAGAAAGCATTTCCACTGCTTTCTCCCTTTCATGTAACCCCATACGTGAATAAAACAGCACAGCTCCGAACACATAGCGTCAGAAGGGATCAGTGGACATACCCAACTTACAGAAGGGTGGGCATTGTAATGTAACCTGCAGGTATAAAAACAAATCGAAATGATCCCTTACGAACGGCCAGAGGCAGAGATGTTAATAACAAAAATAATCCTTGCATTTGATCACACCCTGTCATACTGACCCTATCAAAACACCTCTCAAAGCGCTTCATACAGAACATACTGTAAAGTAACACAGAAACAGGAGGAATCCATTCAGCCCCTTATGCCTGTTCCACCATTCTATAAGATCATGGCTGATCTGTACCTCAACTCCAAGTCGTGTGACTGTGTCTTTTGAGGCCAAACGCGAAGGCAACTTGGAGGAAGCAGTGGGATATAAAGTACCTCCCACTGCCTCCAGCAGTCCTGCCCACCATGTTTCTCTGACGGCAGGCAAGCTGAGCTCTCAGTGAAGCCACTTGTACCCACACAAACCTTCCCCTCAACAGCAGGATGGCTCTGGGGCTAGGAAATTCTACTACGATTCAGGACTAGGAGCCAGCTCAGTGACGTGATTATTTCTGCCCTGCTGCTGGGGGCGGTGAAGTGGATTCTAAATGGGGCTAAACCCACAGCACTAGGCGCCCTGGGGAATGGATGCTCCTCTTTGAAGTGTTTCTGCACTGACCTGGAATGTGAACACAACAAAGAGCCCGAATAACGTGCAGCATCTCCAACTGCCGCTCACAAAAAGAGCCACAGCAACTCTGTCAGCATCATCTCGCAAGAGACGAGATTAAATAAAACTAACAGGACTTGTAACATCCGTTCATGGGGAATTCAGCGTGGATTGTCTCAGACCTGTGTTCCTGTCATTAGAATTAACCTCCTTAACCTCAGTTCCCTGATGCAGTGCACGTAACAATCCAATGTTAATCGGTTCATTATGCAGCATATTGGATAGAACTATCAATAGGTGTTTCAAAGTGTTTTATACAACTGACTGGGAAGCCCGAGCTTGGGGAGGGGAACGCTAAGGAGGGGAATTATATACTTCGTTGATCATTATAAATCTGAAAAAAACCCAGAAGAGGCAAATCGGATTAGGGTGCACAAGTCACAGCAGGATGCCAGTCATCTACCAGATACCAAATATCATGACTTCACAGTTTCCAGATGTGCAGCAACAGATATTGAAGCCTAGGTCAGAGGGAATGCGTTCCTGTTATCCTATACAATCCAGATGGACAATTTAGCAAAGCTTCACCAACAGGTCAGAGAGAGTACAGCATTACTTCTAGGAGTTTTGACATGTGACATTATGAGATCATACAGTCAAAACCACTTTACAGTAATACCCTGTGAAGTGCTTTGAGCAATCTCGACACTTTGATAATAATATAATAATAATAATCCTTGCATTTGATACGGTGCCTTATCACGTCTTCTTGACGTCTCAAAGCGCTTCACAGAATAGACTGTAAAGTGAATTGACTGTATATTTTGTGGGCGAAACGTGGCAGCCAATTGCACACAGCAGCGTCCCACAAACAGTCATGGAATGAAGCGACCAATTTATTATTGTTTTTTTTTGAGGGATTATTACCAGGCGTGTGGAGTAAGGAAACTTGCCCAAGGTTTCACCGTGCCGGGAATCCAACCCAGGTCTCTCGCTTGCAAAGCGAGTGCTCTAACCACTGAGCTACAGGACTCCACAAAAGGGCGCTATATAAAATGCAAGGATTGTTATTATTATTAATAATAACATAGAATTGTTGGTCCAGAAAACCCTTTCTGCCACTGCCAACACCCAGCAAATACTGAAGATTGGCACTGTGGGTTCGTAGCCCTTCTAAGTATCCAAAGGAAACCATCCACTGAAGACTGACTATACAGTATGTGACATTTTACACTGTGACCTTTTGGTAGATGACACTGTACCACTAGTCTATACGCACACCACATACATATCAATAAAAAGGACTATGGTGGGCATGAGGGGAGAAAAATTGCTAATTGCCTGGTGTCTGGTGTCTTGACCAGTACACACACATACACAAAAACAAAAAACGACTAAAGATAGCACAGAGGTGAATCATGCATGCTAATTTATGGAAACACAAAACTGCATTCTCCTATAAACAAGATAACTTGGGTAACTTTAAACGGGTTCCTCAGCTGTGGATAGGTAGGTGTATTACAAGCAGTCATTAAATAATCAAGTGCAATGCACCGACTTCAGCGACACAACATGTCGATTTTATTTTTCAGATAAACAAAAACTATTTCTTTTATACAGCAGCCTAACTAACCAGCATTTTTTTTAAAGAAATATCAGAAACCCACTAGTTCTGTTGCTCACATGAGGTGCCGCCTTTCTGTAAATACAGTTAAATAAATTAGTTACTAATAATAACGTGTTCACCTCAATCCACGGCTGTTTGTGGTGACACTTCTGCACGCAATCGGCTGCCGAGTTTCGCCCACAAAACATACAGTCAATTCACTTAGCAGCCTATCCTGGAAAGCGCTTTGAGATGTCTCGAAGATGTGATAAGGCGCTGTATCGAATGCGAGGATTATTATTATTACTAATATTAATATTATTATTAAAAACACCTAATGCAGCAAATACAAAAAAAAAGAAAACACTGGCAATACATCGGAAAAACAGATTAAAAGCTCTAACACATTACCCCTTTTTGAAGTCCAGCAGGAGACAGGATTTAACTGAGACAGGATAAAGTGAGGCTGATCTCCCAGCAGCAGCAGCCAAGAATTGGATCAGCAACAGGCTGGGAACTGAGTCCCAACTCACAGGGCAGGGCAGGGGTGGTGCTGCTGGTGGTGACAGCTCCTGTTCATCTCTGTCTGGGGAATGGGCTGCAAGAGGATGAGGAACGTGTCCAGACACAGAGACCAGACAGGCAGTGAGTGAGTGAGTGAGTGAGTGAGTGAGTGAGTGAGTGATCGTGGAGCAGCAGCTTCTGCAGTGCCTGGAGCTGGAAGCACTGAGTGTTCAGCGCTGAGGGCTGCTTTGCTGCTTGTGGGCTGGGCGGAGGGGGAGTGTGGAATAACGCTCGGGGGAGGGAGAGAGGGAGAGAGAGAGAGAAAAGCAAGAGAGACGTAGCCAGAGACGTTGGCTGGTGTCAGGCTGTTACTGCTGCAACACACACAGCCACTGTGCAGGGAGATGGCATCTGAGCACAGCCCAGAGGGAGCAGCAACATTGGCCAAGTCCTTGATGGAGGAAATGTTTCAGTGACAGAGCCATTAAGAATATAAACCACCCACACTGGTGGACTGTGCCCAAGGTCCAATCCATCTTGTCGCCAGTAGATTAAACACCGACTTTTTTTTAAAAAAAATTTAAACAAAATAATTCGATTCAATTACATTTTTTTTAAAAAAAACCACATAACTTGTGATTAAAGTCACTGGCACTGAGTGGCATCTCTTGCAAAGCAATTGTAAAAGTGCTTCCAGTCCAATCACCTACCCAGTAGATATCATGTGAATCAGGTGGCCCCTCAGAGGAGCTTTGCTTCAACATCCTCACAGTCATGGAATCACTTCCATGCCCCAGCACCACCTCCCTACCTCTCCAATCAACTTACCCTCCGCCCCGCTCCTCTGCCATTGACCCCTTCGCTCGGCCAGCGTCAGACTCCGACAAGTCCCTCTCTCCTTCCCTCTGCTCCACCACCAGCAGCCGTGCTTACAGCCACTGCATCCCAAGACTCTGGACCGCTTGCTTTGCTTCAATCCCTCCGCCTTGCCCGTCTTAAGATCACATCTGAAGACCTTTCGCTTTCATCGCATCTACAGATACTTGCCCTCTCAGCATCAAGTTCTGCCACTGTTTAAGCGTTCCGAGATGCTACCCTGCGTAGAAAGGTACTATAGCAATAAAGTTGTCACCAACTACAGATCAGCCATTTGCAATGTACGCCAGAAGCCAACTGTGGACTGGAATGGGTGCACCAGTGTGCTGTGCAGTTATGTTAGTGAGACAGTGATGTCCAATGGTGTGTCGTTCAGAAAGACTGTACGTTTAAAAACAAGGGAAGTGAAACCGGAGATCTGTGCAATCTTTGCGTCTTCTGAGTCTCTGAAATTCGGGGGAAGAGTGGGGGAAACTCCTGTGCATATCCAACAACAACCATTTGCATTTATATAGCGTCCCTCAAGCAGGGTAGTGTCCCAGAGTATCAGTAGCGGAGCACGACTCTTGAGCCGGGGGGAAGGGGAGGTGACCATAGGTCATCCTAGTAGTTAGATCAAGGATCATTGGCAGAGGCATTCACTGCAAGCCAGACCAGTGATACTGTCACACAGAGGTCCAACAGAAGAAAGGAAATAACACATTAGTAAAAAAAATGGTAGTGAAGGAAAATTACTCTTGGCTGTAATTTTTAATCAGAAGCCTACTCTTTATTGTGAGACTCTATATTGAAATACTTGCTTAGAAATAAACCGAATCTTAACAAAACATTTTACTGAGCATTTCGGCTTCCTTTGTTCAGTGCATATAAGTGGTCCTCTGCTGTGTGTCAACATGTGAAACTCTGCAGCATTACACCATTTTGCCATTAAAAAGGCAGCAAAGCCTTTCCTGTGATTGTTTATAATCCTGTGCAGGAATCCGGGGAAAAACTGATACAAGCATTGATAGCAGAGTTGCCAAAAGTCTCGAGCTGTATTCTGGAAGATTAGGTGCGGGTGAGTGTAAATCCAGCTTCCTGCTTCAAATTCCGACTCTGCATCACATCCAACGCTATGTGGGTGGGAGAAGAACAGCTCCAGCTTCTCGCAAGTCATAGATATGATGACTAATTCAAGTTTAACAATTAGACACAAAGGAATCACTTCCCACAAATTATGGGTAATTGTCCTTAGGAACAGGAAAAAATTTGATTTTGTATTTAAAACTGTTACACATGACTGTTACCTTGCACCCATCTATACCCCACCTATACCTGTGAGGCTTGAGTAGTTGAAAGCAGATCATTAGCAAGAAGAGGAAAAGTCATTCAAAAATAATAATTTAATTTTTTTTAAATGTCACACACAAAAAATGAATATTTTCATCAATTCAAAACTGTGAAACAAATCCCCCCCCCCCCCCCCCCACCAAAGACTGAGCACTGAAAATATTCTAAAGTCTTTGGATTCCGTGGTGTGGTTACGTTGGTTTTGCAATGCTCATTGGCACGTGTATGTTTGAAGCCGTGTGTTCACTTAGATACTCTCCTCCTTTTTCCTCATACTCCGCCAGGGTGATCCAGCCCTCAGTTTGATCCTTGTGTTCGATTGCCCAATCTCGTGCTCCAAACCAAGCATCCAGAACGGGGTTGGAGGAAACGGTCACCTGATAGACAATAGCACACGTCTATACATATATCGTAGATCAATATCCCAGTCTGTACTTCATATACAACAACTTAGCATTTATATAGTGCCTTTCACCTCGCGTAAGGTCGCGGAGCGCATACAACATTTTGCTTTGGAGAGATACTCGGCAATAGTTAAAATGAACGATTAGCTTTATCAATGACTGTATTAGAAGCTTTTGAATACTGTATCAGGCTCACGGAATTGATTCTTTAGAGGTTCGGCTGCTCATGTTATACGCAAATCACAGAATTTGAAGGTGGGATGTTTTCTCAATATTATTATTTACCCGATGACACTATATTTATTGTGCGTCCAGGAGACTATTGTAGTTTAGCTTCCAAATAAGTTCACGTTCGTGAAATATTACTTTATTTACCTTTGCCATTGTTATCCCTCCCTCCCTCCAAATATGACTTTGAAATCCGTGTACCTGAAAAGAAGACTTAAATGGCCTCAATGCAAGCAGCTCCCTCTCCATCCTAGTCTTCATTCCAGGATACATTACGTTCCCCCCGGTGAGGAATACATTATGTACAAGTTCATTCTGCTCCTCCTTAGAATATCTGCAAAATTTAAACAAAATGATTTCAGGAAAAGTCTGGAATAATTACCGTTCTATCTTTGAGCTCCTCTCCAATCCAGATGGCAGAGAGACAGACATGCAAACGATTTGTCTGCTGTCAAAATCCGTCTAAAGACCCATCTCATTAACTGTACTTTCAGCCAACTATCCACTTACACCCCCATAGCTCGGGCTCCCACTCAGTCTTTGTAAATTGCTTTGAGAAATTCTCCCTGTGTGAAAGGCGCCATACAATGGTAAAGTAACGTTGGGAATCTGTCAATGTTGGCTTTGGGCTGGTGATCAGACATAAATTTACTCCACTACCATTTCTCCCTCTTTTTTACCTCTCTACACTGTGACTGAGATTGAGAACTCATTGTGTGAGAGAATCAGAGGCCTGAAAATGGATTGTACATCATTTATCCGAGAAGCCAGATTCAGCCTCTGCTCTTCATTCAAATTGAGGACTAAGGACAAAGGACAGCATTTTAAACCACTCTCTGCCACATCTTTATCAGATTTTTTTTTGCTCTTACATTCACAATTCTCTACTCAAGCTGAATTCCAATTCCATTAGAGAATGGAAAGATGAGCGAAGATTTTTTTTTCAAGAAAACTGTTCATTTCCAGATCAGCATTGGTCAATGAATCCACATCATATCAAACCCCAAGACAATACATTACTGTAATTGCATGGTGCTCTGCATCATTCATTGAAGTAGTTTTTTGCAGAAATTATGAAGGAGCCAATGTAGTAAATAGGTTTACCTGTCCAAAATGTACTGTAATGTTTCTGCTATACCAGCCTGGTCCTCTCCTATCAACGATGGCTGGAAAATGATTTCAGGTACCCGAATTCGCTCACTACCCAGATGTAGCTGATGATATTCTGCCAGGTTAAATTGTCCAATGCGCTGAATGAAAACAAATTTGTAAAAAATGAAGAATGAGTGTGTCATTACCCATGCGTTGAATAAACCACTTTATGTGGCGCTGGGCTGTAGTACATTAGCCCAACAATGTGATCAGAACAGCTTTTCTTACAGAATTAAAAGTTCCCAATCTCAAACATTTGCCCCTCAAAGTACACGGTCAGTTTCATGTTAGACGTACATCCGGTAGGAGCAAAGAATCCATTATCTTTACACAATTTCATAATCAATGCGGGCAGATATTAAGTGATAGTTTCAGTAGCTAAATGTTAACTATTCCTCTATTTTCATTTTCTCTTCCATTACATCTCACGCCATGCTCCATGTTTAACATTAACCGTTTTTTGTCCGAGTGGGTTGGCTACCTGCTCCCAAGATCGCTCTGTCAATTAACCCCTCTGTTAATTAACCCTTTTCACCAAGAGGTGGATGAGAGGGTCTTTGTGCCTTCTCACCATTTGATTACTCCACTCTCTTGTGAAGATGCACTTAACTTTTGCAGTACCCACCACCCCATTGCCCTAGCTGAGATTGGGTACTCGTTGCATAAGAAGTTGAGTAGTTCACACCAAAAACAACTTTTGTTTTGTTATATTGAAACCTTGTATGAAACAGGATTTAACCATATCATGTTTCCACTTGGTATTAAAAACAATGCAGAGAAAACAGATAACAAAGATTACCTCGCTGACAGAATGTAAAACAAAACACGATGAAACCTGAGAACACTCGCAATGACATGCTTGTGCTTCTCAAAGCATATCTTATGTAGGTCTCAATGACAGCTCAATGACAATCCTACAGTTACCCATTTTTTATGTAGATTTAATGCACACCAAATAGCCATTGAGAAGCATACCTGAACTGCGTTGCTTTGTTTCCCAAACTCACTCTGATATTCAGGAAAGAGCTGGTCCAAATCATTTACCACTTCCAGATCATCCATTGACGGTTCACAACTCAGCATTTGATCCAGATCAGAAACCTGTTAGATACACAACAGAAATTACAACATGGAAATACTGTATTTAAAGCACACATCTGGTTAAAGGCTGTTAATTCAGTGGAAGAAGTAGTCTTCGGATTTAAATTGCCTCTTTGATTCTGTACTTTCTTATGTTCTTAATCCTTCTAAATAAACGAGTTACAATGTGTGATGTACATTATCTTCTTGTAAGTTTTTGCATCACACACAATCCTCCTCCCCAAAGCACATGTCTTGCACTGCAGTCTTCATACATGCTCTATCATCTCCTATACATTTAATATACATGATTGGAAGGCAGCAATTAATGAGGCTTGAATTAAACTCTTTTCACACATGCCCCTTGAAATCAAGTTTAGGTTGGCTTGGCCTGTGTCAGCGATACCTTGGAATCCTGCAGAACCGTGGGACTCAGCAACCTGAGTACCAAGATCATTATAGGAGGGACCCAATACCCATCCCACACACACCAGATCCACCAGATCCAGAATATTACAGATCCACCTTGCGTCATTGAAGAAGCATCACACATTTCGTTAGATCTTATTTCCTTCCCCCCTGTAGGTTTTGACGCAAACAGCCGTGTGATTTATCACAAACATTACTTACATCTGGCTTTGTGTCAACAACATCCACCTCCACATTCACCTCTGCCTGCAGAATCTTCTGTTTTGTCTGCTCGACGATTAGGCTGAGCTTGTTAATATAGGACTGCAGTTCCTCCGCAGAATCCATATTCATTTCTAATAGAGCTCGCTTGAATTGTTCGGTCATGCCTTCATCCAGAAGCTCCTAAAAGCAATGAGAGTAGGTTGTGGCATTTTACACTGGAACAGCTGAATACATGTGCATGGATCACCACAATCTTTGAAGGTGAGGAATGTCATCGACTGGAACAAAAATCACCTAATTTATATTCAGTGTTAAGGTTAAAAGCAGGATAAAGGTCCCTGCCTAGCCGAGAACAAACTTTAGTATAACCAGAAGGAGAACGTTCTCTTTTATCACTATAGCACGTCCAGTTCCCACACCAGCTAAACTCGTAACTTCTCAGAGAGTAAGTCAGTTTACGTAGTGTCACATCGTTTTCCCCCTCCATATATATTTTTAATCAGCACATCGAGGTCTACAATCACTCTTCATAGCTTAATTTCTTAAAGTCTCAGACCATTCCTGTCGCCCTTCTCTGAACCCTTTCTTTCCATGCCACCTAGTTCATTTCCACCTATTCGTTTAACCTTACAGACCTTGGTTCTGATTTCTGGTGACCTTTTATTCACACGTTTCTTTGCTCTCAACTGTATGGAGATCTATATGCGATTTTTATATTTACAGACCAATTCCACCATCTAGTGGGGAAAATAATAACAGCAACTAACCTTCACTGCACATTATCAAATGAGGGTTAACTGAAGTTGAAAAATATGCAGAAGAAATGGCCATTTGATCCTTTGCAACTCAACCCTCCAGATCATTATCGCTCCCATGATAGCATCTAGTGGTATTTTGAATAGGAATGCGTGTACTGAAGCTTCTAGACTTTACTGGTAGAGGAGGCTGCATCGGAATTCAATTCGTTTTGAGAAAAATGCAACAGAACGTGTGAAACGCGAGCACCCTTACAATTTAACAAACTCAAAAAAAATTCACGATGCATGTCCTGTTGTTGGTGGCTTGATCCGTGGCATAGGCAGCCACTTGGAAAACATGTCATCTGCATTCTGCTGGTGGAATTTAAACTATTTTAAAAATGTTTTAATAGGAGACAGGTAATTAAAACTTTGTGTAATGGAAGGCAAGGCTAACATGTTCAGTCACTCTGGCCTTCTTTCTCTACCTGAATACTTAGCAGCCTCTCAAGTCTCTCCTGGTCGAGCTGCAGCTTTTCTTCTCTACGTCGCGCATTGAGCTCCTGCAGTCTGCGGATTTGCTGCTGTCGCCTCTCCAGCTTCTCTTCTGCTGTTAAGGTGCTGGCCAGGAGTTTGTTGTTAAAAGGCAATTGCATCCTGTGGACATTCTTCTCGTAGAAATACGGGCACTTCCACAAATTAAGTTCTGTGAGGATAATTGCACCAAAATAATTTTAACAAGCATTCAAAATTCAACATACTCCCCACCTATATTGGAATCCAAACATTGCACTTCTGTTATTCTTTCTCCTCACCTCTTTCAACACCACTGAAAACCTTTAAATTACATGAGCCTGGCTTTTGTCTCCCACCTTGATAAATTAATCATTTGATTCCATAACATCATCTCAACAGAAATCATCAGGTATTTTCCTTCCGTTGGACTAAACCTTAGATCATCAATAGGTCTACAGAATTTCCACCTTCATGGGTTGAGCGGGCCTTCAGAAGTAACTGTTTAACTTTACGAGGTATGAGAGCCAAGTGCTCCTCCAACTAAAACTGCTTGATCATTGACTTATTTTTACAATGCAATTTGTTTCAATGCATAAACAGCACAATTAATGTTTGTGCCACTATTTAGTGGTGTACAATATTCCTGAGGAACTCCCCAGTCCACATTGTTGTGTAGATACATACCTTCTGTATAGTCTCCAGCAATGTAGCACTGTTCGTGAAGAATTTCCTCCATTCTGCTGAGTGTTATAGCTGGCAAATGCCCAGGGTATTTGAGCTGCAGCAGGCGTTGCATGTATGATGTTGCCTGACAACCTCCGAGATTAATCCTTTTACTGTTATGAGCGTCCAACCTACATTTTGCACAGAAAAAGCCCCACAATGAAATTGAGGATAAGATTACAGGATGGAACGGGATTGCAACACATTGAATTTTCAACGTACTACAGAACAGAATGATAAGAGAAAGATTTATGTCTCCAATTCTGACCTCAGTGATGGGAGCTGAAAAATGTAAAAGAGGGGAAAATTATTTTGCTAGCTTTTCCAATCTTTAAGTTGCTGACTTTATGGTAACTCAGGCTCCAGCATGGGAGTCAGGAATGCTTGTAAAGACTGGAAAAGGAGTTTCCATTTGTGTTGTGCCCTTTAATGGATCGCTTTTATTTTACAGTCAGGATAGCAGATTACTTAAAATGTATGCTACAGTGACATGTAGACTGAGTGATTCTCTGAGAATATCCTTTCAAGTAATCTATAGATTTGACAAACCTTCCATTTAGGACCGGTAGAATATGAGAACAATGATATCCAGAGGAAATAATTAATCCAGTTGAGGGAGGTTTATTGTTGTGGTAGAAACTGTAGAGACTGTCAACACCGTAAGAAACCTTGGGAATGTGGTAACACTCAAACAGGAGTTCAGACATTAACTGCCTTGAGTGCAGTGGATTACAAGGTGCTTCTGTAAACACAATTGGATGCTCCACAGAACCCTATAAAATATTTAAAAAAAACAAGTTAATACAATTTTTTGACTATCCTATTTGGTACAATTAGAATCGTACAGATAGGGGAGGTAGAGAGAATATATTAAACTGTTGAAGCGGAGTGTGAGTGAGTGTGCAATGATGATGATGATGAAGATGATGATGAAGCGGCATGTGAGTGAGTGTGCAATGATGATGGTGATGATGATGATGGTGATGATGAAGCGGAGTGTGGGTGAGTGTGCAATGATGATGATGATGATGATGGTGATGATGAAGCGGAGTGTGGGTGAGTGTGCAATGATGATGATGATGGTGATGGTGATGATGATGATGATGATGGTGGTGATGATGAAGCGGAGTGTGGGTGAGTGTGCAATGATGATGATGATGGTGATGATGATGATGATGATGGTGATGATGATGATGATGATGGTGGTGATGATGAAGCGGAGTGTGGGTGAGTGTGCAATGATGATGATGATGGTGATGATGATGATGATGATGGTGGTGATGATGATGATGGTGGTGGTGGTGGTGAAGCGGAGTGTGGGTGAGTGTGCAATGATGATGATGGTGATGATGATGATGATGATGATGATGGGTGGTGATGGTGAAGCGGAGTGTGGGTGCGGTGACCTGGGAGCTGATGCCCACGCGCTGGAAGACGTGGTCCAGGACCTGCTCCTGGATGTCGAAGTTCACCACCACGTTCCGGTCGAACTGCGTCTTGAGCAGCCACCGCACCACCTCCAGGTTGCGGATGTCGTTGCCGATCTGCGTGTCGCTGCGGGAGGCGCCGCGGCTCCGCGCCGACACGTTCTTGAACCGAAGCCGCGGCGCGGCGTCCGAGGCCCAACCCACCCGGCACCGGAAGGAGCCGTTGTCCACCACCAGAGGCACCCGCCCGGCCCCCAGGCCGCCGCCGCCCGGGGCCGCCGCCGCCGCCTCGAGCTCGAGCTCGAAGGTCGGGTCGGGGATTGGCTTCGGGTCCCGAAAATAGAAGACGTTCGGCGGCGGCGGCGGCGGCGGCTCCGTCAGATCGCCCGCCGTGTGCGCCGCCATCTTGGGAGTCCGTCCACAAAAACAATCCCCCCCCTCCCCCCGGAGCATCGGGTCCCCGGAAACAAGGGGCCGGGACTATTCGTTCCTACCCTAAAAAAAATGCCATCAACCAAACAGACCGCCCCTCCTCTCTCTCTCTCCCACCCCCACCCCCATCCCTCACCCCTCACCCCCATCCCTCACCCCTCACCCCCACTCCTCACCCCCATCCCTCACCCCTCACCCCACCCCCATCCCTCACCCCTCACCCCACCCCCATCCCTCACCCCCATCCCTCACCCCTCACCCCACCCCATCCCTCACCCTCACCCCCCCACCCCCACCCTCACCCCTCACCCCCATCCCTCACCCCTCACCCCCCACCCCATCCCTCACCCCATCCCTCACCTCTCACCCCCACCCCCACCCTCACCCCCACCCTCCCTCACCCCTCACCCCCCACCCCCACCCTCACCCTCACCCCCACCCCCATCCTCACCCCACCCCACCCTCACCCCTCACCCCCATCCCTCACCCCTCACCCCTCACCCCCATCCCTCACCCCCACCCCCATCCCTCACCCCCACCCCATCCCTCACCCCCACCCCATCCTCGCCCCACCCCCATCCCTCACCCCCACCCCACCCTCACCCCCACCACCCCATCCTCACCCCCACCCCCACCCTCACCCCCACCCCCATCCCTCACCCCTCACCCCCATCCCCACCTCCCCTCACCCCACCCCCATCCCTCACCCCTCACCCCCACCCCACCCCTCACCCCCCACCCCCATCCCTCACCCCTCACCCCCACCCACAATGTCCATTTAAACACAATTGATGTCATTTGTCGTCGGTTCGGGTTAATCTTTACGCGGGAGTCCTGCAGCTCAGTGGTCAGCGCCCGCGCCCGGCAAAGCGGAGGGGGGACCGGGGTTCGATTCCCCGGCACAACCTTTAAGTTGGGGCGAGTTTCCTTACTCCACACACACACGCGCGCACACGCGCCTCGGTTACCAGCGCTTCCAAACAAAAATAAGTTTTAAATCTCACCCCCCCCCCCACCCCCCACCCCAAAAAAAAACCATAGTAATAATTTGGTCACTCAATCCGCCGCTGTTTGTGGGAGCGCTGCTGCGCACGATTGGCTGTGGCGTTTCGCCCACAAAGTATACGGTCAATTCACTTCACAGTATACTTTCTGTGATTCGGTGTAAAGTGAAGTCACTATATTTTGTAGGCGAAAGGGACAGGCAATTTGCACACGGCAATATCCAACAAACAGCAATTTCCCCAAAAGCCATAAAATGAATGATCAGTTTTATCTGGAGGATTGTTGTCCAGGACACCAGGAGAGTTTCCTTTCTCTGTTCGAATCGTGTTGTTGCTATAGGATCCTTAACGTACACCTGAACAGGATCTCAATTTCTTACCTGAAAGAATAAAATAGAAACACGAGACTCACGGTGAATGTGTCAATTAATACCAGGGTTTCTAGAAATTTTGCAATTCTATTTCTTTCAAAAATAATTGTTCGCGGTGACAGTAAGTCACTTAAATATTTCCAGGTGTTATTATTTTGCGAACTAAAAGATTACTCGGAGATGTGTCCGTTATTTATTATTATTCATAATATCACTATTAAATTATTGTTTTGTTTTTGCTGATTTTAACCTTATCTGAATATCTGTGGTGTGAGGATTTAATTTCTAAAAGCATTTCTAGAACTTATCTTGATTTCACAGTGAATATACAGAGGGAGTGTTTATACAGTAAATGTTACAGCTGCTCGAGTTCTAGAAGGGGTTTACACAGTCAGTACATGTTACAGTAAATCCTGTGAATCTCTTTGAGACATCCTCTTGGCAGGAAAGGCACTGTATCAAATGCAAGAATTCTTGTTGAATACAACTGGAATGTCACAGATATATATATATATATAATGGTTAAAGGTTATTAATCAAATTTGATGCTAAGTTGTCGTGTCCCAGATATGCATTGCACTGAACTATTGGTTAAGAAAAGCAACTGCAAAAACACTCTCAAATAACCCAAACCACAACACGATCTTAAAACGGAAGCTTCTAAACCTCATTGGAATGCAATTCCCTCTGTACTGTCACAACTTATATACAGTCTCTACACATCGTTGCGTACAGTACTTTATTACATTGTGTGTGTATATGTATGTACGCACTGAAAAGAAATACACTGCATCAAACCGTGGGCAGGTACTGCATTACAGCACTAAGACATTTGCAAACCAAAAGGGGTCCAAAAATATACAGCAAAAAGAAGTCAAAGTCAAACCCTCTGGTGTCTAAACCCACTGGTGTGCAGGTGGGGGAAGGGGGGAAGGATGACCTCCCGGAGTGGGGCAGCTCTGGGGGTGAGGCACTGGGGCTTTGGCCAAACGGATTTAGCCACAGTTTAAAAGAGAGAGAGAGAGGAGAGGAGAGAGTTCTGGGGCTCTGTTCATCGTTCATCCTCTGCAGCAGCGACTGGGGTTCGAGTCCCGACTCCGTACTGTGAACCGTTTAATTGCGTTGGGTTCTAAGTCACCGAAACAACCCCCCACCGCCCGCAGGTTTGATCCGAGCACTGAGCCGCCCCCCGGACTCCGGGTGCTTCACACTCTGCAAGAACCACACCGAGTGAATCCGAGTACCCGCTCCGCCCTCGACGAGAGTTTGCGGGTTCCACTAAATCCACTGACAATTCACAAAACTTTTTTTTTCTTCCGCTCTCTCCCTTTTAGCCAATGTCTGTGTCTGTGTGTGAGAGAGTGTGTGAGAGTGAGAGAGAGAGAGAGAGAGACGCAGCAAAAGTGGCCACACAGTGACTCCTGGAGATGCGATCGTGTGACCTTGAATTGAATCCTCAGATACACACCGCTGCCTCCCCGAGTGGTCAGAGCATCACTACTCTTTTATATATATATATATATACATCTACAAAAATATCTATTTATATGTTTAGTTCACGTCCCTAATTGATACTTTCTGTGCAAAGTGATTGGAATGGCTGTTACGCGCAGACATCGTTAGCTGTTAATAACAGTACTAATAATTACTGTTACTGTTATTAAGAGCGGATTTAATAGAGGTTCTCGAGATCAGGAGAGGATTTGATAGGTTGAACCGGGAAAAACTGCTCCCTTCCGCCGGCCCGTGGGTCAGTAACCCGAGGACACCCATCTAAGATAGTCGGTAAAAGGAACCGAGGAGAGGGTCGGAAAGGTTTTTTCACCCCCGAGAGTTGTTGGGATCCGGAATGCATTACCCGAAAGGCTGGTGGAAGCCGATTCAATAACTACGTTAAAAGAGAGACGTAGATGGGTGTTTGGGGAGGACAGGATTGCAGGGCTATGGGGAGAGCGCGGGCCGGTGGGATTGAGTTGGGGTTGCTCTTTTAGGAGCCGGCGCAGACGCAATGGGCCGAATGGCCTCTTTCTGTGCTGTATGATTCTATGATTCTATGACTGTTATTCATAATAATAATCCTTGCACTTGAAAGAGCAAAGCAACAGACAGAAGGAAAATTCTAGTAACCGCACTCTTGTGTTGTACTGAATAATGCAAAATTGGTGCGTGACAAAGGACCCACATTTGCTCTGTTGACTTACATGGCTATGAAGTTGGGGAGATTGACAGTTCCACACAGGTTTCCAATCACATCACTTTGGGGGAGTTTTGCTCACCAGCACTCCCTCTGCAAGCGTATTCATAAGAATAACAATAATAATAATATTAATAACCCTTACATTTGACATAGCGCCTTATCGCGTCTTTGAGACGTCTCAAGGCGCTTCACAGAATATACTGTAAAGTGGATTGACTGTATAATTAGTGGGCGAAATGTGAAAGCCACAGATAGGCAATTCTAACCAAACACAAAAACACATGCGTTCTTACAGTGAGTTACTTACAAGTGTTTGTTTTAGATTAAAAAAATAGCATTCTTTTTTTCCTCTCTCTCTCTCTCTCTGGCATTGACTCAAACCATCTGGAACTTGACTCAAATAAGCTCTTCTTCTTTCATGAAATACTGGGAACTGAAAGAAGGAGTGTGTAGGGAGCGTGGGAGCGTATCTCTCTTCCTCTTTCTCTGTATCTCTCTAATGCCCTTAACATTATTCCCTGAAGGAGTTTGCCAATTCATAGAATCATAGAATTATACAGTGCGGAAGGAGGCCATTCGGCCCATCGTGTCTGTGCCAGCTCTTTGAAAACGGTTATCCAAATCAATCCCACTCCCACTCTCTCCACCCATAGTCCTGCAAACTTGTCCTCCCCAAATCCCTGAAACTTCCAGCCAAAAGTGATAAAGTGATGAGCGATACCGTCAGGCACAACAGTATGTGTTTCTAAGGCAAAACTAAACAAGCTGCATTGCTGTGCACAAATGGCTGTCGCGTTTCGCCCACAAAATATACAGTCACTACACTTTACAGTACCTCCTGTGAAGCGCTTTGAGTCCCAAAGACTCGGTAAGACGCTATATCAAATTCAAGGATTATTTTAGTTTTTATTGCTTTGAACAACGGCACGTGTCTGCTTCTCTCACGGAATGTCTCCTGCCTCGCTCTCTGCCTGACTTGTTGGTTGGCTGTAACCTCTCCATCTGGTCTCTCCTCTCGCCCCTCCTCACTGACAGTCCCAGCTCTGATTGTTGACCACAGTGGCTGGAAAGTAAAACACCCAAAGTAGCCCAAGGCTCACCAGCAATCCAATATAATGCAATTGATTAAATAATATGGAAAGCAGCAGATGAGCCAATTTTGCATATTGCTTTCAAAACTGTGTGAAAAACAGGCAAAACAACAACAACTATGTTTCTCAGTTTTAAATGAATTTGTTTTTTAAATGAGGCACCCACCCAAAGACTGTATGTATATGTGTGTGTGTGTGACAGTGACAGTGTGGAGCTGTGTGTGTGACAGTGACAGTGTGGAGCTGTGTGTGTGACAGCGACAGTGTGGAGTTGTGTGTGTGACAGTGACAGTGTGGAGTTGTGTGTGTGACAGTGTGGTGGTGTGTGTGTGTGTGTGTGACAGTGTGGAGGTGTGTGTGTGTGTGACAGTGTGGAGGTGCGTGTGTGTGTGTATGTGACAGTGACAGTGTGGAGTTGTGTATGTGACAGTGACAGTGTGGAGTTGTGTGTGTGACAGTGACAGTGTGGAGTTGTGTGTGTGACAGTGACAGTGTGGAGTTGTGTGTGTGACAGTGTGGTGGTGTGTGTGTGTGTGTGTGTGTGACAGTGTGGAGGTGTGTGTGTGTGTGTGTGAGTGTGGAGGTGTGTGTGTGTGTGTGTGTGTGACAGTGTGGAGGTGTGTGTGACAGTGTGGAGGTGTGTGTGTGTGTGTGACAGTGTGGAGATGTGTGTGTGTGACAGTGTGGAGGTGTGTGTGTGTGTGTGTGACAGTGTGGAGGTGTGTGTGTGACAGTGTGGAGGTGTGTGTGTGTGTGTGACAGTGTGGAGGTGTGTGTGTGTGACAGTGTGGAGGTGTGTGTGTGTGTGACAGTGTGGAGGTGTGTGTGTGACAGTGTGGAGGTGTGTGTGTGTGTGTGACAGTGTGGAGGTGTTTGTGTGTGTGTGTGTGTGACAGTGACAGTGTGGAGTGGAGCAGCTGTTGTGTGATAACTTGTACACTAACCAGACGTTGTACGACTTCCCTATCAGTGACTTTACTGTAGCCCCCGTCCCCTCCTCCCCCTCCCCATCCCCATTTGCTGAGTTGGGTGCAGGGCTGGGGAGTGGGAGCCACGTATGGAAACGACAGACAGAGAAGACAGACAGAGACAGAGACACAGATCGCAGCCCTCAGCAGAGCAGCAGAACATGGTCCAGTGTCGGCTGTTGGCTCAGAAGGTTTGGAGCATTCGCCAAAGTTTCATCCTTCTCCTCTCTCCTTTGCTGCTCTTACCAGTCCTGTTCCTCATGCCTCCTCAGGTAAGGCACAGAAGGATCCGGTCCAATGCAACCAGAATTGTAACCCAACGCCTCTGTTTGCTTGTATTTTTTGGGGGGGTGTGGGATGTGGGGTGGGGTGGGGTGGGGGTCAAATTAAATGTTTTAAATTCATTATTTTTTAATTTTTCCCCCCAAAAATAATGATCTGCTCAGATCTTACCTTCTTGCGGTTTACAATCGCGGTCATCATCGTATAATGATGGTAACCCCGGCGCCCTATCGCGTCTTCGAGATGTCTCAAAGTGCTTCACTTTACAGGATACACTGTAAAGTGAAGTGACTGTGTGTTTTGTGGGCGGAATGGCTTAAGACATTTAACAACTTAAAATCAACTTGCCGGTCGATTAACCTCAGGGTTGGTTTATTGTGAACAAACAAATATTTCCGGAATCTAAATGGTATCAACAACAACAACAACTTGGATTCATACAGCGCCCTCCACGCCGGACGGCGCCTCAGAGCACTTCACAGTAACGGATCCTGGGGCCGAGCCAGGGGGAGGGGGAGGAAGGTGACCAAAGGCGCGGTCGAAGAGAATGGTCTTCAGCAGAGACCTGAAAATAGGAAGAGAGGGGACGAGACGAAGGGAGTGAGGAAGGGAGTTCCAGAGCCTCGAGGCATAGTGGCTGAAGGCACGGCCACCGAGGGTGGAGCGAAGGACTCGGGGAACGAGGAGGCCAGACCCGGAGGAACAAAGGCAACGGGTACTGTTTTGAGGAGAGAGGAGGTCAGAGAGGTCGGGAGGTGCAGAAGAGTGGAGGGATTTGAACACAAGGGTGAGGATCTTGAAATCGATCCTCTTTGGGATAGGCAGTCAGTGCAGTCTGACAAGGACTGGGGGGATCGGGGAGCGGAGTTTAGTGCGGGTGAGAATACGGGCGGCAGAGTTTTGAATGATTTGGATTTTATGGATGGTAGTCGATGGGAGACCGGCGATTTTAAGTCCTACATCGAACCTTTGACATGTAGTTTGCGACTGCGTTGCATATACACAATCAGGCAGCTTTGCTCCCTGCTTTTTCAAACCAAGGTCACCCGCCTGTTCATTGCTAGAATTTACTCTGCATGTAAATCAACTTTGTTGTTTAAAGATAAGTTTAATTTTCCGCCAAAATTCCTTTTTCGTTGAATGCGGTTTATTTTCTCCACCACACATTTTCTGCCTTCTGTTCCCCCCTGTCTTCTCTGCCTCTGATTTGGTGTGTTTGTATTGCCATTGAGCAATTCCATCCACTATCTGAAATACCTCTGCCAAAAAACAGGGATCCAACTGATAATAAAGTAAAGTGAACACAAACAATGTGTAATTAAGGCAAAGTTCAGGTGTTTTTCTGTGAAACAACAGTAAGCAAATTATATTTGATAATAGACCTTTTCTCATATCTATGGGGAATAAGCTACATCCAAACAATAAGCAACCACACACTAAAGATAACACCATTGTTGCAGGTTCCGCCTGTTAAAGTTACATCAATCTTTTGACACACACTATTGTATCTGATAGAAAAATAACATGTTTGTTTCAACGCTTTGCACAACAATCCAATGGCAGAGATAGGAAAGGAGATTGTTATTTACAGAATAGATGGGTAAAGGATACAAGTTACAAAACATTTCTACAGAGGCAAGGTTTTTAGATAGACGGGCTGAAGAGATTTATTTTCACAGCATTCCAGATAGCTGCAGATGATATATTGGCAGCCAGTTATTTTGTTTTACTATTAAGTTTGTAACAGCCCATAATGGTCTGTATTCATGTCTTCTTCATTTGTATTGCTGTACGTATAATGTGTATTGTATTTGAGCCAACCAAACAAATTATATTGGGAGGAGGGAAAAGATGTTGACACTGCATGTAAAACACAGCAGGAGTCAATATTCAGCAATGACATTCTTCATCCGATTCAGCAATGAGCATTCTCCCAAACTCAAATGAAAGTGTTGAATGTTCACATACCTTCCACAGGAAGGAAGATGCCTCTATGTAATTCTCCTCATGGCCACATACTGGTGCACGGAAGCATTGCCGATTGCCGTGACATCTCTGCTTCCCATCTGCCTTTTCCCTTTCCTGGGGGTCCTGCCCTCTGCCAAGGTCAGTCCTCAGTACTTTGTTGACACCAATGTTCTCTTCATAAGTGGCCTGATCATGGCACTGGCGATTGAGGAGTGGAACCTGCACCGAAGAATAGCCCTCTCCATCCTGATGTTCGTTGGCGTGAGCCCACCCATGTAAGTACAGCAACAGGATATGCGTTTGTTGAATTAATTTGCTGAGTAAAAGCTTTGCTGAACGCAAACTTGCCGGCTGCGTTTCACCACAATATACACAGTCACTCCACTCCATTGTCCCGTGAAGCACTTTGAGACGTCCTTCTGATGTGGTAAAGCGCTTTATTTGTGGAGTCCTGTAGCTCACAAGCAAGAGACCTGGGTTTGATTCCCAGCAGGGCGAAACCTTGGGCAAGTTTCTTTACTCCACACGCCTGATAATAATCCCTCAAGAAAAAAAATAGAATAATTTGGTCACTCAATCCACGGCTGTTTGTGGGACACTGCTGTGCACAATTTGCTGCCGCGTTTCACCCACAAATATACAGTCAATTCACTTTACAGTCTATTCTGTGAAGCGTTTTGAGACATCTAGACAACGTGAAAAGCGCTGTATCAAATGCAAGGATTATTATATTATTATTATTATAGAAACACGGTCACTACAATTGGCAACAACCAGCTGTGAAGCACTTTGAGATGTTTGCCCATTGTAGTCGCTGCCCCGTGTGAAGGGCGCTGAATAAATTTGAGTTGTTGTTTTAAAAAAATGAAAATCTTTCGTTTAGCGCTGCTGTTGTTTTCCAGGTTGATGCTGGGGATGATGATAACCACAGCTTTTTTGTCAATGTGGGTCAGTAATACTGCCAGTACTGCATTGATGCTGCCAATATGTACTGCGATGGTCAAGAGCTTGTTTGGCACCATTGAAGCCTCCTCTGAGCCCATTAAGTATAACGTTAGTGAAGGTGGCTTGGAGCATGAAGGTACTCCTCATTTTACTTGGACGGTGTATATTACTGTTTGTGGGACATTGCTGTGCGCAATTGGCTGCCGCGTTCGCCCACAAATATACAGTCAATTCACTTTACAGTGTGTTCTGTGAAGCGCTTTGGGACATCCTCCCGACGTGAAAAGCGCTATATCAAATGCAAGGATTATTATTATTATTATTATTATTATTACTGCCAGTGCATTGACATTCTGATCTTGTACTGCTTGGACAGAAAATCTCAGAATTGTAACTCAGTGATTCTGTACGTGAGAGTGGATAGGTATTGACTCAACGCCAGATGCTTTCCCACAAGGGAGGGTGAAATCAGGTCAGCCATCCTAGTTCAGTCACAGCTGGCAGTGGGGTGGTGTTTGGTGAATCCCTGAGAGAAGGTCTCCAGACCATTTTCAGTGCCTGGTAAGAGATATCCTGCATATCCTGTACTTAAGGAGAAAACAACAACAACTTGCATTTATAGAGCGGGGGAAGCACTCTATCATAACAAAAAGGAAAAAAAAATTATAAATAAAAGAGAAAAGAGAAAAACTAAAACGACAGTAAAATTAATATTTAAATTAGGAATAATTTAAGACTTCTTCATGGATTTCTATTTTTCTTTCTTTCTTTCATTCATTTATTCATTATTTATTTATTTATTTATTTGTTTGAACTGTAGTACAAACTTCCCCCAAAAGCTCATGTGATCCTTTTATTACAAAGATTGTTTTGTTTCTTTAACTAAAAGTCTCTGGGTTCCAGGTTTGAATCCAGCTCAGTCTGCTGGCATGACAAACCTATTGGCTCTTAACATTCTCTGTGAATTGAGGTTGACAGGTCTCAAGCCAGTTCCTGGTTAGTCATGAGCCTGAAATTGTACTTAGTTTTCTCAGAAACTGCCTGCTTCCAAATCTAAAAGCATGGGATTAAAATCAAAGTTTGACAGACATCATTAAAAGGGCGTGCATTTTATTAAATGGAAACAAATGGAATTTGTGTTTATTCATCTGATTAATTTCTCTCTCACCTTTCTCCCTTAGATGTCTGTCAAAGGGAGCCAATATCAAATCAGATGTCGTTGACAGTATTTGATGACAGGTACTATAAAAGTCCATATCAATGTATAAAATGAAGCTTCCACAGATGAAATATACTACGGCGTTAGAGGCAATTTATATTGGTGTCATTTCCCTTGGATACATATTCCAACAGATGTGACTGTTTTTGATTTACTAATACCACTCTGTGTACAAATTAGCTGTCATGTTACTGAAACTCAGTTTGAAGAGTAGATATAGGATGTTGGAATCAGCAAAACACGAAGCTAGTCTACATGAAAAGTCTGTAGATGTTCCTTCAAAACTGGAGAAAGCCTTTTCTTAGTTGGTAAACAGCTGTGTGCAAAACAACCTGACAACTTGCTGCTGACTGTTACACAGAAAATGTAACATTCTTTCTTGAAGTTGCTGACTAAAACTGATGCTCAGTACAATAATAATAATCCTTGCATTTGATATAGCGGTTTTCACGTCGGGAGGACGTCCCAAAGCGCTTCGCAGAATAGACTGTAAAGTGAATTGACTGTATATTTGTGGGCGAACGCGGCAGCCAATTGCGCACAGCAATGTCCCACAAACAGTCATGGATTGAAAATGACCAATTTATTATTGTTTTTGTTTTTTGGAGGGATTATTATTAGGCTCTGTGTGGAGTAAGGAAACTTGCCCGAGGTTTCGCCCTCTGCCTGGAATTGAACTCAGGTCTCTCACTTGCAAAGCGAGTGCTCTAACCACTGAGCTACAGGACTCCAATATGTGTTGGTTGCTTTCCTTCACTGCAGCAAGGGGGCTTTCTTCATCCAGATAATGGATTGACAATCTTTGTGCCAGACCTCACAGCCAAGCCTGAAGCTGTTCTTGCCTGCCTGACATCTACGCCTATGCATTTCTCAGGAGGATCCCATACATAGATCAGAAATGGGAAATCTGACATGACCTGCTGACCCACCCCAAGCCAGGAGTACTGAGGCTGTCTGGAACATCCTACTGTTACTAACCCAGGGCAAACTAGGTACAAAGTTGGAACCTTCCTTGTCTGATTGAATCACTACCAACTGACTTCTCAGGCTGCCTTATTGAGATAGTTATTTATGTACTTTACATAACCCGACTTCTCTTTTTAATTTTTGTTGCATATAACTCAACAGGGTTGGTGACTTTTATTGACTTACTGCATTGTTAAAATATTTGTTGTATAAATAATGCTGCTTTTGCTGATAATTGGGTGATCATCAACAATAATTTTGCAAGAGCATTAAAAAAACAAACCAAGGGTATTTCCTATGACAAGAAACCATTTTCTTTCCCAAGCTCAAGCCACCTACAGATTTCTGAAACAAATGTTGACCTTACACTGGTCCGAAAGAAAGAGCAAGAGCAGCAGAAGAAACTCTGGAAGGGTTTCCTTATCTGTATCCCTTATGCTGCCAGTATTGGAGGGACAGCTACACTCACTGGGACCCCTCCAAACCTTATCCTGCTAGGCCAACTGAAAAGGTAAAACACTTTATATAGAGATAATTTTTTCAATTGTTAGCCTTATTCAGGCTTTGCAGTTCATGTTGCATTGAGCTCACTCTGCAGGGTTGATGAGAAAAGCACTTCACAGAATATACTGTAAAGTCTAGCGACTGTATATTTTGTGGGCGAAACTTGGCAGCCAATTTGCACACAGCAGCGTCCCACAAACAGTTGTGGATTAAGTGGCCAATCCAATTTTTTTATTAAGTGCAAGAGTGGGGAAAATGTTGCCTTCCCCAGAACAGACACGCCCATTTTACACAATAGAAATTTGTTTACCTAATTGAATTATTTACACATTGAAAATAGTTTACATAAATGAAAATGATTTATATCATTGAAAATTGATGAAAGCTAAACATATGAAGGTTGGTAAATATTGGGCTCTCGCTGTTTATGTTCTTGAATTGATGTTTTATTAGGGGAGGGAAGAAGATTTTTTTTAGAATTTGTACTGTGAAAAGTGATGTCAACAATCCAAAATCTCAGAGACATTGTGGAAGCTCAGAGGGAACATGAATTGCAGAGGTTTCCCAGGGATATTATAGGAACTCTCACAACATCAGGAAAGTTCATCGGATGTCCTTGAAAGCCTTCCAAATGTCTGCTAATGACTACACTGTCGAAATACGCAGATTATTTAAGCATTATGTCTCGATTTAAATGTGAATATGTAAAACTACTAATGAACTTGGAATACAGCAAAACGGAATTTGAGACATGTTTGTTGTGTGAGAGATTCTCATGAGTGCTTCCAGTTGTATTTTATTTTAGCTTCACAGGAACAATACGAAATAGTCGATGTGAAATGGCTTTCTTGTTTCAGGGGAAACACATTTGTCCACAATCTACCAAGCTTTTGTTTGAGCTGGATTCCTAGTGACTGTAATTGAATTTAAACAATGTGATTTGATTTCATATTAGTTATTCACATTAATGGACCCACTTTTTCCCCCTTTGTTTCAGTTATTTCCCTGACTGTGATTCAGTGAACTTTGGATTGTGGTTTTTGTTTGCCAGCCCCATTGCTATTTTGTTCCTGTTCTTTGCCTGGTGTGGATCTCTTTCCTGTATCTAGGACTCAACTTGAAAAGGTAAGGAAAAGAATAAAACTGTACGACCATGACCCTTAGCCCTTCTTGTATATATTGGGTTTAAGTGTAATTATTCTGTCCCTCTGCAAATTGTACGACCAGATAAAGCTGCAGTTGAACACACGTGGTAAGATCAATGGCTGAAGTAAACCTTGCTCGTACAGCTATAGGCTACTAACATGGATATCATTCTTCAATGGGTTAGGGTTAGGGTTATAAATTCAGGATTTTACTTAATATTTCAACATTGGGGAGATTTCAACTAGCTTCAAAAATGACGGCATGAAATAAAATAAAAATTATTGATCAAAATGGCATATGGGGAACATGCGAACTTGAGACAATCAAAGGTAAAGAAATAAAATTTACGTTTTAGGTAATATGTTTCCTTGGAATTGATAAGAATTACTTAGAAGACAAAGGGATTGGCATTGTGGAAGCAACAGATCAAATAGGCAGAAGGGTTATTATTATCCAAACCACTGTTGTAATCATCTGAAACCATCAGCAGAAGCAATGGCGTATGAACTCAGACAACAGGACTTTCCTTACAGTGTTGTTCATCTCCCCCTCATCACCCTATATTCAGGTCACGCGGCAAGAACAAAAGGTCTCAAGACAGAGTGAAGGCAGTGATAAAGAGCGACTATGCAAAACTGGGACCAATGAAGTATGTATGGGTAGATTTACAGTGATCTGTTATGTAACAGGTTAATTGTACCGACAGCTTCTTGTGTGATATGCATATTCTCTATACAACAACAACTTGGATTTATATAGTGCCCTCCATGCCGGACGGCGTCTCAGAGCACTTTACAGTAACGAATCCCGGAGGAGCCAGGGGCAGTGGGGGGGAAGGTGACCAAGGGCGCGGTCGAAAAGAAAGGTCTTCAGCAGAGACCTGAAAATAGGAAGAGAGGAGTGAGGAAGGGAGTTCCAGAGCCTCAGGGCATGACTGAAGGCACGGCCGCCGAGGGTGGAGCAGAGGACTCGGGGGCCGAGGAGGAGGCCAGACCCGGAGGAACGAAGGCAACTGGTACTGTTTTGAGGAGAGAGGAGGTCAAAGAGGTCGGGGAGTGCAGAGGAGTGCAGGGACTTGAATACAAAGGTGAGGATCTTGAAATCGATCCTCTCTGGGATAGGCAGTCAGTGCAGTCTGGCCAGGACTGGGGTGATCGGGGAGCGGAGTTTAGTGCGGGTGAGAATGCGGGCGGCAGAGTTTTGAATAATTTGGATTTTATGGATGGTAGTGGAGGGGAGACCGGCGAGGAGGGCGTTACAGTAGGCCAGCCGAGAGGTGACAAAGGCATGAACCAGGGTTTCAGCGGCTTTCGGAGAGAGGTATTGGCGGAGATGGGCGATGCATCGGAGGTGGAAGAAGGCGGTGCCGGTGAGGGATCAGATGTGGGGATCGAACCTGACCCCTAGGTTGCGTACGGTTTTGGAGAGTTTTAGGCGGAGGTCGGGTCGGTGGAGGAGTTGAGCTGTGAGATTTTAAACGTTGATGAGAGCCAAGGAGTATGGCTTCCGTCTTATCAATGTTCAGCTGAAGGAAGTTTGCGCTCATCTCTCTGTGCACAAAGTCGAGCGTTAGTTAGTGAATCGATGCTGTCTGCATGTGATATTATTTGTGATTGGCATTGTTTGAGCTGGCCTCATCACAAATACCTTGTGTGTACCACTGTTCAGCCAAAGTAAATCTCTCACTACTGATCAGAATGAAATCATACGACTTTTCAAAGCAGCTTCTGTAAAATCTCAGTTTGATGTTGAGGATGTCCCGAGCTACTCACTGGATTTATTGACCTTCCAGGTTTGCAGAGAGGAGTGTCGCTGTCTTTTTCTTCTTCTTTGCCATTCTTCTCTTCACAAGGGATCCCAAATTCATTCCTGGCTGGGCTTATTTTTTCCCAAAAGGGTAAGAGGATTTACATGACTCCTTTAGAATGCAAAAGATATATTTTTTAATCGGTTCCAGCTGCACAAGTAAATCAGTAAGTAATAACATCAGCTCGGTGGACTGACCTTCGTTTCCATGTTTTATTTTGCAGATACATATCAGACGCAGTGACCGCAATGTCACTCATTCTTATGTTGTTTATCTATCCATCTCAGAAGCCATCCCTGAAATGGTGGTTGAATCCAAAAGGTTTGTCAACTAGTTGAATCAAATTATGTACTTATAGGTAAGAGTGACTCTGCATGGTAAACAGGATCTGAACCTATTTGGGGAGAATTTGGCAAACTGTTGAATTTAGTCTTACTTTTGAAGTCAGTTTTCTTTAAATAGCTCTTGAGTTATTTTCTTAAAATAACTTTGCTGGCTTCTAAATTAAGGCTGTCTATAAAAATTTGCTAAGATCTCTAAAATGTTACATGAATAGCCTAATCTAAATCCAAGTGGAAATTTCCTCCATAATTGAGAAGACGGAAGCTATAAGGAGTTTATGTAAAAAGAGAAACTATAGGAGCGTAATAATCTGGAGCATTTTCTATGGCTGAAAGCAGGTCAAACAATGTGTTATTATGTGTAATCAGCAGAGTTTGCACAGCACATTTATCAGAAAAAAATGCTAATATGGTACCAGGGCTAGTTTAACACACAAGCACAGACTGAGCAATTGTTTGCCTGTATTACCGAGGATAACGTTATACATTAATTAGCTTGTTTCTCACATTATTTTGTGTTCAAACATTATCAAGAAAACCAAGCACTGTGTGGTTGGATTTTGAGCCTAATTTCAGATATTCTCACCTCGACTTAAACCTTTTTACCTTCTCCAGTTGTAATTATTCCTATGATTCCAGTGTGTAACACAGCCTGGCCTCTCTTCTCTTGGAGGTTGTGCGTGCTCTTGCTGCAAAAAACTTATCTTATTTTTTTTCGACTTTCTATTTCCAGCTCCAAATGTTCCAAATCCATCGCTCTTAAGTTGGCAAAAAGTTCAAACAAACCTACCCTGGAACGTGATCCTACTTTTAGGAGGAGGGTTTGCAATGGCGAAAGGATGTGAGGTACATAATCGACCGAAATTTCTGTTCACAAATTAATCTCGGCATAGGATTAGTAGTCTAAATCCACACGGGCAATGGATGACTTAGTGACATTTTGGTAATTTAAAAGTTAAAATACCACCTTATGAGTTTCTGTATCAGCTATTTTCCCCACCATTTTTCGCTGGTGCTGGAGACAACTGTAGTACCTTAAATGGTGTCCTAGCTGAAATCAGCTTTTTCATTTTAAACTGTCTTAGCCTGTTGAAATATCTCAAAGCCCTTCGCAGGTAATCACCATCAAGTGTGACTTGTTTAAGTAGGAAAACCTGGCATTTGTGCCAACTAGTCATTTGGTAAATGGCCAATTATTCTGGAGGATTGTGGACCAGATTCCTTGGAGAAACTCCCTTTTAATTTTGAACAGTTATTATATCTTCAATGTCTCCCTGGACAAATTGGCTTTAGTTTAACATCTTATCAGAAATATAGCACTCCACCAGCATTATGTTGGGAGAATCATCTTGGACAATGAACTCTATGCCCTCCCTAACTCGGAGTTTGAACCCACAACCTTTTGATTGAGACAATAATTTACCACTGAACCAAGACTGTTCATTGTGTAAATTGCTTTCCTGCTGCATGGGGTAGGAAATGAGGGAGAGATGTGCCATTGCTGCCCGGTAACAATAATTTCAAGTTAATGTGAACAGGTTCTCTTCAATCCAGTGTTTGAACACCTGCAATATTTTGGTTTCCAGGAATCAGGGCTGTCCCATTGGATAGGCAGACAGCTCCGTCCACTTGAGAATTTGCCGCCAAGTGCAGCAGTCCTGGTCATTGCCATAACAGTAGCATGTTCCACTGAATTTGCCAGCAACACTGCGACAAGTATAATATTCCTACCGATTGTGGCTCAACTGGTGAGTTTATTGAATATAGTTTTTATTCTGTGTTAATCAACTGGGGGCGGACAGTTACTACATGATGTGAAAGGAGAAATGTAAGGAAGCGTTTCTTTAGACAGAAGGCAATCAACAACTGCAATTGGCTACCAAGAAGGGTCAGGATACTTATACTTATAAGAAACAGGAAGACAATGTTGTAGAAGAATGAGATCAACCGGTTTGAAGTTACTCCTAAATCATAAATTTCCCACGTTCTCACGATGATAAGCAATCATATTAAATCGCATTTTGGAACAGCTGGTTTAAATGATCTCTTCGGTTCCTTTAAGTAATAACATGATATTTTCTATGCACTGGAGAGCCTTCATTACAAATAATACAATTTTTCCCATTTAATTTACCTCTTCTCCAGGCCATCCGCCTGAAGGTGAATCCTCTCTACCTGATGATCCCAGCAACGTTGAGTGGTTCCTTTGCCTTCATGCTGCCAGCTGCAACACCTCCCAACTCTATCGCCTTTGCTACAGGACATCTAAAGGTCATGGATATGGTGCGTGGATTTTCTAGTACAAACACTGAGTAAATGATGGGGTTAGGTTATATCTCAAACACAGTGACCCGTAACCGTACTATATTAATGACTGCCATTGAGATGAATGGGATTTTTCTTCCATAGTGCTCTCCCTTCCTGGAATCATTGCACCTTCTATCATTGGGTTGTGATTGGGAACCAAAAGTACGAAAGGTATTTTCAATTAATGGAAGCATGCTTGTCCTTCTTCACCTCTGCCTTGAAAATATTGTGGACATATTTACTAGGTCCTGTTCTTCATTTTTATAATCTCCTCCAAATCATTGATGAAGTCGTATGCCAGATCTTCTGGTAGAATCAGCGCTATTCTAACAATTTTTAATTAAGTCGGAGCAAATTCTCAAGTTTTAGCCCAAGAGTTGGAATGTAAATCCATGGCACTGACCAGATTAAATAGATTTAATCCAAGTTACTTTTAGGCACCGCGTTGTTTTAGCAGGTGGATTAGGCTAGAGCAGGTTATGCTGTTACCAAGAGTCACTGTGTGTGGTATTGCCTCTGGCATAGATTCACACCCAGCAACCGAGAACACGGCTTCTTTGCCACGCAGAGAATAATTTGCATTTACCGCAACAACAACTTGCATTTATATAGCCTTTATGTTCATGGGGGTAGCGCCTCAGAGGGTTTAACCTTCACAAAGGTATATAAGATAGCGAAAGTATAAGGGATAGAGAAAGTAAATGCAACCCTAAGCTATATATGCTGAGGTAGTGGGACAAGATGCCACAGGGTAATTGTGGTAGTGAAACCAAGAAGTATTTCTTTACAAGCTGGAATGGAATTTCCATAGGAAACCATGGGATGGTTTCTTACTCAAGATACAAAACCGTGCTGCTGTGTTGGCAAAACAGGGTATAGTGTGGGAATTGGGAATTGAGGTGAGGAAAGGCAATGGAGATTATCTGAATTATTGGCCTGATCAGAGCTGTGGTCAGGCTGATTAGAGGTAACGGTAAGTTGTTTACAGTTGCTAAGAGCTTTGTTGTTAATGAGCAGGAGAATTCCATGGATGAATGAGAGACTTAGCTGGAATTTAATCATTGATCTGTTGTGTTCGTGTAAAGAATGCAGATAGTTTTGAAAACCATTCATTTTGGCTGTCCTGTAACGTGGAAATGGGAACGGTGGGAGTTGTTTTCTTTTTCTCTCTTTTTTTTAATCCTTTTCTTTTGAGCCCTACTCCTCTCGAGTAAACCAGGTGATCACTAACTTGGATGTGGCAACTGCAAATAATAATAATAGTAATCCTTGCATTTGATATAGCGCTTTATCACATCTCCGAGACGTCTCAAAGCGCTTCACAGAAATATACTGTAAAGTGAATTGACTGTATATTTTGTGGGCGAAACATAGGAACGTAAGGGTGACCCACCTTCCATCTTGTTTGTACATTTTTTGCCAGCAGCTTCCTAATCAGTGTCTCCACTGATTCATCGGGAACTCGATAAGAGCAATTGCAAATCTGTCCTTCCACTTCATGGCACTGGCGAGTTGTGAAACTCTGTGTTCTTTAACTCACATGTTTCCCATTACCCTCTGGATTTAGCATCAGAATTGTATCAGTAACCAAAAGAACTGTTTTCATTTAATGACATATCTAAGAAACTGACATTATATTAACAGACTATAATTGTCTCTACAGGTGAAAGCTGGGATAGTAATGAACGTTATAGGTATTCTTATGCTCTTATTGGCTGTGAACACATGGGGGCAGTACATGTTCCAACTCGCTGTTAACCCGGACTGGGCTAAAGCCATGACACTAGTTCTGGACAGTGAGGATGTCCTGAATGGGACTATGGTACCTCTGAATGGGACTTTATAACGTAAAATGTATTGATATCCAGACCGCCATTCAAGTTACACAACTCGTTCCAAACATCATTGATCGCTGAACTGCTCCAACTGCTAAGAAAGATTCCTGACCTGAATGTTATGGACTGACACGACTCCTGCAGAAAGAGAGACGGCGAGAGATACACCCTGAAGAATTAACACTTCATTTTATTTGAAAAGTTCACTATTTAATTAGTAATTATATGTGTGGTGATGGAAAGCCCATTAGCAATCTTTAAATACACTACGAATCAATTCTTTGAAATGGTATAAAGCTGACACTGCTGTTCCCAGTTTGAAAAGCAGAAGACAACCTTGCTCCTTCTTAATTAGTGAGTTATAGCTTCCATAGGAAACCAACACCATTCAAATATACTAGTTGCCGATTTTAACACAACTGCATAGCTGGCTGGCTGAAAGCATTAAAGGTGAACAAATATTATGTTTGTTTTACATTCCTAGAAAGTACTTCAAAAGTCAATCAATTTGGAGGCAGTATTTATATGCATTATATTAAAAAATATTTCTAGATTATGACAGTTTGTGGACTCTTGCAGGGTTAAGATTGGATGTTTTGAGTGTGGTTCAAAATTAAAAAGGATGCTGAGTGCAGTTGGAAACAGACGATAAGAATATTCAAACAAAAATCAAAATGCATAGATATTTCCCAGATTCACGGATATCAGAGCAGCTTACATTAATTGCTTCTACAGGATTCAGAATGGCTGATTCTCTCACCATATTTACCATATGGACACCACACACGCTTCTAACAGTTTCCACAGATGTCTGGTTTCTTCCTTCCATATAAGTACAGCACCTTGGGAAGTCCTCTCGATGTGAAAGGCGCTATTCAAATGTAATTTTGTATTGTATTGTAAGTCTTCCAGTAAAAGGTCATCATTGCCAACCTTGTCCTTTCACATGTAATTGATCACGTTAAGCCAATATTGTGTACATGGACTTGGTTTAAACAACTCAAAATCATGTGTAAATGACTCAAAATGTTAAAAGTAGTTTGGTAGAAATGTTCATTCAATTACAGTTTAGAGTATTTAGGAATCAATGTAGATTGTTTGCAATCAATGAGATGTGTCAAACCTCTTATCATTGTACTAACCAGAAAATGATTTGAGAGAAAGGAAAAGTATCTGACTATTCCATACAGGGTCTTGATATTAATCAGATAAGGTTTGAGGATATCCCGAGCTGGAACTAATGTACCAACTCTAAATCAAAGGGAACCCAAGAAAAGTTAAGGATGGATTGAGGTGTCCAAAATTCCACAAACCATTATTAAACCTGATGTAACCAGAAAGAGAGAGAGAAAGATGATCCACTCATCTGTATTCAAGCCCTCTCGAGGTTAATACCATGACAAGTGCAGACTTGTTCAATTGATTAAGTATTTTATCTATTCAATCTGGACAGTTGCATTTTAAGAACTGCTAATTATTATTTGTCTATTCTGATTCAGGTTGAGCCCAACTAAATGCTGTTGCTATATCTGTAAGCAAATGGATGTTTGAGCAATTGCATCTTTCCCCACATCATCTTTGTGTCTAAAGTAATTCATTTACTATATTTTATTGCATTGTGCTTGCATGGTTCTTTGGAAAGCACAGAGTTAAATTCTGAGTTATGGTCAGCTGTACTTTTGAAAATCTAATCACATGAGGAAGCCTGAGTTCAGGAGGCTATTGTGCAAGCATTAACAGCTTTTGAAACCACTTAGGGGTAAGGAGTTGAAACTCAAAGGGAAGTACAGGCTTCCTTATATTAGAAGTCTGTTAATAAACTGCAAGAGGGGAAATTGGCAAATTAAGTTTATGGCAATTACTTTAATTAAGTTGACCTGAATCAAAGGTTACTTGTTCAATTGCCCATCTGTGTCATTATATTAATCACATTAAAACCACTTTGAAAGTATCCCAACGTCAATTATATTCTGGTAATTATTCATCTTTAGCATCGTATATTTATCTCCTGTTTTCTTCCAATATTTAACTCCTGGCCTTGAGTTCAGTGAAATGATTGTCCTAGGTACATAAAGAAACCATCACATTTACACATTCTTTAGCACTTTTATAATCGTGCTATTTGCCCGGCTGTAAAAGTCAATACAAAAAATAAAGTGAAGCGATATTGCCTTCTTGTGGATTTTTGGTGGGTTCCTGCTGGGAACGGAATTCGTGTTTACCTCCACTTTTTGCAGTCATAATCGACTTTGCAGGTTAGGTTACAGTATCAGCTTGATTCAAGATGATGTTCTCTACTCTGTGCAGGTAAACAGTCTCATATAATAATAATCATTGGACCTCATTTTATATGGTTGCCTTATCAGATTGTCAAAACGTCTCAAAGCTTTTCACAGGATAATAATAATCCTTGCATTTGATGTAGCGCCTTATCACGTCTTCGAGACATCTCAAAGCGCTTCACGGAATACAGTGTAAAGTGGAGTTACTGTACATTTATAGAACATATAGCAATGCTCCTTCTGACACTTCATGAAGAATATAGGGGCGATATTGGGTCAGGTAAGAGTGTCTGCAAGACAGCGAGGAGGGAATATACCCAGATCAGAGAATGAGCCCTAGTTACAGACGGACAGGGTGTCAAAAGAGATTTTAACTGGAGTGTCTCAGTAATGGATAAGTCGCGAGCCAGACTCTTGCACAGAAAAGTGGGAGAGTGTCTAATTAGTGAACTGGGTGATGCATTCAGCGGACTCAGTTACCAGCCTACAAATATAGAGCACTCATCTGTATAAACTAGGAGGAATTTCCATTTGCTGAAGCTAATCTTGTGATTGTTTGACATGCCTACATCAGCATTTAATGGAACAGCACATGCACAGAGCATATTCCCTAGGTGTAAATCAACTTGTACTCGAGAAAGGGCAGGTCACTCGCAGACAGAAAGTGGGTAAGGCTTACTTGGATAAAGTCTCTCTGAGTCCCACGTGTTGAGTTTTGATATCGAAGTTGGAGAGAGAGAAAGAGAGAGAGGCAGAGACTCAGCACAGAGAGACTTTGCCAAAGGCAGTGAATGCAACATGGTACAGATTGGGATGATTGCGAAAAAAGCTTGGAGCATTCGCAAAACCATAGTGCTGTTCTTGATGCCTGTGTTGCTTTTACCAATTATATTCTTTCTGCCTTTAAAGGTAAGCTGGAACATTGCTAACATTTGTGCAACAAATAATAAAAATAATCCTTGCATTTGATATAGCACTTTTCACGTCTTAAAGTGCTTCACAGAATATACTGTAAAGTAAATTGACTGTATATTTGTGGGCGAAACGCGGCAGCCAATTGCGCACAGCAATGTCCCCAAAACAGTCGTGGATTGAAGTGATCAATTTTATTATTGTTTTTTGTTTATTATTATCCCTCAAGTAAGGAGTAAGGAAGGTGTGGAGTAAGGAAACTTACCCAAGGTTTTACCCTGGCGGGAATCAAACCCAGATCTCTCGCTTGCAAGGCGAGTGCTCTAACCACAAGTACACATTTGGGATTGGGAAATTTACACATCTAAATCTGCATTAATTTTACTTTTACAGCATTGGGAGTGTAATATCTTCAGTGAAATTAAGTGGTCGACATTTGTTGCTGTTGTAAACCAATCAAACAAAAATATTTGCAAAAGCTTGACTTTGTCAACTATTGAAACAATACAATAATTAATGTACAAATAACAGTAATGTCATTGTCAGCCTCATTCAGTGAATGATATAATCTGATTTCTTTGTCAGAATTATGTAACAATGATAATTATCCTTGCATTGACATAGCGCCTTATTGCTTATTATTGCTCGTGACTTGGGCTGTCCTCCCGATGTGAAAGGCGCTTTACAAATGTAACTTTGTATTGTCTTGCATCACGTCTTCGAGATGTCTCAAAACACTTCACAGAATATACTGTAAAGTGAATTGACTCTATATTTAGTGCATGATAACAGTGGATAACAACACTATTTATTACTTAAGATGTTGCAGCCAATAATACATAGTGTTGGCATAATACTCTGGATGTTAAGCATGGGAATAGTGCTTCATTATTCAACTATATCATTGTTTAACCTAATAAGCCCAAATAAGTTTATTTTGGATTTGTTCACATACCTTCCACAGGAAGGAAGATGCCTCTATGTAATTCTCCTCATGGCCACATACTGGTGCACGGAAGCATTGCCAATTGCCGTAACATCTCTGCTTCCCATCTGCCTTTTCCCTTTCCTGGGGGTCCTGCCCTCTGCCAAGGTCAGTCCTCAGTACTTTGTTGACACCAATGTTCTCTTCATAAGTGGCCTGATCATGGCACTGGCGATTGAGGAGTGGAACCTGCACCGAAGAATAGCCCTCTCCATCCTGATGTTCGTTGGCGTGAGCCCACCCATGTAAGTAACAACAAAGTACCTGTTCCATTCATTCAGTTATGCTACTAATTGTTGTCAACACTTTATTGTCACTGTAAGTCATGGACAGGCATGGATCATTGTATAGAAACATTGTAGTCTTGTCAAGTATTGAAAGCGGGCAATAATGGGAGGGGATTTCAACAATTAGTTGTTTGCGGCTGCATTATTTTTGGGCTGCTCTCAAAGCAAGGTATTCATTCAGTCCTATTGCGAGGCTTTATTCCCATATCCATTCGGGCCTCCGCACTGTAGCCAAGGAAGGTCTTACTGGTCTAAAATTAAATGAAAGAACTTTCCTCTTCAACCACGCCTTCAGTCACATCCTAATCCTCACTGCCCTCCACCCCTCCTGATCCCAACCCCCAGCTCGGGTGCATATCATTGACTATCTTCCCGACAAATGTAATTTGTTGTTGTTTTCTTTGTTGCTGTTTTTTTAGGCTTATCTTGGGGATGATGATAACCACAGCTTTTCTGTCAATGTGGCTCAGTAACACGGCCAGCACAGCCATGATGCTGCCAATAGCTACTGCGATGCTCAAGAGCTTGTTTGGCAATTTTGATCCCATGAAGCAGAATGATAGTGAAGCCATTAAGCAGAACGATGATGAAGATGGCTTAGCTCATAAAGGTACTCGTTTTTATTTGATTTGGGACTGATTGAAACTTCCAAGTTTAAGGTTTGAGTTGTTTTCCATACACTGGCATTCGTGTTCAAGCCCTGGTTCCCACTAAGGGTGTGTCTCATCAACTTCATTTTGATTGTGCAAGAACGATGGAGAGAAATGCAGAGGCACTTGCAGAGCGAACAATTTCTCCATTAATTGAACAAGCCTTCTTAATAGAGTGAGCCATCTTGGGTTATATATCTCACATGTGTGATATTCCGCCCTTGAATGATGTTTTGTGGCACATGAACTGATGCTGGTGTTCAGATAGAATATGTCCGAGTGATAAAAGCATCATCATCAACAATAGCAACTTGCATTTATATAGCACCCTTCACGTGGGTTGCTTCCAGGAGCGCTTCAGTTACGATAATTGACATCAGGATTATAATGGAGGGGTCGGAGGCATGGGAAGCTCTATGCACTTTCCCATAACCCAGAGGTATCCAGGTCCACAACAATCATATTTGACATGTGGAGTCTTGGGGGCCTTTCAGCTCTGGAACAGGTGAAAACCACCCGCTCACAAATCTAAAGATTTGGGTTTTATACTTTTAAACTTCAAGGTTGACAGACCTCATTAAAAGGTTGTGTGCTTTATAAGTTGGAAACATTTTAATCATTTGTGCTTAATCATTTGATTAATTTCTTTCTCCCCCCAGATGTCATTTCAAGGGAGCCAATATCAAATGCAGTGCCGTTTTTGATTTCTGATGACAGGTACGACATAAAGTTCATACAAATTTATACAGCTGAGGGTGAGAGAACAAGGTGTTGGAGGAAATTTATTTTGCTGTATTATTTCCATGAGGAAATAATTTCAACAGGTGCATAAACTGTATAAATGTGTTTCTGCCACTTAGTATAACTAGGGTTGGTTGCTGAACATAAGGTTGAGGGTAGATATAGGATGTTGGAATCAGAAGAACAGAAAACTAGTCGAATGGAAAAGTATGAACATGTTCTGACAATTGGAAAAATACCAATTATTTTCTCGTTTGCTAACCACACGGAAACACCCCTCTCCCTCACCCCACCCAGCTCAGGGGCACTGGTGGGATTTTCAATGCTCATGTCTGCTGACAAAAGCTAATTGAGGATTAAAGAAGAATTGAAGTTGGAACCTTCCTAGTCTTTAAGAATCAGTTCCACATTGAATAGTACATTTACCAACTAACCTCTCAAGTGCATCTCGCTGCCCTATTCATTTGCACTACTTTACATAAGTGGATTTTTATCTCCAAGTTTTGTGGCCTATGTGGGGTTTGAATGAAATTTAGCGACAACCGACCACGTTTAGAAGGTGCTCATCATCAATGTAACAATAGTACTGCTTTTGCTGATAACTTCTGGTGATCTTCTTGCACGACCATTGAATCAAATGCAGTTGATCTATGCCTTTTTTTCCCACCCGCAGCCAAAAGCATCCTCAGCTACCTGAGATAGATGATAACCTTACGCTTGCCCAGCAGAAAGAACAGGAGCAGCAAAAGAAACTCTGGAAGGGTTTCCTTATTTGTATTCCTTACGCTGCCAGTATTGGAGGGACAGCTACAGTAACTGGGACCGCTCCAAACCTCATCCTACTTGGCCAGGTGAAGAGGTAAATATGTCGATGGGGATTTTTATTCCTCGGTCGTTAGCCTCATTCAGAGAAACCACTGAACGTGAGTGGTGAGGAAATGGCTGTGGCAAACTCCACCAAAGCTTGCTATTATACTGAGGGTAAGGTAGATTCTGTATGTTGGTGAAGAGGAATAAAGGGATCCTCTGCATTCACTCTGCATCTGTGACCTGGAGAGCTTCTGATACTGAGTGCGAGAGCGGTAGAAATCCTTCATCTTGAGAAATACATCATTGAAAATAATATAATCCTTGCATTTGATACAGCACCTTATCAAATCTTTGAGATATCTCAGCGCTTCACAGAATATACTGTAAAGTGAATTGACTGTACACATGAGGCTAACTTTGTAAGGTTTGTCATACCTCATAGGCATAAACCTGAAGGGTTCCGAAACGTTATCCAATATGCAGCACGTTATATAGATCCAAGTTATTCTTGAATTTTAGGTTTGGCTGAGGGAATGCAGGGGGAGGGGAGGGGAAATCCATTCCTGGTGCAGGCACTTTTAGATTTCACTTCGATTTTAAATGGGAAGATATTAGAATATGTTTTACCCTTTTCTCCATCTCAGTTATTTCCCTGACTGTGACTTGGTGAACTTTGGATCGTGGTTTATGTTTGCTTGCCCGCTTGCATTCATATTCCTGTTCTTTGCTTGGCTGTGGATCGCTTTCCTATACGGTGGACTCAGCCTAAGGTAATAAAAAGAATAGAAGTATACGTAGTTATGTGCTTTTGTCTTCCTTGTATATCTTGGAACTGAGCCTGGGCAAGTTGGTTAATTATAATAATAATAATTATAATCCTTGCATTTGATTTAGCGCTTTATCACATCATCAAGATGTCACAGGATTCACTGTAAAGTGGAGTGACTGTGTATTTTGTTGGCGAAATATGCACCCATGAGAAACAAAAGAATCATAGATGGAAATTAAAACCTTGGATAAGCAGAAACAATGATAGATGAGCTCAGCTTATGAGTCTGTCTGTTACAATGTCATTCCTTGCCCCTTACGTTTAGGTCCTGTAGAAAGAACACAAATGTAGAGTCTCAAGACAGAGTGAAAGCAGTGATAAAGAGCGACTATGCAAAACTGGGACCAATGAAGTATGTATGGGTAGATGTACAGTGATCTGTTTTTTAGTATGTTATGTAACAGGTTAATTATACCGACAGCTTCTTGTGTGATATGCATATTCTCTCTGTTCTCTCAAAGTTGAGCATCAGTTAGTGTATCGATGCTGTCCGCATATGATATTGTTTGTAATTGGCATTGTTTGAGCTGGCCTCATCACAAATACCTTGTGTGTACCACTATTCAGCCAAAGTAAACTTACTGCTGGTCAGAATGAAATCATACGACTTCTCAAAGCAGCTTCGGTAAAATCTCAGTTTGATGTTGAGGATGTCCCTCAACCGACATGAAAGGCGCTATACAAATGTAATCTTGTTGTTGTTGTTGTTGTCCCAAGCTACTCACTGGATTTATTGACCTTTCAGATTTGCAGAGAGGAGTGTCGCTGTCTTTTTCTTCTTTTTTGCCATTTTTCTCTTCACAAGGGATCCCAAATTCATTCCTGGCTGGGCCCATTTTTTTGGCCAAGAGTAAGAGGATTTTCTATTTCAGTCAAGCGGTTAAGGATGACTTAGAATGTCATAGGATTCGTTGCTAGTTTAGAATTTGAACGGTGTACTTTGTGAATTGTGTCAACAAGTAAAATGCATATTGCTAGAGGTAAAAGGGAATGAAAAGGGAGATTGTTGATAAACAGTAAATGTTAAAGATAGATCTTTAACTCTTCTGAGCTGAATTACAAAACAACAACTTCAGCTCCATCTACTGATTCTTTTATTTCCAAAATTTATTTTGTAGATACATATCAGATGCAGTAACCGGATTGTCGTTGATTATTATAATGTTTGCCTTTCCATCTCAAAAACCATCATTGAAATGGTGGTTTAGTTCAAAAGGTATGTAAACTCGTTGAATCAAATAGATGCCCTGGAATTGTGTGGGAATCTGCCAAAGAGAATGGAATCTGGGACATATGTTTTATACAGGAGAAGTTATAAGGAGTTGGGAACAAAGCCGGGTGCTTTATATAGAAAGAAAATATACAAGCATAATAATCTGGAGCGCTTTGCATGGCTGAAAGCAGTACGAAAGGTTTGTTATTCAGTGTAATCAGCAGAGTTACAGAGCACAGTTCTCAGAACAAAAACCTGCTAATATGGTACAAGGACCCGTTTAAAATTACAAACACAGACTGAGCAATTGTTTGCCTATATTACCAAGGATAACGTTATACATTAATGAGTTCATTTATCACATTATTTGTGTTTAAACATTAACAAGCAAACCAAGCACTTAGTGATTTTGAGCCTAACTTCAGATATTCTTACCTCCTCGGTTTACATTCTATAAATGCATAATTCCTATGGTTCCAGAGATCATTCAGAGTGCGACATTCTCACTCTGGATAGTTATTTGCTGTTGCTGCAACTAAACACAGACCTTCCTTAAAACCTATTCTCTCCTTATTGCCAATGTTTCTTCTTTACCTAGCTGCAAATGTTCCAAATCCATCCCTCTTAAGTTGGAAAAAAGTTCAAGCAAACCTACCCTGGAATGTGGTCCTGCTTTTAGGAGGAGGTTTTGCAATGGCAAAAGGGTGTGAGGTACATGCATTATTTTATTTGTTATTTGTTGTTTGCCTCAAAAACTGACGACAGCTCAATCCTGATATGTAATTAACCTAAGTCTACGATGACAATAAGAACAGAGGTGGCTGGGAACACTCAGCAGGCCGGGCAGCATCTATGGAGAGAGGAAAGTGAGTTGACCTTTCAGGTCGATGTCCTTTCATCAGAACTCAATTAGTTAACTCACTTTCCTCTCTTCATAGATGCTGCCCGACCTGCTGAGTGTTCCCAGCCACTTTGGTTCTTATTTCAGATTTTCAGCACCTGCAGTATTTTGACTTTTCCACAATGACAATGACTCCCTACTGAAATCTTAGTATTTTTGTAGCTAAAAGAAAGTTAATTGTAAGTTTCCATAAAAATGTAGCTGCGCTTACCCCCACCCGCATAAACACACACCTTAAATCTTTCTTCTCCATTTTTCATCCCTTGTCCAGCTCTTCCTCTCCTGAAAGTCTATGAACTCCCTTTTTTTTCCCTGTCTGCTGGCACATGACATTGCATGGACAATAAACTCAAAACCCTGACTTGGAGTTTGAACCCACAACCTTATAAGAAAAACATTGTTCCACTGGGTTCATTGCATAAATCACTTTCCTGCTGCATTGGGTAGAAAACAAGGCAGAACTATGGCCTTGCTCCTCGGCAATAGTAATTTTAAGTTAGTCTGAACAGGTTTTAAACTCTTTAACCCAGTGTTTGAACACCTGCAATGTTTTACTTTTCAGGAATCAGGGCTGTCACGCTGGATAGGCAAGCAGCTCCATCCACTTGAGGACCTGCCGCCAAGTCTAGCTGTCCTGGTCATTGCCATAACGCTAGCATTTTTCACGGAATTTGCCAGCAACACTGCTACAATTATAATATTCCTACCGATTGTTACCCAACTGGTGAGTTTCTTGAGCACAGCGCATTATGTGTCTGTAGAGTGGATAGTCACCAACAACCACAAATTACATTTGTATAGCACCCTCTGAGGGCAGTATGGAATTTCTTTGGCTGATAGAATTGTATTTGATATCCACCGGGTGCGTAGCTTTCATCATAAGAAATGCAACTGCTCCCTCTTATTGTTGTCTACAGGCCATTCATTTGAAGGTGAATCCTCTCTACCTGATGATTCCCGGAACTGTAGGGTGCTCTTTTGCCTTCATGCTCCCAGTCGCGACTCCTCCAAACTCTATCGCCTTTTCTACAGGCCACCTAATGGTCACGGATATGGTACGTTGAATTTCTAGTACAAACCCTGAGCTGGAATACATTTGCTCCCACTTAAGACTATATACTAACCGACATGTGAGTGGAATGTCCATAAAATACAGTCAATCCACTCTACAGTATATCCCTATGAATCGCCCTTGAGATATCTCAACATGATAAGGCGTTATATCAAATGCAAGGATTATTAAATATTAACCCCCTTATTAGCTACCTATCTTCATAGTTTGTGACAATCCTAACCCTAATTGGCACATTTTATCCTAATTGAGGTAGTCTTGTCCAAATCGTGAATAGAGTGAACAGCACAAGACTTCCAAGATGAGCTTGGTTTATGATTTGATTTCTGTTACAGTAGTGGCAAGCATTTAGGCTTAGTTTGTATGGGTTCATCTAACTGTGCAGGGGCCACGAAAGAGGTCAGTGAGCAAAGGAACATGACGCAAATAAACAGTTGGAATTCTTCTCTTGGTGACCTAATCTCCATTTAAATAATCAGTTTTATGCCAATAACAATTCTTAATTAAGTCAGAAGAAACTGGAATGTAAATCCACAGTGCTGATCGGATTAGACATGTTTCATCCAAGTTACTTTAAAGCATTGGTTTTGGATGAGGGTAAAGCATGAGGGCAGGGTTTTGGATGAAGGTAACGCAGACTTGGCTAGGAAGTATAGGGCACTGCAACCACAAACGTTTTTGGATCTTTCCCCTCAATCGACAACCTCAGACCCACAAACCAGTTCTTGATAATGCTGTCCTGTAATCTGAAAGGTGTTGAAAAATAGCGACGATTTGACTAATCCTCTATTTCTCTTCCTTCTTATGGCAAGCCTGATTGCACATTTTCCCTGATTGCTTTGCTGCACAAGGTGCTGCAAAAAGATACTTTGACCTCACATACATATCGTGTTATTTTTAACCAATGACTTTACAAAAAAGTATAATTTTCTTCACTTAGTTACAGAAGTGGGTCATCTGATGTAATTTTATGCTGTTACATCATCCTAAAAAGTCCATGCAGTTAGACCTATCATTTATTGACCTGCCCACAAACAAGATAACTGCTTTCAACATGCACAAGGGCCTTCAAAACGGTTTTGGTAGATGTAAGGATAGCTGCAGGCTGACATGAACAAATATTCCATGGGAGAGAATGCTTTAATAATAATAATAATAATCCTTGCATTTGATACAGCGCTTTTTCACGTCTTCTAAACGTCTCAAAGCGCTTCACAGAGTATACTGTAAAGTGAGTTGACTGTATATTTGTGGACGAAACGCGGCAGCCAATTGCACACAGCAGCGTCCCACAAACAGTTGTGGATTGAAGTGACCAATTTTATTGCTTTTTTTTTTGATTGCTGTGCTCTTTGGACTTAATCTTGGGGAAATCAATAAAAGAAGACGGTCTGAACTGAAATGAGGACCTGTGAGGCTAGTGTTGTATTATAGAGTTTCCGCTTGGTTGAATTGGCGTTTATGGGGTCTCTATGCAGAACTTCTCTATAGGAAATGTAAGGCCATGATAGGTTAGGTTAGCTGTGCAATGTGGAGAAAGATGGGTTAATAGATTGAACATTGCTGTCAGAGGAAATTCTTTAGGTGTACGCGGCAGCCAATTATGAATGTGTTTAACCCTCCTGGTAAACAATATCTACACTGACTGAGCTGTGGATGAACAATTAACAGACTCGTGTTAACATGGGTGAGAGCAATGTGTGAGAGAAATATTTTAAAGAGCTACGAATCACCATTAAAGTTAGCAAAACTCAAGAGGTTGAAAATTCATATCATGTCTTAATACTACTACTACAAATAATAATCCTTGCATTTGATATAGTGCCTTATCATGTCATTGAGATGTTTCAAAGCATTTCACACAATATACTGTAAAGTGTAGTGATTTGTGTATTTTGTGGGCGAAACGCGGCAGCCAATTATGCACAGCAGTGACCCACAAACAATCTTTTTTGATGGAGATTAGCTGGATTACTGGCTTGATCAGAGCCGTGGTTAGGCTGATTAACAAGTTGACTATGGTCCCGTTGCTAACATAAGATTTATTGTTAAGCAGGAGTTTCCATAAATAAAAGCAAGACCTGGCTGGAGTTTAATCATTGAGTCTGTTATTCCCATGTAAGGAATGAAGATAGTTTGGAAAATTATTTATGTTGGTTGTTGGGGCCAATACAATGCATCTCACATCAGGCTCCTTTAGCCTTATGTTATGACCAGGAACAGTACTGTGGCAGTGGGCTGAAGCGCCCATGTCTCTAATGTGTTGTATTCTTTTTTTTCCGACCCATTTTTTTATTAATTTATTTCGAGCCCCAAACCTCCGAACTTATTCCAGGTCAGCAAAGGCCAATCCTCAGACCCTATCCAGGGATATAGAAGGGTGGGTCTGTCTTTCATTCTAAATTTGAGTGGGTGGGTGATTTCTAAAGTCCCCTTTTACTCATTCATTTTCCCATTATCTTCATGCATAAAATACAGTCAATTCACTTTACAGTATATTCTGTGAGGCGCTTTGAGATGTCTCGAAGATGTGATAATGCGCTATATCAAATGCAAGGATTATTATTATTATAACAGATTATAACAGATTATCATTATCTCTACAGGTGAAGACTGGAGTTGTTATGAACATTATGGGCATCATTGTGCTCTTCATTGCTGTGAACACATGGGGGCTGTACATGTTCCAACTCAATACTTACCCTGACTGGGCTAAAGTCATAACAGTAGCTCTGGACAGTGGGAATGTCGTGAATGGGACTATGATGCCTCTGAATGGGACTTTGTAATATAAAGCGTATTGATATCCAGACCACCATTCAAGTTACACAACTCGTTCCAAACCTTCCCATCATCGTTGATACACCACCATTGAACTACTCAAACTGCTTAAGAAAGATTCCTGACCCAATGCCATGGACTGACACGACTCTGCAGGAAGAGTCTCTGCGAGAGATACACCCTGAAGAATCAAAACTTAATTCTATTTGAAAAGTTTAAATGTGCTGTTTAAATAGTAATTATGTTTATGGTGATGGTAAGCCCACAAAGGTGATTTAAAGATATCTCAGATGTGTGCGTGTGCATGTTTTATTTTCAAATGTTGATTTAACTCTCATTCGTAAGAAGTATTTATCAGGTTGTACTTTCGAAAATGAAATTAAGTTAAAAAGATCAGGGGGTTCGAAGAGTGTGAGAGAGAGAGGGGGAGGGAGGGAGGGAGCTTAGAGGGAGAGAAGGTACAATACAATACAAAATTCCAGTTGTAAAGTGCCTTTCACGTCTGGAGGACGTCCCAAGGGGCTGGTAGCCTCAGATATGCAACAATCACTGTGCAAATACAAAGGCAGCCTTGGTCTTGCTCCATTAATATGCTCACAAACAAGGTTTCTCCAAGTCAATAAACCCTTAAACCATTCCACTGTGCCTGAGCCCTTGATTTTAGCACAGACACATTGCTGACTGAAAGCAATAAAGGTGAACAGATATAATATGCTTTACATTATTAGGCATTCATTGGTAAATCAGCTTGGAGGTCTTGAAGTATTCATAGGCAGTGTATTAAAATGAATTATTTCAATAAATTCAGGATTCAGAAGAGCTCATCTCTTCACTTACCATTTATTGTTAAACACCAGAAGACAAGGACCTCAGCATCACAAACTCCCTTCTGACAGTTATCCCACAGTTATCTGTCTGGTGTCATTCTTTCTTCTGTTTACGAGTAAGTTGTCCCATCAGCCCGGCTTTGTCCTGTATCTGATCTGGAAGCGGAATACAGTATATGTCAGATGAAGATATAATTGGGTCTGGCTATAAAATTCCACTCTCCAACTCTGACCCTCCTTTCCTTTTCACCAACTAACCTCCCATCGCTCACTACGGAGATTCAGCAATGAGCAGCGCTATGGGGAGCTGCTGTGCCAATGGAACCAAACCCCAACATGATTCAATGGCTTCAGAGGATGAGAAAGGAAATTAAGGAGTTACTGCTTTGATAACACCTGCCTTCCTATAGTCTATTTGATATTTCCTGTAATGCTCCGGTCTTCTTTTTTAAAAAAAAACAATTAATTTAATATTACTGCGTTACTTTCAATCCCTTTCTCCTGCAATTATCAGCAGAATACCAGTGTCCTTCCATTGCAGTCCCAACACATCAAACAAAGGAATTCCTCATGATTTGGGAATATTAGCCTGACATCTCATGAGATGTTGAGTGTCCCCCCAGCTATTGCAAACCACGTACAAATAGGCTCTCGAGGTCGTCTGCTCCACATAGTTGTTGGCTCTGTGGTTAATGGGGTTAAGGCTGCTTGGTGTAATTCTTGATGTTACTGAAATATGTGATAGCAAGTCATTTGCACACGAGTAATGTTCCCCTAAGAACAGTCACATTGTTAATATTATGTACAGGTATATTGTTCCTGGCAATGAAAAGCGCCTGTTAATTGAGCACTAGTAGACACATGAAGAATTTGTTTTATTGAAGAGGTAAAAGCCTTTTGAAACGACTGTTATTTTGTGTTGCTACAAGTGCTGCATTAACATCCGAGATAGACAGCCCCCCCCCCCCCCCCCCGCCCCAAAAAGAACTATCTTACTGCTTCTCACAGACTTGTAATGAGAAGACTTCTGGTTATTTTTAAATTAGTAATTTGATTGTACTTACTCAATAAATATTGACTCTTTTAATTCCGCACACCACAAAGTTGGGGAACATATTTCATCTATGATTCATGTCAATAGCAAAAGTTGTTGAAATCATTGTTTACCTGGAGCTTAGTAAAATAAGTTTCAAGGTTAATTCCAGTAATAACTAACTTTAAACAAAGTTCAATCTATTTATAATGTTTTATTATACAGAGGGAAGTGTTTATTTTTTAAACAGACAACAACAACTTGGATTTATATAGCCCCCTCCATGCCGGATGGCGTCTCAGAGCTCCTGAACAAGTGATCCTTTAAATCCAAACAATTTTGCAATGCTTATTTGAAAAAGTTTTTAAAAAGATTAAGAGAAGTTCAATCATTTGTAAGGAAAATGAAAGTGTAAGAGAATTGCAAATCATGAATCTGGGTATTTTTATAGAGTCCATTTTCACTGTGGCAGCTGGCAGTCAATAAGTTAGCTTTAATAGCCTGTTGCAATACAAGCACCAACCACAAAGTTATGGCTTTGTATTATTCGTTCACTGAGTAGAGCTCTCTAAATCTATGTGTCCACACTTATATGCACTCGCACTGCCAGTTACATGTTAAATTGAGTAAAGATCCAATCTGTCCGGTAAGCTTTCCCACTGCTTGTTCCAGCTACAACCACCCTACCCGTTAGGGCTTTCTCTGGTAGGGTTAACAGGAGCTGAGTGGGATGACTCCCTGCCAGGCTGGCTGTGGTGTAGTCAGCAGTGCCCTGGGATTCTGCGGCCCTAACATAACTAATAATCCCTCCAAAACCAAAACCAATAATAAATTGGTCATTTTCAATTTACGACTGTTTGTGGGACATTGCTGTGCGCAATTGGCTGCCGCGTTCGCCCACAATATACAGTCAATTCACTTTACAGTGTGTTCTGTGAAGCGCTTTGGGACGTCCTCCCGACGTGAAAAACGCTTATCAAATGCAAGGATTATTATTATTATTAATTGTAGAATTTCCCCATTTTGAAGTGTGTGCCTTTAATGGCTGCAGCTTTCCCTCATCAGCAGAGGTTTATTAGTCTACTCAGTGAGCTCTATGAGAGTGAAACTGTTCCAGTCGAATGTCTTGTGATGTACAGTAGAGGAGTACACACAGGTAATGTTGGCCCAAACGAAATATCTACAGGTTAGGTACAGAGAGGCCACATGGTGGCACTGGACATAGGGAATGTTACACAGATTCTTTTATGTAGTGTGAATGTGCTTCCATTTTTGCATCGTAGGAGTTAAATCCCACCTTGATTACAATCCAAACATTGACTTAACAGTCTGCAGATACTGACTGATCACTTTTCCAGCATCAGTTATGAAACCAATGCATTTTTTGGGGGGGTTTGGGGGGGGGGGGGTGGGGATGTAAGTTAAATTGAGAGGAAGAGGATTTTTCGTGTACCAAAAAAACACTATAGGACAATCGTTTAGATTGTGCCTGAAGTTCAAAGTAAAACGGCAATGAAGGGGAGACTGGAGTAATCACAGCCTTGGCCAACTGTCCATCACAGATCATGATGACTGTGTTTTCAATCCTCAAGCATCATCTTTGTAATGACTATACCACAAAACATACACAGAGAGAACTCACGGGGGGGGGGGGTTCCATAGGTTCAGAGAGTTCTGTGTTGTCCCCCCCCCCCCCACCCCTGGGAAAACAACATTATTCATCACGATTTGGAAGGTGTAAATCCTCGTCAGATATCCTCACCTCCACACCAACCGCTGTGTGTACTGAACATGAACACCAGAGTCGAACATAACAGGTGAAGAGTACATCATTGTATATATATATATATATGTGTGTGTGTGTGTGTATATATATATTACTATTAAAAAGCTGTAGTAAAAGGCTGTAACGTAAAGGTGGGACATGTTGTGGTGACGTCTGACCACAAGCCTTGACTCACGCCTCAAACGCTTTGTGACCAATGTTGGTGGCAACTCAACAGAGAGAGAGAGAGAGAGAGAGGGGTCAGCAGATCACCAGCTCATTTCTCGGCTCCACGTGTTTTACTCTTGGGTGTGAAGTGCCTGTGTCTGTGTGTGCTGTGGGGTGGTGGTGTGTGCTGTACGGGGTGGGGAGGGCAGTGGGTGGGAGAGCAGGTGTTTGATGCCAACCAGGTGTTGACTCACCTGTAGCTGCTCCTGTAGAACCCTCGCCTGGTTGGTGCACAGCACAGCACAGCACTCCCACACACACATACACACACACAGCTGTGGTCGGACTCGAGCACACAATGGACAAGATCAAAGTGATAAGCAAAAGGGTCATTCGCTTCAAGCGTGAATTAGTGTTGGTACTAACCCCGTTAATACTTCTACCAGTTTTATACAGCATTCCTTTGAAGGTAAGCATCTAATCTCTTTCGTTTAAAATAATAATAATAATGATGATGATGATGATGATGATTTGGTGACTCAGTCCACCGCTGTTGTGGGGACGCTGCTGTGCGCAATTGACTGCCGCGTTTCGCCCACGAAACTAAACCTCGACTCACTTTACAGTGTATTTTGTGAAGCGCTTTGAGACGTCTCCACGACGGGATAAGGCGCTGTATCAAATGCAATTACTGTCACTTAGAAGACGATCCTACTGTCCTTTTAGTGATAAGAACTAGGCTGTGACAAGAGATGGGATTGTAAGAGAAGTGCCATTTTCAACGACTTTACCAGATGTATTTTTTTCCCTCTCTCCATCTCTCTTTCTCTCTCTCCACCACATCATTAGCAGGCAAAATGTCTCTACGTATTCCTTGTGATGGTCACCTACTGGTGCACGGAAGCATTGCCAGTTGCAGTGACCTCATTGATCCCCATCGTCATCTTCCCTACATTCGGGATCATGGCCTCCAGCAAGGTGTGCCCTCAGTACTTTGCTGACACCATCATCCTCTTCATGGGTGGTGTGATATTAGCCGTGGCCATGGAGAATTGGAATCTTCACCGTAGAGTAGCACTTCATATCCTCATGTATGTGGGAGTTAAACCAACTATGTAAGTACTGTACTGTACCGTGAAGACACAGTCACTTCCTCCTGAAGTAATCGTAACCCTCCTTCCCCTCCCTACACATCCGCATCTATGTACCTTAAATTTAATAATTACATTTAATAATTGGATGAGTAGTCCTGAGTGGGTGGAATTGGCACAAGCTCTAAAGAGTTCAATTGACAGTGACTGCAGGCAATGTCTGACGGATCACGTGAACTATCCAAGTTATATTCTGAACATTACCATCAAGTTTCCACCAGTGCAGAGAAATTAGGATTTTATATTTTGGGGTGGATTCAGATCCATCGCCCGTAAAATACACTTTACAGTATATTCTGTGAAGTGCTTTGAGACGTCTTGAAGACGCGATAAGGCACTATGTCAAATGCAAGGATTATTATGGCTAAAGAAAAAAACTCATACTCTGTTGTTTGCCAACAACAGCAGTTTGAAAGCATACCTTAATATTGCTTATTCCTGCTCTTGGTCCCGGTTCTTTAGGCTCCTTTTGGGATTGATGTTGACCACCAGTATTCTGTCGATGTGGATGAATAATTCTGCCACAACAGTAACCATGATGCCTATAGCCAATGCAATTCTTAAGACGCTGTATGGTGACGAGGAATCAACGGATATGTCAGTCAGCCACATTAATGCAGGTACCCGTGAAAACCTAATTGCAAATCCTGTGCAGAGGAGCTTTGCTGGCTGGAGAGCCTGTTATCTTTTCTTTCGAAGGTCCTTGAAAGAGTCATTGCTTCTCAGCTTCGTTCATTCCTCTCCTACCACTCTCTTCACGAGCCCCTCCAATTGGGTTTCCGTGCTGCTCTGGTTTGTCACCATGACCCCATCACCCCCGCCCTTGCCCGGCTCCAATGGCTCCCCATCCCTCAGTGGATAGAATTCAAAATCCCCTTGTCCTCACTTTCAAGGCCCTCCACAGCCTTGTTGCCTACTACATCTCCGACCTGCTGACCCTCTATCAACCTGTCAGCTCCCTCCACTCAGCACGCTCCGGCCTGCTCCAGGTTTCCCACCCGACTCGCCCTACCATCGGTGGCCAGGCTTGAGCCTCTCTGCCCCCACTCTTTGGAACTCCATCCCACAATCCCTTTGCCTCGCTCCCTCTCTTGCCTTCATCCAGACTAATCTTGTGATCTTGTGATGTGTTTTTCAGTATTTCAACAGAAGGACCGCTTGTCAACTCAAACTGAGACACAAGAAAAGTAGGGAGTTAACTAATGAAAAATATAGTCCTAGCCATGTACTAGTTAAGCACCTTGGCCCGTTCGGTTTTCTGACTTGATTTAGCTACCTTTACCCCTTTGCTAAAGCCTCAGTCAGTTTTATGAAATGGTTTAAGATGTCCTCCCAATAAGATAGGTGCTATATAAATGTCAATTGTCGTTAAATAATCTTTGCTTTTGCTATAGCTCCTTATCAGGTTCTTGAGACGTCTCAAAGCGCTTCACAGAATATACTGTAAAGCGAATTGACTATGTATTTTGTGGGCAAAACGCAATAGCCAATTGCACACATTATCATTGAGATCCCTCAGATAATTATTTCCTCTGCGCTTTCAAAGAATATAGTGACATAATTGGCCATTCTTCTTCAACTATACTAACAGAGTAAGTGAGTGCTGTGGAAAACATGTTTAATAAATGACTAAAATATTAACACATTCCAAGATTTGTTTGACTGACCTCTCAGATGTGTAGATTCAAAGGAAATTCCCGATTAAACGCATTAGCAAAGACTGCTTTGATGAAACCCATTGACCTGATCAGGAAAATGTTACCAGATTAATCTTGCATTTACATTTTCAGTTTGGAAATAGATGAGGAAACGATTGGAAAAATGGTGAGAAAAGAAAACAAACACATAGTGAAGGGTATACTTCTTTCCATTCCCTACTCTGCCAGTATCGGAGGCATTGCCACTCTAACAGGGTCGGTACCAAACCTCATCCTTGATGGTCAGGTGAAAAGGTAATGTTTTATGTCACTATATGGTGGGGGTGGGTGGGGGGGGGTGGCTGCATGCATTACCTCTGCCTCCACCTATCCTTTTTCTCTCAATGTTACTAGATCATTTATAATATAATATTTTCCTCGCATATAATATTCTTCAGAGCCCTGATAATCATATCTAAAACAAAAGAATCTAAAACAAAGATTCTGCGCACCCATTATCCCTATCTCACAAAGTATTCCAGGACGCTGGCTCCCAGTAACTGGAGGGTTGAGTTTGACGATCCTTACCCTGGTCGTCAAATCCCTCCATGAACTCTACCCACCTTACCGATGCAACTTTCTCCAACCCTACATTCCCGTTTGCACCCTGTGTTCTCCTGGCTAATCTATGGTTCTCTCCCCAATCCTTCATGCTACTCGCGGTGACGGAGCCTTTAGCCACTATGCCTGTTCTCTGGAACTCTCTTCCAAATCCATTCTGCCTATCTAAATCTCTCCCAACTTTTAGAAAAAAANCTTTCTAGAAGTTACTTCCTTGTTAATGGTAAACAACTCTGGAGCCTGATTCTAATGTTTGTGATTTGATTTCCTTTTAGAACTTTCCCAAACTCTCACACATTGACCTTTGGGTCCTGGCTGCTGTTTGCCTTACCTTTCATGTTGCTATTACTACTGTCAGCTTGGCTGTGGATCTCAATACTTTATGGAGGACTCCAAGGAAGGTATGGGTGGGGCCACTAGATTTGAAATTGAGTATGAGTATGGGGGTGGTGAGGGTATATGTTAAATACCAGGTAAAAAGCTAATGGTTCACTGTGCCTAGACTAGTATTTGTGTCTTACACTTGAGGAGCGATTGCTTGGGCGAGACACTGATGGTTGGTTTAATGTGGAATCATGTCTCGGCATGAATAATGCCTTCATGAGATGGGAGGATTTTGAATGCCAGGTTCTTTGTTAGTGTTGTATAATCACAATTGAGAAGGAATATCAGCCGCACGATGTCTGGGCATTAGGATCTATTTTTATAAATAAGAGTGATTGTAGCTTATGTGAAAGTGAGGGAGGGAAGGAGTATACAGTGGAAGATTTTTACCACTGTACCAGTGTTTTTTATTGTTTCTATTTCCATCGCTAGGTTTTGGATTCAGAAGAAAAAGTCTGAAACAGCAGCCAAACTGCAGGCTATTATACATAATGAATACAAAAAATTGGGGCCAATAAAGTATGTATGATTGGGTTTACTTTAGATTGAAGGACATGTTTTCGTATTGGCTCTACAACAACAACAACAACAAAATTACATTTATAGAGCGCCTTTCACGTCGGGAGGATGGGCTCTAATTGTGTATTCTAATGCAAACAGATTAGTGGTCATCCTACATCTATCAAACTTTGGAGTCCTTTGTGACTCCCTGTCTGTCGCGTATTTAGATCTAGAATCATGAAACCAAATTCCATGGCAAGGATTTGTGGAACCATATCAGTCTGCTTTAGGAGTTGTTTAATTCAAAGTAATAGGCAGTCCTGTCATTTCAAAACTAGTGGGAATCCATTGTAGCATCTCCCAATGTGAAAGGCACTATATAACCCCAATTTGTTATTATTTTAAGTCATGGGTCACATCTTTTGTATATTGTTTTCTGCTTCTGGTCTGTTCTCCGAGACGCTACCCCACGTGAAGGGCGCTATATAAATGCATGTTGTTGTTCTAGTTGCTGTCACCCCGTACCTCAATACAGTGCTTACTGGATCAGATTGTTGTGTCTTGTCTTGCAGGTTTGCTGAGAAGGCTGTTGGATTTGTTTTCCTTCTGTTCGTAATTATTCTCTTCACAAGAAGTCCCAAATATATGTTGGGGTGGGAGAAAATCTTCCAGCCCAAGTAAGTAGTTTAATCTCTGAGCTTCCTCCACTTCAGTAAAGTTGCCAGTCTAAGCCTCATTATCATGAGGAAGCAATGAGCGAAAGCAAGGCACTTTTCTGCATTCATTTTGTGTTGAAAAAACACTCTCCACGTTTTCATATTCTAGCAAATTTAGACTATTTAAGCAATTATTTTAAGAAAAATGTGCATTTTAATTTATTGCCAAGTGCAGCACACCTGTGATGATTACTCACTGATCAACTTATCATGCAAGAAAATATAAGATTAAAGTCTTGCATTTCTTCTGTAAAATCTTAACTATGTGAAACTACAGTATAAGGCAAAATTAGTTGTCTTTTGGTTCCCAGGTACGTCTCAGATGCCGCAGCTTCTACTTTGATCATTATTTTATTGTTCATCTTTCCCTCACAAAAACCAACTTACAAATGGAAAATTGATCCTTCGGGTATGTACAGTCCTTTATTGGGTAGCGTATATGCGTATTGAATAAACTTGTTTTGAGCCACTCTTCCAATACTTAATAGTTTATTCACTTAAACCTTTAACAATAAATGTTCATGGTTGGAGGCAACTCACCAGGTCAAGTCTCGCTTGAGTGAGGATGTTATTGATAAATCACAACAGCTTGAGCAGAAAACTGATGTGAACACCTTTGATTATTTTATCGTTCTCTAACTCCCAGTTACTGCTAACTGCTATGATACTATAAGTAAACATCAACTTGTTTCTTGTTGAAAAAGCATAATAACTTGAATGAACAAGGCACGAGAAGTGTTGTATACCTGAAGTTTTCTCTTGGCTTTGTTATTCAGACAAAAACATTGAGTATGAACCAGTGGTGCCACTGCTATCCTGGAAAACAGTCCAAAAGAAAGTTCCCTGGAATGTGTTAATATTATTAGGAGGAGGTTTTGCATTAGCAAAAGGAACCGAGGTAATTGCTGTACTATTGAAAGATGTGCCAAATTTGTTTAAACAGCCAACAAAGGCGAAAAAAAATGTAACTACTGCAATATTGAGTGACATTAAAAAAAACATATGAAGGTCAATTCATTCAACAAAGTAGGATAGTCAATACACAACAATAAAATTCCCTTTGTATAATAATGTATCAATAAGCAACTATGAGACTATGAGATAAGATAGGCAAAATAATTGTAAAATCTGTGTTTGGTCGACAATAGAGGCGTGATAAAAGGTATCTTAATCCTTGAATGGGAATAACTGCCATTCATGCATTTTTTTCAATGGAAAATGTAAATGTCAATGTATACCCATCTCCCTAGCAACCTAATACATAACAAATAAAATAAAGCCTCCCAGAATCTTTTGTTTACTTAAAAAAGGAACTTGTTTACTTAGAAAAGAACCTCTAGCATATTCTGCAAAGATGATTTGGTGATTAAATTGTTTATAATATAATATTATTGTTTATTCCCCGTTATCATATTGGGAGTGGTAGGGGGGAGAAAGAGAAAGAAAATTTCACCCTCAGTTTTTAGTCCATAATTCTTTTTCATATTATGCCATTTTAGAAATAAACTAATACAATTTCCTACAGAATGTATTTTTGCGTTTTCTTGCCAGGAATCAGAGCTGTCCGTATGGATCGGGGATCTCTTTCAACCGCTGGAAAAGATCTCAGCAAGTGCAGCTGTCTTGCTTATTAGCTTGACGGTATCTGTGGTTACGGAGTTTCTCAACAGTAGTGTCACAAGTGCAGTCCTGTTGCCCGTTTTGGCTAAACTGGTGAGCTTCCGACCCACTCTCACTTTACAATTGCATTCGATCCACAATATCCAAGCAGTGCTTATGCTTGCATCAGTCAGCATTCATTGCCTTTTTTTTGGTGAGAATGGGAAAACAAAAGAGAAGGAGGGGTTGGAATTTTTAAAAAAATGTTTTTTTCAGTCAAGAGTTAAGCGTGAGCTAAAGGTGCACTGAAGGCTCTATTTTCAAAATCTTGTCATTTGATTTCAACAATAATCATTTAGACAGAATCCTGCTGTAATCTGTGCTCTTTTCTCTAGTCCGTACGTATGAAGGTACATCCCCTTTACCTGATGGTGCCTGCAACAGTGAGCTCCTCCTTTGCCTTTACATTGCCAAGCGGAACCCCTGAAAATACCATTGCCTTTAGTTCAAGACAGCTCCATGTCAAAGATATGGTACGTGACATTCAATTATTCTTTACTACAGGGGTATGAATTTATATCATTGTGGATTTAACACACTTAACCTCATAAAGCATTCAGTTGAACACTCTTCACATTATTTTGGGAGGGGCGGTGATTACATCAATTTTAACCTTTAAGTTTTAGAATACTTTCAAAGATGATATTACAAAACTAAAAAAAACTGATCAAAAGAATTAGCATTTTTATAGTGTCTCGCTTTGAAATGTCTCAAAGTGTCTTACAATAGTTATTTTTGGTGAATGACGTTTTTTAGCCAAACCAGTACAAGCCAAAGAGTTGCTGACATTGCTTTTGTCTCACCAGGTCAAAGGAGGGATCGTCCTGAATGTTTGGGGAAACATCCTACTTTTCCTAGCAATCAACACATGGGGTCAGCCTATATTCCAATTGTCAACTTATCCTGACTAGGCAAAGAATCCACACAATAACACAAAACCGTAATTGTAGCCCCTTTGGAAAACAATGTCTACTTCATTTAGTAAAATGAAAGGATTCATGGACTTATTTAGCAAAACGGCAACTTACCCTTTCCACAACTCTTATTCCTATTGATCCATCTCCAGCCAACACATTGAGGCCAGTTTTGAAATAATTTATTTGAAACCGTTTGCATTGCCACAATTGATCAGCCACATGAAAAAAGCAAGACATATAATGCATGTGGTCCCTGGAAAAGTAAGAAATCTAAACTCTAAAATACCAAAAAGTGAAGGTACTGGAAAATCATTAAACCCAAGGAGAACAGAAGTGACCGAAAGCAAACCTGAAGGATGGGGGAATTATTGACGACTTGATCACTTATTTTTACAGAATGTTTTACTTACTCTCCATTTCCCCTGTCTAGATTTCTTCAGGACATACACCATACACCTCAGCTGAGGAGGTGATCAAAAAGAGGTTAAATAAAAATACTGCAAATCTGAAATAAAAAAGAGCAAAAGTTAGTTGTGCCAGACAATTTCTGACCCTTCAAATTTGGAAGCAGAAGTTGAATTCCATCTTAATGCTTTTCTCCGGGATCCCAGCACTTGGGGACAGTTGAAACTGACCATACTTAAATACAAATCCATAATTAATAGTACTTTATTGCTCCGAAATGCGATACAAATGGCTGGGGGTGGGGGGATTGCTAGCCAGGACACGAAAGGAGGAACGTGTTCTCTTTTTGAATAATGTCATGGGATCTTTAACATCCACCTGGTCAAGCAATCGGGACCTTGGTTTAACGTCTCATCCAAAGAACAGCACCTCCAACATTACAGCACACCCCCAGTACTGCACTGGAGTGTCAGCCTAGACTGTGAATTCAAATCCTGATTATGGAACTTGAACTCACAACTTCCTGACTCAGAGGCATGGGTGCTGAGCCAGGCGAGCACCTTGTTGAGTACTTTTCTTAAATATACATTAAGTCAAGATAGATCGGAATATTTTGTGGTCTTCACTTAAGCTCATATATGGTAAAAATAAGTTTCCCAAACTTCCAAAATAGGAAGTTCAAAATGACTCAAATATTAAATATTGAGGAAGTTTGTCTGATCACAGTAACTGCCCACAGTGACGATTAGCTTTCAGTCGTGAGAAGTTCAATCGTGAGAAGTTGTTGTTATACTCTCTTTTTGGTTATAATTTTACCCTTAATTTTTTTTTGAATTCATTTGCTACACTGAAGGTGTCAGGGATAATAATTTGTATTATCTAAGAATGATGACACAGGATATGAAAGAGACTTTGCCTCGTCATCCTGCCTATGACCCAAGCAAGTAAGTATTTACCTTTTTTTTTGATTAATTCTGTGTTAAAGACAAACAGTAAATGTGACCCAGTTTGAACACCAAGAAGTCGGGACCTGTTATTATTTATTTCCACCATTTATAAAACAGACTTTCAGAACTTTCCCAGAGCTTTGGTTAAATCACCATCTGGTGGAATTAGTGGCTCGTCAGACATCAAATACTTTCAAGTGAGAATTGTAAACAACATTTTGAAAGCATTGTAGAGATAAAATCTGTTCACATATTTATTTACACACATTTTATTAGTGGAACATAAACAATTCTGGCTGATACAATAGGGAGCACTTTTCTGACACTGGTGCTGAGGCTTATTTGGGAAGAGTAGGAGAAGCTTTATTCTGTGTCCTGTTATAGTACAGTATATCTGACACAGGAGTAATCATTGATGAGAAATATACTAGACAGACATGTTTATTTCTCATTTCTTAAACACAACAATAAAAAATAAGTAACTACTTCTGAGGTTAAATAACTACCAATGCATTACTATTTACTATAGTAATACTGTGTTACTACAGTATAACAATATTATAAAACAATACATCCAACTAAGAAAACATCCACCATCTCCTTTTAGAAAGTTACATACAGCATGTGTTATTGATTGTGAAAAAGCCCTGTTTTCAGCCAGATTTTTTGCAGTAATGGTAGTTACTAGATTAAAAAATTATGCCAGTTGCACCATTTAAGGTGAATGTGAGTATATAGGGATGGACATTTTTAAAAAGGGAAATATATCAAATCTGTTTAAATCAGCACAGTTGGGAGGTTCCTCTCAGGAAAGGCTGTCGCAACCAACATTATATATACATGCCTCTGACTGCTTGCCAATATTTTGGTCTTTAGTATCATGTTTTCTTAAAAGTTCATGCAAGATACTTTTAAACATAGTGAATGAAAAACAGGAGATAAGTTCCCACTTGACTGATCTAAAATACAAATATTTCTAAAGCTGACTGGGTACCAAGCAAACCTTTTTAACTTTAGTTTAATTCCATGGTTCTCGCACTTAAAATAATATTTTTGAACAAATACACACGTAAGGAGTGTGATTCTGTGCAAGTTGATATTTAGGGATTAATAGAAATTAACAAGAACTTTAAAAATTAAACAACTCCAGTCACATTCTGGAAACTGCTTTAAAGACAATTTTTACTGCAGGTCCCTTTTGGATATATCTGAGCTACAAGCAATCTTATTTATTTCCCCCCTCCCCCCCCTCCCACACAGGAACAGAAGCTACGATTTGCAGACTTTCCTGCTTTGTTTGATTGAGAAAGTGAAGAGAGTGGTACAATTCTCATGGAATGCTTACTGCAAGCCCACACCAGCCTGCTTAAGAGAACTACTGACTCTCTTTGCGTTATGTTTGGGTATCGCAATGATAAATGGCGGCCTGCTGTACAACTGGATGTTTTCTTCTTTGGAATATGAAGCGCACGTTTCTGGTGCTATATCGGGTGTGTTTGTTGCTGTGGCGTTCCTGCTTCTGTTATTGGTCCATCCAGTACGGTGCTTGTTCACTCTGGCGGTCCCCACACTAGGCACCAAACAGGGCCGCCATCTTCTCCTTTCTTCCTGCTTCATGCTCGTAGCGGTAAACATAATCCCCAACATTGTGGACAACATCAAGATGATGCTTAAAGTCCTTGAGTGCATCACTCGTTCCTCATCCGAGAGCTTTGTGAATTCATCCGAATTATTGAACGCGGCTATAGAGGTATTGGGCCACGATGTAAAAACTGTGATCAAGAAATCTGCAGAACGTCAGCTTTTGTCATCAAAATCAAGCTTCACATTCAATCCAGACATCAATCAGTCAGTGATCATGGAAAGTATACAAGCTTTTGTCAAACAGATCCAAAGTGAGTTTTCTATGTATGATAAAGTATTCAGTGCAATCATTTTGTGGACCAACAGAGCCCTTGCTGCCTGTATTTGCTTTTATCTTGTTATAAGATCAGCCTGGTATCTGAACAACTATCTGACCAATTTACAATTTGACAACGTATATATAACCAGTAAGCTGTCACACCTGGTAGAGACAAACAATCAAAGAATCATACCTCACAGGATCTCTTCTAAAAAGCTAATCAAATCCACGGGATTGAAAATGTCCACAGAAGAAATTGCTAGATGTGCATATAAAATAGTGATTATTACTGCATATATGGTGCTGTCCATAATTATCATAGTAACAGATTTAGTCTTCTTCAACCTTGCCTCATATTTCTTGAGTTGGATGAATGAGGTGCCGAATGTTCCTCTCACTCTGGAGTTTTCGTACAAGGTAAAAAACCCAACATGATTTTGTTTCACCTGCGTTGTTTGTAGATATCCACCCCATCACCTCCCTACCAAAGCCAGACTGAGGATGGATAACTTGTTCCAGTCCTTGCCACCTCTTGTGCTTTTAAATTTTTCGTAGGGAAAAAGAATGCATGAGACCATCATGTGTTGTCCTGCCCTTCAATTTTATCAATTCAATTTTATGTAAAGAAAGAATAAACTTGGAGTTTTTATATTCTGGGCAGACAGACTGACCACAACATACTATTATGACAACTGAAACATATAATCTGCTGAGTGGACATTCATGATTACAGGGAGTTATTAAAGCCTCCATTTACCTTAAACATTTGGAGTTATCACCTATGTTTTAATAATAATCCTCGCATTTGATATAGCGCTTTTCACATCTTCTCGACGCCTCAAAGCGCTTCACAGAATAGACTAAAATGAATTGACTGTATATTTATGGGCGAAACGCGGCAGCCAATTGCGCACAGCAGCGTCCCACAAACAGTCGTGGATTGAAATGACCAATTTATTATTATTTTTAGTTTTAACTGCAAACATCTTTATAAACAATGTTTGAATGTAATATTCCATTTTTAGAAATTTAAGATGAAAAGCTTACTCCTACAAACAACCCCCCTTTGTAGTATTTTCAGAATTTTTAAATATCTTCACATTTAGATACGGTTTTCTGAAACAAGCTTAAATATTATTTAATCTTTTCCAGGTGGATGCGTCGCATTTCTGGTCTAAAATTTTTCCATTCCTTCCAAATGAAGAGATAATTAGAAGACAAAACGAATTCCATCAGAATTTCACCTTTGTGTCCGATATCTGTATGTTGCCAACATCCCCCCCAAACATCAATATAGTCTACATCATCTCTCTTCTGTACTTTGTTGCTTATATAACAGTGTTTATAGAGACCTATGCATTAAGAGCACAAAGAAAAATTTCCTCAACTTTCTTTGAACAACGGGAAGAAGAAAGGATCAATTACCTCTATCAGAAGATCAAAACAAATTCAGAAAAACAACACTTTCACAGTGTCGAGTCAATGCACTGTGTAACCTTAGAAAAAGAGTGAAGTATATAAACTTCCCACTGGTGAATCATTTCAAATAACGATAATAATAATTCTTACATTTGATAGAGCGCCCTTCATGTAGGGTACATGATTCAAAATGCTTCACAGGAATATATTGCAAAGTGTAGTGACTATGAGTTTTGTGGGTGAACACTGCAGCTAGTATCCACCAAACACTCTCCCCTCTGGGTCAGAAGGTTGTGGGTTCAAGACCCATAACTCTAGGCTGACACTCAATTCAGTTCTATGGGAGTGTTCCATAATTGACATGTTTAGACAATGTAATCAGGGTTTTTATCAAATATAAGGATTATTATATAATCTGTAACAGGAATTTAACTAACCACTGGCAAAATTACCCCCTCAATTCTCGTACAGGCTCTCAATCAAAGGCAAAACATGTTTCCAGGACAAAGTACTTTTTATTATTTTTAGCTAAACCTAAATTGTGCTTTATAGAAACTATATTGTACTTCATCCTATTCTAATTTACTTCATAAATAAACAGTGTTTTCACTCTAATCTGCATTTACAGCTTGTCTCAATCTGTATCGTAACTGTCCTGGACCAATTTTGCTCCATTCTCTCAAGACTTTTTTCCCTTTCAAAGCAAGAATTCTTGGATGAAATGCAAACCATTATTCCCATTCCCTCTTTTCCTTAGCACTGACTTTCACTTTCAAATAAAACTTAATTTTTCAAGTCCATTAGACTCCCATTTTCTCACCCAATCCAGTGCAGGTACTAGGAAGTTTTTGTTCATTTAGTGGGTAATTAACAGGTTTCCAGTAATGGCAGCTGAGTCCAGGACACTGGATTCATTTGATACTGGCATGAAGAAAGAGAAAGAGGAGGGTGTTTTTCCAAGGATGAGATCAGATGGGCTGAAGAGCCTTCTGCTCAACCGTGTGACCTCTGACAACGCAGCACTCTCCCTAGCAATGCACTGGATTACTGGCCTAGCCTGTAAGCTCAAAGTCTCTTCTGATTTAGGGAACAGGAATGCCAATAAATTGAGCACTCCTGACTACAACAACTACAAAGTTACATGTGTAAAGGGCTTTTCACGTCGGGAGGACGTCCCAAGGCGCTGGACAGACAGTTACGGACCCGAGCTGGGAGTCAGGGGGGGGGTCAGAGCAGGGAGATCGAAAGCACGGTCGAAGCAGAGGGTCTTGAGGTGGGTGGGACGGAGGGAGTGCAGGATGGAGTTCCAGAGACAGAGCGGCGGAAGGCCCGCTGATAGTGAGGGGAGCGAGGCGGGGTGGGGGTGGGGTGCGTGAGGCAGGCCGGAGAGCTTCACCTTCCAATAAAAACTGACTAGCAAAATGGGGGGGGGGGGGATCAAACAAGAAGAAGATTCCATTTATAGAGCGCCTTTCATGTCGGGAGGACGTCCCAAGGCACTGGACAGTTGGGTCAGGACCCGAGCATTGGGGGGAAATGGTCAGGGGGAGGGGAGGGAGCGAGGAGGGGTAGAGAGTCGAGAGGGGAGCTGAAGGCACGGTCAAAGAGAAAGGTCTTGAGACCGGCCTTGAAGGAGGAAAGGGAGGAAGCGGCGAAGGCACTGGGGATGGAGTTCCAGAGCCTCGGGGCTGAGAGGCTGAAGGCCACCGATGGTAGGGCGGTTGGGGCGGGGGACGTGGAGCAGACCGGAGCCGGAGGAACGGAGGGTACGGGCAGGTAGGTAGGGGATAGTAGGTCAGAGAGGTAGGAGGGAGCGAGGCCATGAATGGCCTTGTAGGTGAGGATGAGGATCTTGAATTCGATCCTCTGGGGGATGGGGAGCCAGTGGAGGGGAGCGAGGGTGAGGGTGGGAGTGATGTGGTCACTGGTGCGGGACAGTACACGAGCTGCAGAGTTCTGGATGACCTGCAGTGTGGAGGGAGGGCCGGGAAGGCCGACGAGGAGAGAGTTCCCATAGTCCGGCCTTGAGGTGATAAAGGTGTGGACCAGAGTTTCAGCCGCGTGAGGGGTGAGGTAGTGCCGTAGTCCGGCCATGTTCCGGAGGTGATGGAAGGCGGTCCCAGTTGTGGCGCGGATATGAGGGAGAAAGGACAGCTCAGACCACAGACAGTCCCAATATTATTATGTTTTTTTTTTAAAAATGAGTCACCCGAGGAGTTTACGCCCAAAAGCTCAACAAAAACCTCCCAAAACCTGCCATCATGAGGGCGGGCGGGAGAGCGAGTGCGAATCATGGCGGCGCCCGGGTCGGCTTCACTGCGGCGCGCGGGGTGTGCCGGGATCGTGGAGGACCACTCTCAGGCGGCCCAGGCGTTCCTCCGACGCTGGCGATGGAGTTGGTTGACCCGAGTGGAGGCGAGGCGAGGTGAGGCGCGCATGCGCGCGCGGACGCCCTCTCCCCCCCCCCCGCCTCGATTAACGAGCATGCGCAAATGCGGTGCCAGATCCAAGATGGCGGCCTTCGGGGAAGGACTGTCTCTCCCTCTCTGTTGAGGAGGTTTACTCTGTGAGTTCCAAAGCAGTCTGAAAGCACCTTTTTGACTGCAATTTTGTGTCATCTCCCCCACCTGGCTCGATACTGAGGGGAGGACAGGTTTGCAGGGCTATGGGGGGGGGGGGGGGGGAGGAGAGAGTAGGATTGATTTGGAAAAGCTCTTTCCAAAGTGCCGGCACGGACACGATGGGCCGAATGGCCTCCTTCTGTGCTGTACGATCTTATGCTTCTTCCTCAACCCTCACCACCGCCGTCACCCCGGCTTGGGCTGCGTGAAGAAGCGCTTTGAGACCTGGTTCCTGTCTTGAAAGCTGCTAAATAATTGTAAATTGTATTGCATGAAATGGGATTTGCCCAATCCTTCCTGTCTTGTGTGGCATCTTTGTTAAGACTGATTTTCACTTGTTCGGCATCCAGCCCCGTCTCCGTCAATCACTCCTGAGATGTTATGCTCCGTGAAGGACCCTATATAAATGCAAGTTGTTGTTGTAATTCAGTATTCTATTTGGGTTACAGTTCTCCCTTTCGGTTATTTTCAGTCACACCTTTCCTAAGCTACAATGGCCGAAGCTCTGCAGCAGGAAGATGAGCTGGACGGATTTGGGAAACCTTCAGTCCAAGATTTCCTTCAAGGTTTTCAGATCATCAAACAGGGAGCAGAAGCCAAAATCTACAGAGTCACTTTCCTGGGGAGGCCCACCATTGTGAAGGCAAGATTCTCAAAATCTTACCGACACCCTGCTTTAGACAAGAAACTTACACATCGCAGGACAGCTCAGGAAGTACGATCAATACTTAGGTGCAGGAAAGCTGGTAAGTGTCTGTAGCAATTCAGTAGTTGCTCGAATTACATTCAGTCTGGTCCCTATCCTACTCACAATACTGAGAAGCTCTCATCCAAGCCACAAACCGTGCACTTTCACTCTGCGACTAGGGCTCCCTGTGCCTCCTTGACACTGCAAGGCCAAATATAAGGATTGTTATTAAGGGAACGATTAAAATTACCTCAGGATGTTTTGTACTGATGAAAGACAGCAGAATGGCAGAAAGAATTGAACTGAGATTCATTTTTAAATGTTTTAGTCAGGGAAAAGCTCACAAAATTCTCTAAAGCCCATCCCACTTTGACTATTATTTTGAATAGTTGTTTTAAATTTTAGAAGTTATCTTTTTTTCATTTTTACTTTTAGGTATTTCAACTCCTGTGGTGTATTTTGTGGATTACAATTCAAACTCTATCTACCTTGAAGATTTAGTTGGCTCTGTAAGTGTCCGTGATTATATAACATCAACTTGGCAGGAAAAAAAGGAAACGGTGAGCCTCTATCCTTTGGCTGAGAAAATTGGGCAGATCTTGGCAAAAATGCATGATCAGAATGTCATTCACGGAGACCTCACTACCTCAAACATCCTACTGCAGAAACCAGAGGATGAGCAGAGCTTGGTAATGATAGATTTTGGGTTGAGTTTTATCTCTGCTCTGCCAGAGGATAAAGGGGTTGACCTTTATGTTTTGGAGAAAGCTTTCCTAAGCACTCATCCCAACACAGAGAGTGTGTTTGAAGTCATTCTGAAGAGCTACTCAGCATCTTCTAAGACATCGGGACCTGTGATCAAAAAACTTGATGAAGTCAGGCAGAGGGGGAGAAAGAGGTCAATGGTTGGATAACTAATATTTTTATTTGGTTAAAGCTTAGCTTCATTTTGTCCTTTATCTTGAAGACCTTCATCAAATCTGTAATATACAAATAAAAAGATACTTTTGTTTGAACTTGTGTGATTATTTTGTGACGGATAAACTTTCTATATTTTTAACTTTCTATTTTGTTACAATGGTTAGACATTAATATTACCTAGAGAAGGTGTTTCACTTTATATTTACTTTATCTTTGGAATGTATATTTCGCCTTTTCCTTTGCTCAATTGCTGTAAGATAATAATCTGTTTGCTACTCTTTGCCCAACCATTTCAAGGGACATCAGAGTGTTGCAGATCAGTGTTAATTATTCCCTGCTTCTTGCCACAAAAAAAGCTTTTTTCTTGCTACAAAAAAAGGCTTTTACATGATTGGGATCCACTGTTTAGAGGGGATCACAGGAGAGTACCCCTGTCCTGCCACTCTGACACAACAGATTGGTGTAACTCAATACTACTCTGGTGGAACTCCATCCCGCAGTCCCTTCGTCTTGCTCTCTCCCTTGCTGCTTCAAGGCAGTCTCAATACTCTCTGACCTTCGGGCACTCCCCCGATCCCAACCCCCAGCTCGGGTCCAATTCCCTGACTGTCCAGTGCCTTGTGACATCTTCCCGATTTGAAAGGCGCTTTACAAATGTAAATGATCAGGATGTTATTCACGGAGATCTCACTGCCTCAATTTGTTATTAGAAATTGAATGTATATCCCGTGAAGGGCTTTGAGACGTCTCAACAACGTGATAAGGCGCTATATCAAATGCAAGGATTATTATTTACTTAAATGCCCGTATCCTCCGTTCCTCCGGCTCTGGTCTGCTCCACATCCCCCGCTCCAACCGCCCTACCATCGGTGGCCGGACCTTCAGCCTCTCAGCCCCGAGGCTCTGGAACTCCATCCCCCAGTGCCTTCGCCGCTTCCTCCCTTTCCTCCTTCAAGGCCGGTCTCAAGACCTTTCTCTTTGACCTTCAGCCTTCAGCTCCGCTCTCGACTCTCTACCCCCTCCTCGCTCCCTCCCCTCACCCTGACCATTTCCCCCCCTCCTCGCTCCCTCCCTTCCCTCCCCTCACCCTGACCATTTCCCCCCAATGCTCGGGTCCTGACCCAACTGTCCAGCGCCTAGGGACGTCCTCCCGACGTGAAAGGCGCTCTATTAATGGAATCTTGTTGTCATTATGACTACCACAGGCCAGCAAGGTCCTACCGACAATACAAATGAATGGTCAACTTTGAACTGTGGCACATACAATATTCTCTCCCTTTTAAAAAAAGGGGGTGGGGAAGATTAAATGTATCACGTGGTCAGGGTCACCAATGAACGCGGGGCGGGCAGATGGCGGCGCTCACGCGGGCATCGTTACGTCGCACAGGCCTCTGGTCTACTGGAGGACCGGCCGGCGCTGGTGACTGGTGCGGGGCGCTCGGTCGGCGGGTGGTGGGAGTCGCGCATGCTCAGATTGCGGGTGTCCGTGGCGGGCGGGCGGGTTGGCGGCGGTCGGTCGGGCTGTGCGTGTGAGGGGCGGCGCCGGGTGGTGGGTTGGCGGTTTGTCAGCGAGGAGAGGAGAGCAGAGAGAGAGAGAGAAAGAGGGAGAATGAGCGGAGGGAAATCCAAAGAGCACGTCGTGGCCAACGGCGGTTTGAAGATCTCCGTCTGGATTAAAGTGCTGAAGAGTAACGCGGCCTGGGAGGATAAGGTGAGGAGCCAACGGCTCAGGGAGGGGACCAGGCCCGAGCCGGCGCCAGGCTCCGACTGGACTGACTTGACTTGACTTGATTTAACTGACCTGACCTGACCGACCGACCGACCGACTGACTGACTGACCCCACAGGTGGACGGACGGAGCACTGTTTGGAAAAGGGAAAGGAAAGGCAGTTCAATCATCATCATCATCATCATCATCATCATCATCATCATCACAACCGTGATATTAATCCTCATAATTGACGTGCAATAATAATGCTCCCATTTGGGAGCCCCTCATCCCGTCTTCCAAGACGTCTCTCCCACACACACACACAGCCCCCCCCCTCTCCCCCACCCGACCCCCGAGCGCTTTGCGGCGTATACCGTCGCGAGCGCTTGGGGGGAGGGGGTGGAAACCGTGTGTTTGGGGGGGGGGGGGTTTCTGTTCTCTCCCGGCGTCCCCTTGGTCCTGACGGTCCATCTCCCCTCACCCGCCACCCTCCCCTTCTCCCCCACCACAGTAACATTGGTCTTTCGCTCACTTCGTGGCGGCTCGTGGAACGGTGTTGCTGTAAAATAAACAGTAGCCCAAGTGTATTTGATACAGCGTCTTATCACGTCTTCCAGGAGTCTCAAACCGCTTCGGAGGACATACCGTAAAGTGTACTGACTGTGTGTTTTGTGGGCGAAACAATTGCGCCAGCCAATTGCACACAGCAGTCCCACAGACAGTCGTGGATTGAGTGACCAAATTATTATTAAATTGTGTGCGCAAATACTGCACACAGTCACTCCACTTCACGGTGAATCCTGTGAAGCGCTTTGAGACTTGATTCTGACATGATAAGGCACTACATCAAATGCAAGGATTATTATTACTACTACAGGCTGACAGTTTAGAGAGCCAGCTCAGTTATTAATAGGAATTGCTAGATTTAAAAAGACCGAGGTCCATCTAGTTCGGGGGATTGGAAATTTGAAATGTAAATCAATGTTAGGGATGCCTTTTTTTTGGAAAAAGTTCAGTTTTTTATAGTGTGGAGTATTCCAGGTCTGTAATTGTCATCGGGTCATATAAGGAAGCTTATCTGCCTGAAAGTTTTTTAAAAAATATATAATTGAATCCTGTGGCTTCTCTTCTCTTGGTGTATTTTCAAACCACTGCTAGGTAAATAATTGACGTGATAAAACTTAGCTGCAATTATTTTAAATGCAAGCTATACTGTTGTGCGGATTATACTGCGAAATGTGCCACCTTTTCAATTATCGGTGAATCTCGGAGAAGTTAATATTGGCCCGTCTGTAATATTACACCGCCTGGAAAGGGTGACAAAAATATTAGCTCGAATCTCCCTTTAAAATATTTACCATAGCAACCCAGCTGGTCCCTTCACTCAGCAAGCATCAGCCTGCTTCATGCCCCCTGCCCCACCATTGGCAGTTGCGCTGTCAGCCGATCTATCCCCACTCTCTGGAACTCCATCCTGGAGTCCCTCTGGCTCGCACTCTACCTCACCTTTTTCAAGGTGCGTCTCAAGATCTTCCCCTCAGATTGCACCTTTGGTCATCTTTCCTCTGCCCACCTTCCTCGATTTAGGTGCTAAGACTGGGCTGTCAAGCACCTTGGCACATCCTCCCAACGTGAAAGGTGCTACATAAATGTCAATTTGTATTGTATTTAACTGAACTCACCTCATCAAAACCATATGGTAGAATCAATGTTATGGTTGTCTGCCAATTATATAGGATATAAATGTGCTGCAGTATTTATTTTAGAAATGTATTTTGAGTACTGTGTAATGATTTTGCATGGTGAATTGTTTGGTAGGAGTTTTATATGAGCAAGACTGGACTTCCAGGACCTCTTTTATGTTGATTCAATGCAGTTTCTATTGAAAATACTATAAATCTCAATTTAAGGCATTTGGTCCAATTCTGAGCCCTGTTACTGGAGTCTCGGAATGGAATTGATGTCATTGGGTGAAAACCAGTAACTGGTTTCAAACGATTTTTTTAAACACAATGTGATCCACTAGTTTAATGCAGTATTAAAATGTTAACTGTGTTTTGCACTCATTAATGGAGCGTATGTGCTCAGCTATGTGTGTGCACAGGATTCCTGTATTCTCAGCAAGTATGATTTGGCACAGGTAAGTGTAAACCCGCTGGCTAAAAGGAAGGAAGGAAGCAGATGGTAATGGTCAGGACAGCAAGTTTGAAATGCGGGAATTTATTGAGGCAGGTGCTTCAAAGCTCTATCCTGAAACCCCTCCAGTTTCTGATTTCTGATATTTATAAACACATGGATTCATAGGGAGGGGCTGAGGCAGAGAAAGGAGGGAGCAAACCAATATCTTCCTAAAAAAAACCTGTGATCACTGGCAAATATAATTCAATCCAGAAAAATGAATATGGGCAGTAAAACTAGCAATTGTATCTTGTATGAGATTGTAAAACAGTTCAAGGATTACTGTTACAAGCGCAGCGATTGGATAGGATCCAAAATGTTCATTCAAAACTTTGGTGCACAGTGCAGGGGTTCCCTTTTTATACCCTCTAACCAGTGAATATTGTATAGTCAGATGTGATCCCATGACCAGCATTTCTTAATCTGTTGCAGATTTCTGGACGGAGGATTTTTGGAAAAAAAATCATAACTCAGAAATTAATTTGTGCTAAAGTAATTCTAATTGATCCAGCATTCTATCTGTATTGCAAGTTTGAAGCTAGGGCAGCAAAGAGTGTGCTCGAGTGTCTACAAATATTAATTTGATTTATTTTTTATCCTCTGCTTTACAGGATGAATTTCTAGATGTCATCTACTGGTTTCGCCAAATAATTGCAGTTATTTTAGGTGTTATCTGGGGAATTGTTCCACTTCAAGGATTCTTGGGAATAGCAATGTAAGTCTCATTGTAGTGAACAAAATTAGTATTCCTTTATTAGAAATAACGGGAGTAAAATATTTGATGTTAAACTCAGTGTGCTTATTACATGTGCGTTGTACAATTTGAGGAAATACAGTACAATTGTTTTCATTATTCATTCTTTCCCTTCACCACCCCATGAACATGTACAATGCATGTGACATTCCTCTACTATTTTTCACCCACAAAATACACAGTCGATTCACTTTACAGTATATTCTGTGAAGTGCCTTGAGATGTCTCGAAGACATGACAAGACGATATAGCAAATGCAAAGATTGTTGTTGTTATAAATGGGTAAGCCGGGAAATAAATTACTCTGAGGCTGTGATGATCCTGGAAACCAATTAGTGGCCTGAGCAGGTTTAACCCACCTCCACTCGCCCACAGTATTTTAATTATTTTTCTAATTTTCTCTCAAGTCCTCTCCTATCCACCATTCTTAGACCAAGAGGCAAATAATTTGTTCCTAGCCCTCTGTCTCATCTTTGTATAATACCAGTCAAAGGTTATTGTTAGGTTATGAACAAAACATGCCAGCTTTTTAAGGAAAAATGCTTCTTACCCTTTTGAATAATGGAGGGTTTTGAACACTTTTAATAACGTTCAGTTCTCCTGTAAGGCAAAAAAAAAGGGAGTGCAGCAAAACGTTAATGTGTTCTGCTTGATATTGTTTCTCCAGTTAAAAGCTTGTGTTTTAGAAAGTTTATACCTGCAGTTCAGTTAGTGACAGTGAGAGTCAACTTGTGATTAAATGTTCAAGTTTCCAGTGCAATGTCTGGTTAAATGCTTTGTTTGTTGCCTTTTGTAGATTTTGTTTGATCAATGCCGGAGTCCTATATCTCTACTTCAACAGCTTCCAGCAAGTAGATGAAGAGGAATATGGAGGAACATGGGAACTAACAAAAGAGGGGTTCATGACATCGTTTGCATTATTTTTGGTAATTCTTTGATTCCTACATGTTCAGTATAAATACACCCATTACTTGCCAACTAAAGGATAGGCATCAGTAGAGACATGAGAATGAGTCAGGTGCTTGTGCTGTTTAGCTTGAAAATGGTGTGTGGAGTGGAGAGAAAAGACAAGACAGACTTCTTCCAGAAGTTTGGGTAAATTACAATAGAAAATGTGTATCAATGTTTAACATTTATTGAGAATCATTGCAAGTATGCATGAATTTGCTGAACGTTGTCAAAGTCTATAATACTTAGTTGCCTAAATATTGTTAAAATTAATAATTGTGCTTTTCTCAATTATTTCTTTTAACTAGACTTCTTATAGGTTTTCATGGATGACAGAACTGGCCATTTTTAGGAACAGAACTTATGTTAGGGTGAAATTCTCACCTGCTATGTTTTTCCTCACCCTCCAGGTTGTTTGGATAATCTTTTACACCGCGATACATTTTGATTGAAGACTGAAAACTGCCGTCTATTCCTGTCAGGTTTTAAATTACAGGGAGAGAAAAGAAAATCAAAAACAATGTACTGATTTTTGCAATTGTTTGAAATCTTTTGTACCACAAAAATCACGGGAACCACAAAGAAACATGGGATACCTTGCAGGAAGCAGAATTCCCTTCAAGGCCATTTTAATGACCGTACTAATGTATGGAATATCGCAGGAATTTTACAAGACATGGACTTCTTCTGCAACAACAGTTTTGAGAGCTCCAGTCATGCTGAAGTGTGATGCCAACCATATCAATAAGGAGATTCCCTGTATCATGCCCTGTAATGTTGGTACTCTTAACGTGTGTTTTAATTTAACTAATGTAAAATACCTTTAAAATTGGATGTGAAACATTTATTAATTTTTGATGTGAATGTCTTTCAAGAGTTTGTATTTCAAACTTTCTAACAGAAAATGATTGCATCTTGGTGGTATTAAAATTAAAATCCAGCAAAGTTTCGTAACTGATTTAAATACAAAGTTTCAGCTTCTCGTGATTTAACTTTGATGCTCAGATCAGGCTCGAGCTCCTGTCTTCCTCGGTTCGTGTCACAAGTTCAAGCTTTGTTGTGCAATGTTTTCAAAGCTTTGAGAACTCGCATGCTCTCAAAAAGCAACGTTTGAGATACAGGACCAGTAGAAACACAATTCGCTGGTCATTGTTGTATCCTTTAAGCTCGACAAAACCAGTACAACAAATACTGCAAATGAATACAGAAATTAGTACTAACATTTAACTTTATCCTATAACTCTAGTATTTTAAGTTTCCCAATGCTTAAACATCTATTTTTGAATAACCAGTATTCTTGATTTAAAAGTCTGCTTATATATTTTACTGCTCTACTTCAAAATTGCAGGTTTTTCTAGCATTGAACTATGTAGGCTTCATTTTATAAGTGAGTGTTTGCTGCATTTCAAAATTGCTTGATTTCTGGGTTTGTTAGCAGTTGTTAAACAAACTTGTCTTGATAATTTTTAAAATAAATTTCATGGCATACCTCTAACATATTTTTGGAATTACCTAGAGATTGTTTTGATTGGTAAAGGATTGAGGCATTGATCAGTAATCAAGTTCATCAACTCAGCATCAGTGTGTGTATATGTGTGTGCTCTTGAGCATATGAGAAAAATTGAGACGGTATTTAAAATGGAAAACTTTGCAATTGTGTTATGACATTTATCCATTTTGTCACTGATCAATTAGCATGGTGTGCAGTGTACTGCTGGGTCCAGTGTGCAAAAGAAGCCTTTTTTATAAACGTTAGGCTGCAGATAATGAGGTAGGTTTCTGGCAATGATTTGAACACTTCACTGCATAAATTTTGTGCCATACAGTTGTGTTTGCAAAGACTTTTCTTTGCTCTCCACAATCAGAACTCGTGATTTCTAAGTACACTCTGGGATAACTACAGCGGTGTACTGCTCAGTAAAACAGGCAATTATCCAAATGGGCAAATTTCCATCAATTTAAATAGCACATATTTTGTTAAATGAATATGGGAGAAAGTTGTCGTATATAAGCTGCTTCCATAAATTTCTTCCTTTGAAATGCAAGTTTTAGGCTGAGGGTCCAGCAAATATGTGTTGCATATGGATGTGAATGATAAAAGACTGCAGTTTTTTTAATAAAACACATTATCTATAATTGTTCAGAGTAACTGCACTGAGGAGGTGGCATTGAACCATACAAATAAAGGGACAGGATTTTATGGCTAAAACATGCTAATTAGGCTACCTAATGGGAAATGTTCCATTCTCCCACTCTTGAGAAGCATTTAAAAGAAATTTATAGATTTGACAGGATTAAAAGATCATCTGCTAGTACATGTGAGATCACAAGATTTCAAAATGACTGAATAGGCTGATCTGGGTAAAGCATTTTAATACAAGTATAATCTAGAATATAAAGATCAAGATACACCATATGTACATATGTATCACCAAAATAAAATCTCACTGTAAAATTACAGGATAACAGTATTTATATACACAATTGTAATTGCTTTAGCGGAAGAAAACAGCATCTTAAAAAGACCAAGTGACAATTAAATTCCTCTAAAGAAAAGCAACAAGCCCGTAAAGTGTTTCATTTTCGCTCAGTAACTCATACCCCCACCATTATGCATTACAAAAACAATAAGGGAAGTTTCAATTTGTTGCTTACATTCTCAACCCCCAACTCCCACTATATCAATGTATTAGGCAGAGTGCTCAATAATCCAGGTGTAAGTATCAGAAAATATTTTGCTGATCCTTAAGAATACATTGCTCTGAGTTGTACAAGACATCTGGAATCCACCTGCCTTGAAATACTACCAAACGTGACGAATTACAGCGTGCAAAGATAATCTACAAAGGCTGTTGTATCACTTGAATAAAGCAAGTGTCATTTTATACCCAGATTATATTTTTATAAAAGAATTTACATTTCAAATAGCACAGTATAATTATTGGAATCTTACCCAGGAGGACATGATTTTTTTTTTTTTTACAAGCAATCAATCTGAAGGCAAAAGCATGAACAAGCTGTCCAGCAGCTAATCAGAAATGCAAATCTGCCTGAATGAAATATGAAATAACATGAAATAATACAAACCTTAGTGCAATAGTTTGTGTAGCATAAGTAATATAAATTCAATAATATAATTTACAAATTAGGTAAAAGTACACACACACATTGTTTTTGCTTAAGAACTGCTGATATAACATTAATTTCCTTTATACTCTTACAACATAAACCTGTCTTGTAGAACTTACGATTGATGAAAGTGCAATAAGATGGTTCACCGCAAAGGAACCATGAACATCAAACCTGAACTACCACAAACCATATTTAACCTTATTAATTTAATTAATATAAAGCATTATTTAAGTGATTAAATTAATTTGCTGATTTACAGCAAGTCAGGTTAAGGTTAGTTTTCATTAATATTTTAGTTGGTGCCAAATTCCATAGTCCAACTTACATCTATTATTCCTAGTAAAAGTACATTTATGGGAATGTGACAATAGTACATTGAGTGCACACAAACAAACACGTGCCTGTGTAGGTGTAATTATAATATTTATGTATAGTTCAACTCAAATTACTGCACTTCTGACAGAATATAGCTTTCCAAATATAGTTGAGCGGTTACCCAAGTCGTTCTGTTGCTTAAACAGTCAACACTGCCATGGCTAAGTGCATCTGCTTTTGCGTATTGAACATGGCAGAATTATGCTGCACATTCTAATGTTTGCACATTACATTCTATTTTCTACACATTTAGTGAAAACCATGAATTTCATTTTCAAGTGAAAACTGAAAGGCTATATAGCTTTGAACTCCTGTGTAATTTTTCTTTAAATGCAACGCTCCACAAAAATATAAAACTCTGAAAACACATTGCCATTTACTTCTTATAAGCTGCTGGTTTACCATCAGGTTAGTTTCTGTTGCACATTAGTTATACAAGCACATCTTGGGGCTCTGATACATGCACATATAGGCATCGCAGAAGAGTCTTTTGGCCAATCCATCAAGCTGCTTTAGGTCTGTATGAAGCAGCTCGTCCTCTGGTATCATTAAATAATCACCGACTTGTGGACAATCTGTTATTTCTGGAATATTCTCATTATCTAAAATAAAGAACATTGGAGTTTCACTAATGCAAAACATTACATCAAACAGTTCACAGACAGAGAGCTTTGGAGCATGTGGAAGTGGGGTTAGATTAGTTGGTCCCTCTACTCCTACTCAACCGTAGAAAATTATCCACATTACACTAGTGTATATACCATGTTTGTCTTGTGCTCCTCTCATCTGAGTGAAGCTGCCAATTTAGTACAATTTATGGGGCGTTGTCTGTCATAAACACACACCCAAAAGAAATGGGAGTTGAAACTCTTCAGTTGTACTTAGAACTGGCCCTTTGGGGAAATGGAATAGAGAGGGGAAGAAAATCCCTTATACAAGACTTGATAACCAAGGTTTAGAGGTGAAAATTAGTGTAACAGATGACTACCTATTTATTCCCTATTATAGACAGATAATCTCCCAGATGTAGATGAATGGAGAGGAGGAGGAAGAGAAGGGAGAAGCAGGGAGCTGGTAGAGTTGTGTGCTGAAAAAGGCCTTTTCAAAATTCTCATTGAAAAGAAATGTAAAAAAAATTACCAATTCGGTCGGCCATGCTGTCAAAGAAAACCCACGATCGTTTCCCTGGCCCATATTTCACAAATGAAACATAGTGGCTGGTTTCGATGCAAAGTACTGCAAACAGTTCCATCTTGTGTCGTGGAAAAGGAGGCTTGACCGAGAAGTTATTTGGACTTGGGAACTTTCTGATCTGGTGCTCCTTCCGCTTTATGTGAGAATGAACCTGTTGGAGAGGCACATGTGGATTGATTTTATACTGAAGCTTCAGGGCAAGATATTACAAAAGCGTTCTATAGGTATTACAATCTAAAATGCAAATACATTTACATCTGTCGTTTGATGTAATGTGTGTGCAACATTGGTTAGTTAATTTGTGCAAATAGGTAAGTAATATCTATTATGTTGGGATCAAAGATTTTTTTTCTATTTCTTGCACACACTACTAATATCAATCCATGCACAGCACAAGTCAGTCAGATGTACCCAAATAATGTGCCTCAATACCAAGCCTCAGAAATAAAGCGCTGTGAAAGTGTGATGCTGCGAATGTGTACACGAGCGATAGAAATCTTTAGGATCACATCATGGTCTATATGAACAATGGGCCAGCAAAACTAGAAAGTGGATTAAGGCAGTTATAATAATACAGAACAAGCAAAGAGAATTTCACCCCCTCATCCTAAAGCCCACTTCTCAATGATGAAATGTGCTCTAAATCATGGCTTCCAGTCTCTACATAACTAACTGTTATCTAATTTTTAAAGAAAATTCTTACCTGCATATTGCAAATGTTGCAGTACTGTTTTATTAGTCCTTGTTTAAAAATAGGGTCCAGAAGGCATTGATCACATTCATATTCTGCTAATCCTCCACAAATGAAACAATGTCTCAGGGCTGCAAACAACCAGATGTGGTGAGTTACTTGTACACAGACTGCCATGGTTTCTAATCTGAGCAACAGTAGTAGCAGCTAATTGCAGAGATTGGGTGTGCCTTTGCAAATTGGGTCAACTTTACAACATCTTTATCCTAAATCCATCTGTATCCAATTATCAACTCAGGGTGGTCCATGGGCATAATCAAATTAAGGAGGGATGTAAACACAGCTAGAGTAAGTTCGCTAATCGGTTCTGATATATGGAGAAAACTTATTCAGGCCCACTGCAACACAAGTCTTTTCAAATAATGATCCTTACATTCCTTATAGTGCCTTTCACGTCAGGAGACCGTCCCAAAGTGCTTTACAGAATATCCTGTGAAGCGTAGTGACTGTCTAGATTACTTGGAAAACACAATTTTCCATTTTACTGTCCTGCAAAATTTGTTACATCAATATCTGTCAGTTAATTATTGTGATATTCTAGTGCTCACTACCAATCTGACTACACATTCACAAGTCGCCAAGTGTAACGCCAAGTTGTGGCCTTGCTGTCTCATGGCAAAGATTGTACTTACTGTTTGAAAGCAAATCAGTGATATCTAGCTCCAGGGATGGCCTGATTTTGGGGAACATTTTGAATTCCTTCCCAAATCTTGGCATCTGAATTAAAAGACATGATGGGATCTGAAACAAAAGCAGTCATCAGAAATAGTTTCAGAATCAGACTAAAAAAACATTTGCCTACAACATACAGTCACTGCATTTTACAGTAAAATATGGGGAAGCATTTTGAGATGGCCTCCAGCTGTGAAAGGCGCTATATCAAACGCTAGGTTTATTAATGTAGATTACAAAACAACTTGGTTCATCTTTCTACTTGTTAGTGCCGTGCACAATTTGTCTTTGTCAAAATCAACTGTCTACTGAGGTACAAGAGGCTGCTGATGGCCCCAGATTTTCCCTCTTTAAAGAGACAGCAAAAGCTTTTACTCCATGACTTTGACAGAGAGTATCACAGTTGTGCACAGGCTGTGAGTGATGTTGGTGTTGCCGTTAGTTTGATGATGATCAATGCAGTCCTCCCTGATCTGGTCTGACATTCCCAAAAGCACAGGAGTCATCACAGAGCAATTAGAACCCATGCTGAGGCAGGAATAGTGTGTACACTCAGGCTTCTAACAGTAAATTACACAAACTGATAAGTTTAGTGAAGAACTTGAACTTACTTCTTCAAACTTCAAGCCACAAGAGATGAAAGACCGCTCCAACAGCAGCTGTACTGATGGTACTTTCAATTCTTCATCTTTCTCTAGGATTATCTGATAGCAGTTGCTCTCCTGAACCTTCTGGTCTGACCTGAGTTATGCAAGGGAATAATCAAACAAGAGTAAATAAACCTATTCAACTGCTGGAAACTGAAAACTGGAGGTGTTACTATATACAGTCAAACCTGCTAAAGTAACCACTATTTAGCAACCACCTGGTCAAACAGTTATTTGTAAAAAGTACCTTATTTTTAGCAATGGATCAATTGCCAGAATTTCATGCAGTAGGACACTGATAAATTCTTCTGGATCTAAATGAAAGATTTCAAAGTCAAGAAGAGCATTCACATTTAAAAGACAATATGAGATTGATATAGTTTAATATAGTTATTGAGTTTCAACAAAATTCTGAAATAAAGCAGATGATTAAGATTGCATCAACATTCTGATGGTAAACATAAATTATGTAAGGGCAAATGCCAGAAGCAACTAATGAGGCAAACAAAACAAATTAAGAAATAATTCTACCATAAATTTTAAACCAAGTGTTTTATTAAAGTATACACAATATTCAAGGTTTAAATAAAGGTCTCAATCAGTAACAATAGCTACTAGAATTTGACTTATTGAAAAATTGGCTGCCACGTTTCGCCCACGAAATTCAGTCAATCCACTTTATAATATATTTTGTGAAGCGCTTTGAGACGTCTCAATGGTATAAGGTGTTATATCACATGCAAGGATTATTATTACTATTAAAACTAAAAGCTTAAGTTAAAAGGGACCTTTCTCGTCTGAAGTGAATGTATGATTTCCTAGCAACATTCTCAGCTTCATCACTTTGTCTGAATTCACAACTCCAGTCCTAAAATCAGAAAGATCACCCTGTTAATCCCTGGGAATATAGGATTTCCGAATTTAAACCACAGCAAGGGGCAACTCAGAAAGTTACAATTCAAAATCATATCTTGTGAAGTTACAAGAGTGTACTTTTAAGGAGGTCCAAGACTTATCTGTTAGGACTATTTAATACAGGTAAATAGCATTAGTTAAATTCTGCAAGCTGATAAAACTGGAACCATAGCCCAACCCCAAAAACACAGAATTCTTCACGCTTATTCTTTTTGCATACAAAAGACAGATATATTATAGCACAAGCATAGAAAATATGCTCTTCACTCACTTTCGCAATGGGTTAATTATGCCTTCCCTCAGTGTACGCTGAATGTTCACCTCATGTTCTTGTTTTAGGGGCATATGAAGTATGCTATCCAACACTGGCGTGAATGTGAACAAGCTAGAAGAAAAATGTGAAAATCAAAAGTTTTGTTTCAATAGGAAGGCAACAGTTCTGATCTTATACAATATAAATGCATTTTTCATTTATTCTAGACAGCATTGCTTTAAAAAATATTTGTACACAAGTCATTTAGTTATCTTTATGAGAAATAGAACATTTCCACTTGGCTTCTGCCTCCCTCAAACAGCTGGAGGCTGGGGAGAGGGGGGATTCTTTTAACAGAATGTTTTTGCTTTTTTTTAAGAAAACAAGTTAAAATGTATTATTCTTTTCATTCTCTACACCAACCTGGCAGAATAACCCAGATGATTTAACCCTCCTGAACTCATGGCAACCATATAGATAGGACTGCACTACCCACTGGGATTTGGAATCTTGGTCTTCGGGCACATTTACACATACAAATCCCTCGGGTAAGGCAGACTGGCTGACTAGCCTGGAACCTGTCGGGCTTTTGTCAGGCTTTTCTCCTCAGAACTACCTCCAACTTCACAAACCTCTTTACAGCCATTAGATACAGGAGAGTCCCATTCCATCATTCATCACTGGATTTAAACTCAGGTTCAAACTCAAAACCAAGACCAACACAGCGACAGACACACAAATATCTCAAAACTAGGGCAACTGACTGCACCTGAAAATTGTGGCGTCCAAATAACAAGAGTTATAATGCCCCTGAATCCCCTTCATTCTCCCTTTCATCAGACGTAGTGCTTCGTCTTCTCGGACTGGTGGGACATCCTCATTTATGGTCATTTCTTCACCAAATATCCTAGCTTCTACACAAACACAGCAATTTCGTTAATTCTGTCCAACATGGAAGCAAGACCCAAAGAAACACAAAGAATTTTGCTTAAAAAAGCAAAGACATTCACCTGGTGGTACGTGTTGCGGAGTGGTTGGCTTTTTGGTTGGTGTCCTGGTTAAAAAGCGCGCATCGGGTTTACAGTTGGTTAGCTCCACAAAAATGGCTTTGTATTGATCACAACTAAAGTAACGCTCTTTATGAAGAGTTCCATCAGTACCTTCGTTTAATCCATAGTCCTAAAGAAAAACATTTTTTCCCCCAAAAAAAATAATTCTTGAAATATTCTTGAAATATTCAAATTTCCAAAAGTCAATAAATTAGCAATGGAAGCCCATTCCATGCACATTAAGAAATATTATTAATAGTCATTTAGGATGTATATTGACATTCCAATAACGATATTGTAATAACACATCACAAAATCCAGAAAACTGGGAAAGTTGCTTCAGAATGATACGACAGGATAAGTTAAATCCTATTTTGTTTTCCATATTGGTGTGTGGGAGAGTGAGGAAATTAATGCCAGGAGTCAAAGTGGACTCTCAAATGAAGTCACTATTATGGTCCACTATTTCCACCCAAAATAATATAACAACAATTGTACAGACACTTTTTCAGTTATAAAACGTTTCCATTACTTCCATACTCACCATTTCAATTCCCGCAAAATCACATTTCAAACCTTTGGGAACCCCAATCCATCTAATAACGCCATAGACTGTAGCACCATTCAACCATTTTACTTGCACCATCGAGCCAACTTCTAGATCAAGTTCCTCATTCTCAGTAAGAAATGGACCTGATTTCCCTGGAACAACAAATGTAGATGTGTAGTGCTCCTTGGAATGCTCGGATTTAGAAACAAAAAATATCTTGCCTTTTCTCTTCTCATTGCTCTATTCTGGTTTGCTGGGATGCAATTTGTCCTGCTATTAGTCTTCCCAAACAAGACAAAAATGATAATAGTCCTTACATATCATATAGTACTTTTCATGTCAGGTGGACATCTCAAAGCACTTTACACAATATACTGGAAAGTGTAGCAACTAAGTATTATGTAGGTGAAAAGGCCACTCAAATAGGCCAAACGGATGTTATTGTTCTAAGTCAAAATTGTGAGTCCAAAGTGTAAAAAAAAGTCTACTCAAATGTCACTAAGTTTCCAATAAAACATTAGATTACACATTGCTTACACTTACCATCACAGTGTAGTTTGGTATAATTTTCATTCATACTTTCTGATTCTCCTTCATCAGCATTATGTGCAATTAGAATATCTCCCGCATCAACATTGATGACTTTACCCTTTTGCCTTGTTTTACGGTCTTCAGGCTGGATTTTTAAAAAAATCAATTAGTGTGAAAATTAATGAAGTGAAAAATGTGGTTCGACGATATCAGACATTTAGAGAAAGGTGGAGAACAGTGGCATAGTAAGTTTAAAAAAAAGTGTTTTGTCAAGTTGGGCACCACCACTGAATCTTCTGAATGAAACACATTCTTTACATTTTTAAGCTTCCATTGTCAATGTCACAGTGAGGTGAATCTCCAACACACACACACACACAGAACCCATTGACAATTCTCTGCACCTTGGGTTTCCCATTCTCAGTTAACCCACTGTAGAGGAGGGCAGAGTGGAGCTCCAGATGCTGATGAGACAAACAACAAACACAGCAAGCAGAGCATTAGTGCCAGAGGCCTGAGAAGATTTCATTTCCATCATCTTTTTGGGGGGAGAATACGAGAATACAACTGTAAATGGGAACTTAAGACTGGAAGAAAACAAAAGAAAATAATTCCCAATAATCCCGATAATCCTCAAGTACAACTTCTGAAGTTTCTTGAATTGTTTAAATTGTAATAACACTGAGAAAATGTGCCACTTCTTGCACATTTCTGATATTTTCCACCCCCATTAATATTCTCCAATATTTGCTGCTTACCAGGATCTCCACTTCAAAAAGCAATCCAGTCAGCAGTTCATGTGATTTTTCAGAACCTTTAACATTTTTCACAATTCCCATGAGTGGACCTTTGGGGGGTTTTAATTGAACTATGTCATGAATTTTTATTCGGGCAATAGATTTAAAGAGTTTTTCATTTTGAAAGAGCTCATATCGTTGAAAAGGTTCTGAAATTTCAAAAAGCATTTCCGCATCATCTTTGCTGATTTCTTTCAAATATTTTGCCTTCTCATGTGATAGATTCATTAGTGGCTTATTTAGATCCAGAACCACATAATGTTCTTTAATCTTTCGGACCACTGAACCTTTAGGAATCTTCTTTTTGTCAGCCAAGAATTCCTTTAGCACCACAAAATATTGTCCATCTTTTCCAGTTCCACCCATACTGCAGTTGGGTACCAATGCTTCATTCATCTGGTTCTGAAAATAAGAACATATTGATGAAGGGAGCATCCAAACATTTTTTTTTGAAAAAAAGTCGCTAACGTGTGTGAATTTAACCCGCTGGCATCTCAAAATAAGCAGCAGGAAACTCACGGTTTGTAAAAAGTCTGTGGCTTTAATACGGTGTTGGTGTATTTAAAAAAATGCATCAAATGTAGTGCGATTACTTTTATCTAATTCACTGAAGTTTACAAAATACCCCCGGAAGGCAGCAACCGGGTGGATTGAGCGTTACAGACAGGAAGGGGCATGTCCTGAACTCTTCAGCAGAGGCAAAGGCTCTGTACCGACCCTCGAGTCTTAATCCACGACTGTTTGCGGGGAGGCTGCTGCGCGCAATCGGCTGCCGCCTTTCACCCGCAAACATACGGTTAGTTCACTTTACAGCACATTCTGTGAAGCGCTTCGAGACGCCTCGGAGGCGTGAAAAGCACTATATCAAACGCGAGGATTATCGGTATTATTATTATTATCATTATTAGGGTCAGATTCTGGCGAGTGTGCCAGGACCTCGGACGGTAAGTACGCTATTCCGTGGAGCTGCTCAGCTTCTTCCACACACACACACACACACGCATTCTCTTTTATATAGAGGCGAGCGAACAGGTAGGTGGTGCACAGCAACAAATCGGGAAAATTCTTTTACACACACACACACACACACACACTGGATATACAGACCAACCGGTTGAAGCAAATATGAGGCCCACATGCAGTGAGGGGGAGGATGAGGGGATCGATCAGTAGCTGTTCAAGTCGCCCTGAGGTCCCAGCGGCCTAGTTGGTGGCGACTCAAACCCCGCCCCCCCGCCGGAGGTTTCCCCGCCCGGTGGCGGACTGGACTGGACTGGGACCGAGCGACCGGCCTCGCAAACACGACACAACCCAACCCACCTCGGCGTCGCTGTCGGTGCCGCGCCGCCCACCGAGCCCGTGTCCGGCGGTTGGACTCCAGGCCACGAAATCAACCCGAGGTTCCCGCTGAGGCCTCACCGCCCTCCCTCCCTCCCGCCCGTTGCCTAGCGACCCGCGCCTGCGCAGATCGGAGCGAGAGCGTTGCCCCGCCCCTTTGCTAAATCTCGCGAGATCCAGTTTTTTTTTCCCACGCCCTGGTCAGGCCCCTCCCCCTCCCGCGTGTTTTTTTTTGTGAATGGGAACATGACACACACACACACACACATACTGAATGGGAACATGACACACACACACACATACACACACACACACATGCCCACCCCCCCCCCCCCACCCACCCCAAACAAGTTATCGCCCACGAAATGTACGGTTGATCCACTTTACGGTATATCCTGTGAAGCGCTTTGAGACGTCTCCAAGAGGCGCTGTATCAAATGCAAGGATTATTATTGTTATTGTTATTAGTGTTATTATTATTATCAAACAAACAAACCACTTGAGTACTGTAGGGTAACAAATGTAATTTGTTTGGGTTGTTGTATTTACTTTGAATGAGCGGTAAGAATCCATTCACCTCATTGTATTAGTGTCAATGTTCGCTCCTCCTATAATATCATTATCCTCCACAGACTGCAGATAATCCAGATCTCTGCAGCCCGTGTCCTCTCCCGCACCAAACTCCGTGACCCCATCTCCCCCACTCTCGCCCGACTCCACTGCCTCCCTATCCTTCAGAGGATCCAGTTCAAGATCCTGGTCCTCACATACAAAGCCCTCCATGGCCTCGACCCACCCTACCTCTGCCACCTCCTAACCCCCTACCAACCCGCCCGCTCCCTCCGCTCAGCCGGCTCTGGCTGCTCCATGTCCCCCCGATCCACCCGCCCCACCATTGGCGGGAGAGCCTTCAACCACTCTGCCCCTAACTTCTGGAATTCCATCCCCCAATCACTCCACCTCGCCCCCTCCTTAGCCTTCTTCAAGTCCCGCCTCAAGACCTTCCTCTTCGACCATGCCATCGGCCACCCCCCTTCCCCTCCCTTCCCCCCCCCCGACCCCTGAAATGCTGTACTCTGTCCAGCGCCTCGGGACGTCCTCCCGATATGAAAGGCGCTACACAAATGTAATCTTGTTGTTGTTGATGTTATCCACCCTAATCCCTTCTTGGACTCCATGCATTTTGTCTTAATAATATAACCTAGTTTTTTAAGTCTTATTCTAGAAATGGTAGTATCTGTAACAATTTGCATTTATAAAGGAGCTCTCACATAGGGAGTACGGTACCTCTCAAAGCGCTTTATAAAGACACAATGAGACCCCAAACTGGAAGGTGGTTCTGAAGAGGAGTTGATTGAAGTGACCTTTCTTCACCTGCATACAAAATCAGATATTACTCTCCAGAGCAATTACTCTGAAATGTTTTGGAAAGTTTCAGCATGATAAAACGACAAATTATTTGTTGTTCATTGATATTTTGAGCCCACATAGACACTGATGTTGGGAAACTATTTGATCATTACAGTCAAGCCTAATCTTGGCTTCATCTGACAATCACACATATCAATGTGTACTTTCCAGTTGAGGTCCTGAATAATTGCTGGTGAAGCACTTTGAAACGTCTTGACGGCGTGATAAGATGCTTTATAAAATGCAAGGATTAGTATTATAAGAGCAATGACTGCTATAGACAAACACAACTGTCGCCCCTCCCCCCCACCCCACTCCGCAATTTTCCACACAACTAGATTCCACAAACAGTCATGAGATGAATAAATATTTTATCTTGAGGATGTGAATGTGAAGTGGGACACTGAGAAAAAAATCACTTTTTTTTCAAGAGTGTCATGAGAATGAAGAAAACACTACTTCACCAGTTGTCCAGCATTTCTTATGTTCTTATATAACCAGCAGATGGGACCATGTTTTATCATTCCACCTGAAGGAGAGCTATTCATTTTCAATTACAGATGGAGTGTCTAGATGATGCTATTTCTTGCATAAGTCACAAAAAACACACAAACATTATTTCAGTGAGCGAATAGGGAACCTGTGCAACAAGTTCCCTAGGGAAATGGTTGAAACAGCAAGTGTTGATTCTTTCAAACACAGGTTAGGTCGTTTTCTTTTAGGAAATAACATTATGGGTTATAGTACATAGGTAGCTCGGGACATATGTGCATGCAACCGCCAGGAAGGCGGAGGTGAACTAGATAGACCTTGTTCTTCTTTTGTCTAGCATTTCTTATGTTCTTACATAAGAACCAGCAGATGGGACCACATTTTACCATTCTAACTGAAGGAGAGCTATTCATTTCCAATTACTGGTGGAGTGTCGAGATGATGCTACTATTTCTTGCAGAAGTCACAAAAACCAGCCACCAATAATGTACTTATTTTATATTTCACATACAGAGTCCCAGAGAAAGCCAATTAACTGATGTCAATGATTATTATCATGAAATGCTGTCATAAGGTTCAAGGAGGAAAAAAATGATAATATCCTTCATTCTCAAAACCAGATCTTTAATAATAATAATCCTTGCAGTTGATATAGCGCCTTATCACATCTTCAAGATATTTCAAAGCGCTTCACAGAATTTACTGTAAAGTGAATTGACTGTATATATTTTAAAGAATCGGAGATGCAATACGTACCACTTTCTCGGTTTCCAGTCATGTTAAGTTAAACGTCTCCGTTTGTTGATGTGAACACAGGAGAAACAGCTAAATGTGTCTGCAATTCCAAGTGTAAGTGTGTGTGTCTGTGTGTGTGTTGGGGGGAGGGGAGGGGAGGTGGGGAGGGAACAAGGGAAACATAACAGACATTTTGTAGGTGTGGCTTTCCTGTACGTGGGAAAGCCAAGAATCCACATAGCAGACATCACGTCTGAGAAATCGATCGATCAATTGGCGATTGTTTCAATCGCAATTGCGGACCCACAGCAGTCCCATTCCAGCCACCCGCAGAGGGGTGTGAAGATGTGAGAATCTGCAGACGTTGTTGGGTGGAATCCGAGCCCCACATCGTTGCATTGCGCAGTGAGCAATCTGGTTCACAATCCTCAGCACATTAGGAAGAAATATTCCCCACTGATTGATTGATTGATTGATCGATCGATTGTAACCGGCCGGTGAGTCATTTTATACACAGTATCTATATCTCTAATGATGTGTTAACGATTACAGTCGTGTTTCGGTCCTGTATTATTATCTGAAGCAGATGCATGCACGGGTGTGCAGGAGGTGCACTCAGACAGGGGCACGAATAGCCCCCACTCTGCTGCATCCCCGGCGCTGCACGTCTTTCCTGACACATTTTCCGAGAGCAGCCGTCAGACTTCCGTGTTGTCCTGAGCAGCTTTCATCCGCTTTCACTGGTGCCCTCGATTTTTAAAATGGTCCCGGAAAGCGCAGGGTTAATGCACCCTCTCCCCCTCCACCACACAGCCGTGCAAACCGCTGCCGCTTTACAATCCTAAAATACATATTTTTAAAAAAAAATGTTGTGGCAAACGCAGAGGAGGAGGAATTGTATAACAGCTGTTAGTTATCTGCTTCACTGGCAGCTCAGTCAGTCAGTCAGTCAGTCAATCCTCTGCAGTGCAGTAGGAAGATTACGCCAGTGTTTTCCTCCCTTCCCTCCCCTTGAGCTGTAGTGATGGTGAGCATTTGTTTGGAGGAGGAGGAGGGGTGGGGGGGGTGTGGGGAGGGAGGGGTGGGGGGGGGGGTGGGAGGGGTGGGGGGGGGTGTGGGGGGGGGGGAGGGGTGGGGGGGTGGGGGGGGTGGGGGGGGTGTGGGGTGGGGTGTGGGGGGGGGGGAGGGGTGGGGGGGTGTGGGGGGGGGAGGGGTGGGGGGGGTGGGGGGGGAGGGGTGTGGGGGTGTGGGGGGGGGAGGGGGGGTGTGGGAGGGGTGTGGGGGGTGTGGGGGGGGGAGGGGTGGGGGGTGTGGGGGGGGGGGGGGGGTGGGGGGGGGGAGGGGTGGGGGGGTGTGGGGGGCAGAAAGGGAAAAAAAATTATGTGGGACACAGCTTTAATCCGCGTCGCTCAACACAACGCAGCGCATCACAATCCGCAGTCCTGGGGCTGCGTTGTGTTTCGGTGCCCAAACCGTGAGCGGTGTCGCTGTGAGTTTGGTGATGGTCGATGCGGTTTGATTTCAAACCCACTTCACTGTGTGCAGACTGCCGACACCCGCCTTCCTTTGCTGGGGGTGGGGTGGGGTGGGGGGGGGTCTGTTCTCTGGTGTTTTCGAGGGATCAGGAGATCGACCTCATCCATCAGCTGTTTGTTGTGGGGTCGGTTTCCATCCTCCTCCTCCCGCACAGTGCATTGCGCGCTCCGCCTCACGGGTCAGTTTCCTCCTGTGTACACCGCCTGTGTACACCGACCGAACCGAACCGAACCATTACATACATTTCATTGGGGAACCCTTTCAGTCCCCGCACCTGTGTGACACACTCACTCACTCACTCCCAGAGCAACACACACACACACACACCCAGAGCAACACACACACACACCCAGAGCAACACACACACAGAGCAACACACACACAGAGCAACACACACACAAGAGCAAGACACACACCTAGAGCAACACACACACACACACCCAGAGCAACACACACACACACAGACACCCAGAGCAACACACACACACACACACCCAGAGCAACACACACACACACACACACACCCAGAGCAACACACACACAGAGCAACACACACACACACACAGAGCAACACACACACACACACAGAGCAACACACACACACACACACACACACCCAGAGCAACACACACACACACACCCAGAGCAACACACACACAGAGCAACACACACACACACAGAGCAACACACACACACACACAGAGCAACACACACACACACACACACACACACAGAGCAACACACACACACACCCAGAGCAACACACACACAGAGCAAGACACACACACACACACCCAGAGCAACACACACACAAGAGCAAGACACACACCCAGAGCAACACACACACACACACACACCCAGAGCAACACACACCCAGAGCAACACACACACCCAGAGCAACACACACACACCCAGAGCAACACACACACACCCAGAGCAACACACAGAGCAACACACACCCAGAGCAACACACACACACCCAGAGCAACACACAGAGCAACACACACCCAGAGCAACACACACACACCCAGAGCAACACACAGAGCAAGACACACACACAAGAGAGAGAGACACACACTGATAGAGAAAGAGAGAGAGAGAGACACCGACACAGAGAAAGGAAGGTTTTTTCTGACTCGAATCGCATTCGCTCTGCACGAATCTTACGCCCCCGATGTTTTGCAAGTGACCGGGAAGGGATTATGGCGGATGACAGGACAGAGCCCGGACAGGACACAAACCTCGGGGCCTATTCTCCTGTGGACTACATGAGCATCACCAGCTTCCCACGGCTGCCAGAAGACGATGCGGGATCCACGGAAAACGTACTGCGATTCCGCAAGGAGGACGACTGCTCTCTGGGCGACCCGGACCCCGCAGGTAAAGGGGTTTAACACCCAACACAGTCACACAGGGCGACCACTGTCTCGATGCCATTACAGTGTCTTCATAAGTCTTACAGGAATGACGCTTTTTTTTATTTTCAGGTAATAGGGCAGATATCACCACTCAGATATAATGTATATAATTTTTTACCCCACGTACAGGTGTGATCTCTGCTGTTGCTGTTGCCCCCAAAGTTACTTATTTTTGTGAGTGGAGTGAGACATCATTGGGAATTCGGGTTCATATCATTAATATGAGCCGAGGTGGCACTAGCCCACAGGCACGGGGGGGTTAATGGGTGGGTGGGTGGGTTAGTGGGTGGGCGGTTGGGTGGGGGGGTTAATGGGTGGGTTAATGGGTGGGTGAGTGGGTGGGTGGTGGGTGAATGGGTGGGTGGGTGGGTGAATGGGTGGGTGGGTGGGTGGGTGAATGGGTGGGTGAGTGTGTGAATGGGTGGGTGAGTGGGTAGGTGAATGGGTGGGTGGGTGGGTGAATGGGTGGGTGGGGTGAATGGGTGGGTGGGTGGGTGAGTGGGTAGGTGAGTGGGTGAATGGGTGGGTGGGTGGGTGAATGGGTGGGTGGGGAAAATAATGTCTTGCGATGTTAGCTGTAAATATGGAGAGTTCAACAGCTGTTGAAATTGACTCTTCAAGAGTTGGAAGCTGGTCCGGGTTCTGAGCTGACATGACGGCGGTGTGCGATGGTGTGTGAGTGCACACAGTCCCAAGTGTTCACGAACATCAGGGACATATCCGCGATATTCGTTCAATCACACGAGGGTTCGTTCACTGCGCCTTCGAATGGGACTCGAGACTCCAAACCCATTGCATATGCATTGAACTGGATCCATTCCGATTTACTGTCCTGGTTAATTAGCCAAGAGCTGTTTGCTGATACCCACCACATTTGGATGTTTTGGGGAGGGGGCCCCGCAGGTGCATTTAGGATCCGAGGTTAAAATGGCTCTGGAAGTCAGCAGCATGTTTGGATATTGGTAATTCAATATAAATACGAAAGATTACACTGGATTCCAAATTTTATCTTCTTGATTTGGTTTGTATTACACATTTAATTAAAAATCTACAGTAAATGCAAGTTGTCAATTACGATTTGGGTATGTATACATATACTGGAGAATGGGTATATATGTGTATAAATATATATATAAAACTACTAACTGGATTAATTTTTAATATCCAATTGCACACACATTACAGTAAAGCTACAGTGATTATATCAACAAGACAGTGAACAGATTAGAGATGATTCCTGCTTTGGACAGATGGATAATTTGGATAACCGTTTGCACATTCATTTCTTTATCACGATGTTGTCATTTGGCACAGATACTGATATGCATTGAAATGCGCTGTGAGTGTGTGTTTGGGAGAGGAGGACTGACAAAATGAGACCAGTCCTATCCTTACCCAACATCTAGATGCAACACAAACATATATTCTTTTTAACAGGGAGTCGCTGAATAGCAACCAGAGCAGTACAACCCTTTTTTCCCCCCCAAAAGCACTGAGGACAATTGAAGTGTATTTCCTGCTTTACTTCCTGAAACCAGCTAACTCATCATGGACTCAGGAGCCAGGATTTATGAGTCTGAATGCCTGTTTCACTCCAGGCAATGGTTTAATCGGCTAAGGCATTCTTCCTAAACCCTTGTTTTATTAATTCAATTCCTAATCCCTCTATTTATTAAGACCTATATCATTTGCCCAAATTGCAGTGATTTGCCATTGAGTGTTCAGTACAATTGCAACATTGATTGAAGTTAGAAATTGACCCCTTTTTTTTAAAAAACATTTTTTTTGAGGCTGAGTTGGATAGATATCGGTTAGCTGTGGGTATCGAGGGATATGGGATAAAGGCGAGAAATTGGAGTTGAGGTACAGATCAGCCATGTTCTTATAGAATGGCGGAACAAGGTCAAGGGGCTGAATGGCCTACTTCTGTTCCTATGATCCTATCTACATTTCTCTCCTTCTCCATCCCATCTCCTCCTAGCTCTGATTTTTTTTGTGTGTAAGGAGTTCAGTAATTACCCTACAGCGGATACGATATGATTTTTTTAATTTCCTCGTGCAGATCCAGATCTTTTCCTGAAATCCGCTCGACTCCGGCGCCTGCCGTCCTCTTCCTCTGAAATGGGCAGCCAGGAGATGTCGCCGCTGCGAGTCACGAGTAAGGATCCTTTCTCAGGCGACTGCACCTGCCGCCAGGATGGCTTGACTGTCATCATCACTGCCTGCTTGACATTCGCGACTGGCGTGACTGTGGCGCTGGTGATGCAAATATACTTTGGAGATCCACAGGTAAGAGGATAGGAATAAGCAGGATGAGAGCACAGAAATCCCATTCAGTCCATTATGTCTGTGCTGCAGCCGGATATTAATACTTCTAATAATAATCCTTGCATTTGATACAGTGCCTTATCACGTCTTCGAGACGTCGCAAAGCGCTTCACAGAATATACTGTAAAGTGAATTGACTGTATATTATGTTGGCGAATTTGGCACTAATTTACCCTAATCCCATTTCCCTGTCTTTCCCCAGATCCTTCAATATTATTTAGTTTCCAAGATTTATCCAACTCTATTTTAAACGCAATCCTTCAACTGCAGGTTAAATCTAACCGTGCCTTGAATGATAAAATGAATATTTTGGTAGATTGGTTCATTTCCAAGTGTAGCGTACATTAACTAGAACAATAAATTATGTCTGTATAAAGCCTTTTACGTCGGGAGGACACTATCAGAGTTGTGTCTTAGCAGGTGTTAAGAAATCGTTGACCACAAAACATATATTTACCAGTATTTACAAAAATTCTAGGTGGTTTAATCGCAAGTCAAATGTGAACCGATGACTGCTTCTTTCATATATTCTTTGTGTATAATTGATCGGAATAGACAGTGCTGTAATATATAAATCCCACAGGTGGATGTAACATGCTCAGGAATTCGTTGCATGTCTCTGCAGTCTCAAAGATATCTTTGAGTCATGACTCCGCGTTCCCTTCTTGTTTTCGCTATAGATTTTTCACCAGGGCACAGTGGTCACAGATGTGGCTCGATGTTCCGCTCTCGGCACTGAGATACTGAACCGTGATGGCTCTTCGGTCGATGCAGCTATAGTGTCTGCATTGTGCTCAGGAATAATCCACCCCCACAGCTCGGGAATTGGAGGGTAGGTACTCCTCGTAGCAACTTAACCACAAAATTACACTTAGAGAATGCCTTTCACGTCGGGAGGACATCCCGAGGTGCTGGACAGTCATGGGCCAGGGAACCGATCATGGGAGAGGGGTGGGGTAGGTGTGGGGGAAGGCAGAGAGGTGGAGGACAACTGAAAGCACGATCAAAGAGGAGGGTCTTGAAATAGACCTTGAAGGAGGCAATTGACCCCTGTTAACTCTTCAAGACAGAGCTGTGTGGCTATAGTGGGTTAAAATCCAGCTAAATGTGCATTCTGGGTCCCCAAACCTTGGGCCTCACCTTTTAGGAATTAGGTAAGCAGGTTGCATTCCTCCAGTGGAGAGTGCGCATTCCATTCAAGACACTAGGCCATTTACACGTGTGGGTAGGTTATATCTGTGGAACAAATCTGGTGAGGGATTAATGCACATGCCAGACACACCTAGCTGATCCATAACAAACTGACTTGTGTATCCCTTCTGATTGACGATGACATTTTCCTGCAGGGGTGGAGTGATGTTGGTTCATGATATCAGGAAGAATGAAAGTTTCATCTTGGACTTCAGAGAGACGGCCCCAGCAGAGGTTGAAGAGCAGATGTTCAGTCATAATGGGGAGGACAAGGTGCGTGTGTGCTACTTGCTGTTGTTATCAATAGCTTTTAAATGTGTTATGAGGGCATATAGCTACTTCTACATTCCCAGTACCCCAACAAAATGATAATAATAATCCTTGCATTCGATATAGCGCCTCATCACGTCTTCGAGATGTCTCAAAGCGCTTCATAGAATAGACTGCAAAGTGAATTGACTGTATATTTTGGGGGTGAAAGATGACTTGAAGATTAAATTGTACAAGATCTTGTCTTTCAATAATTCTTTTTCCCCAAATAAGGAGGTGTATCTAACCAAAGCTGTGTAAAGGAACAGTTCAAATGATGGGAAAAAGCTATGTTTTTTGTGGTGGTCAATTGAGAATTGAATTTAAATTGTTCAGGCTACCTTACATTACAACTGAGGTTCCTCAGCAAGGGAACACAAAAAAAATCCCCAAACCAGGTGCTGGAGAGTCATTCCGACTGGCAAACATTAATAATGTCACTTGACCTTATAACAATTAATCCCGCAGGAGATCTACAGAGGGTGTTCTGTAACACACCGGTTTTAAAATTAAAGGGAGTGTTTATAGCACCTGCGCTTTGATGGTTAATTGACAACATATAGCATTTCTATACTAGAATGGTTGCCAAGGTTTATACCTTTTAAGGTTAGTAATGATTACTGTTTCACAATGCATTCAAAATGGCACTTAATACTAGCGTCACTTCTAAACTCCCAGGTTATTCTTAATCACTGCTGTGGATTATCAGGTACCACCAGTTTGTTTGTAAAGATGCCATTGACTCAGAAGAACTTGAAACCATTGTTAATTATGATCCTTATAATACCAATCCCAGATTTATTTACAGCAACTTAATGGTTTCCTGTTTAGTACAATAATTTCTGCTTAAGATATTGAATCTTTTGTACGATGCCCAGTTTGATTGCAGAAATAATGATGATAACCAGTTTATTCACTTTTCTTTATCCTACACTGAGCTGGGGCTTAGTCATTATCCTGGATGAGAGCTAACTTCCTTCAGTTGAATGCCAACAAGACCGAGGCCCTCCTACTTGGCTCCCGCCAGCCCCTCCATACTTCGGGCACTGACAGCATCTCCCTCCATGGATGCACTCCACATTTCATGGAGCTAATATGAACCTCAGCATCCTGTTCGACCCTCAACTGTCCTTCAAACCCCACATCCGTGCCATGACCCACTTCACCTTTTCCCACCTCCGCAACATCACTCAGCTCCGCCACTGTCTCACACCCCAGGCCGCTGAGACACTCCTACACACATTCATAACATTGAGGCTCTACTATACAAACTTACTGCTTGTCGGCCTCCCCAACTCCTCCCTTCCCCAACTCCTCCCTCCACAGGCTGCAGATCATCCAGAACTCTGCAGCCCGTGTTCTCTCCCGCACCAGGCTCCACGACACTATCATCCCCATCCTCGCCCGACTCCACTGGCTTCCCATCACACAGAGGATACCGTTCAAGATCCTGGTCTTCATTTTCAAAACCCTCCAGTTCTGGCGACAGGTGGATAGTCTGTCATCAGAACTGGAGTTACAGTAGGTTTTGTCAGTAGGTGATGGTAGTTACAGAGCTTCATGGTTTCTAACAAATGTCTTATTTTCCTTGTTCATGCAGCCTGGTCTCTTGGTGGCTATCCCAGGTATGCTAAAAGGATTGTACCAAGCTCATCAGCTCTATGGCAGGTAAACACCATGTGTGCTATTCCTCTTTAGATGATTGTTATCAGCGTGGTCAATATAGATTTCTTCTCATTTTCCACACACAATGTATGATTTTGAAGTGATTGAAACCGTATTTGAGTTTTCTTTATTATGGAGTGATTCTTATATACTGTAGTTTCTCACTAGGCATTTAGAATGGTGGCATTCAAAGTTGAAGTGGTAATTCCATAGAGTTTTATCGTATATGTGCTGTAGCATTTTCCTCAGAAACCATTTCTGAATTGTACAGGTGGACAGCTTTGCTAATTCCAAGGTTGGAGAGGATTTTTGGAAATGTGGTGTGTGTAGGGGAGGTGTTGAGAAGGGAGGGCAGTGCTCCATTAATGTTAGTTCTGGATTCCAAAGAGTTCAAAGGATCAATGCAAAGCATCTCACTTTATTGTAATGCTGCAGCCTCAATTTCTGCCCCTAGAGTTCACTGTATTATCTTTTGATGTTTTACATGTGATACAGCAAGGAGAATTAGAACTGTAATGAGAGGGAGTTGAGCAGATCTGTGACCATTCACTTTAAGATGATTTTGACATCAGGAACTGTAGTGTTGATATCAGTAACTGGCAGTATCCCATGTTGGCATTGCCAAGGTCAGAAATACACTGCATGGGAATTACAGGCATGAACATATGGTCCAGCAATCTGGAGGACCGTGGACTGGAGCTCCAGTGGGTCCAGTCACACTGACATAAACACTCGCTATTTTCTGTGTAGAGCAGCATCTGTACCATTCCACCAACGGTTCCTATTTTTCTTTCGTTCCTCAGAATCTCCTGGTCCAAGCTCATGGCTGCTGCAGCAGATGTTGCAAAAGAAGGTTTCAACATCACCCAGGAACTTGGTAGGTTGGATAGGTCACGTTTTTTCTGGTGGCAAATAATTAGTGCAAGTTGCTGTGCCATGTAACCTAAAATGGCTTGCATGTAGTTACTGGTTTATGAAAAGAATCTAATTGATAGAAACAAGCAAATCCTAGAGAGACAGAACATGTTGAGCCAGTTAAGGTGGACTCACTGAAGATAAGAAGTTTGCAAGCACTGGCAGGTGGAGAGATTTTGGAACAAATGGTACAATTATGTATTCATAGAATTATAGAATCCTACAGCACAGAAGGAGACCATTTGGCCCATCGTGCCTAAGCCGCCTCTTTGAAAGAGCTACCCAATTAGTCCCCACTCCCCCGATCTGCGATTCAGAAATAATCTTGGAGCCGAAATAAATGTGTGCACAGGGATGAGGAGGAGAGGGATCTCAGAAAGCTCACTGTGCTGAAATGGGGGAAAGTGGAAGCAGGGGAAGAGATGGCATTGTGCATGCCGTCAAAACGACATTATGTTCATGTCTTCCATTGTAATTCTTGTGAGAGAGTCGAAGCAAAAGAGCGCGTGTGTGTGTGTGTGAGAGAGAGAGACTGTGTGTGGGTGAGGGTCTCAAAAGAAAGAGTAGAAGGAAGAATCTGGCATTCTGCCCTGGAAGTTCTTTTCTAGTTCTGTATGGAAACCACCAAGAAAGCTTCAGTTAGCTTAAAACTTGCAGCTATCCATATGAAGAGTTATATTGTTATAACAGTCTTTTAGTATCTGTACAGAATTTTATATCATCAAAATGTGTTTCGGGATGAGGGGGGATAGGAGTAAATGACTGTTCCTTGCAAAAACTCAACAACTTCACTCTTCCACTGATTTAACCTTACCCACGTCTGCTCTGTTCCAGCCAAAGCTATCAACCAAGTGAAAGATAAAAACCTGTCCGACAATTTCCGTGAGACCTTCCTGCCGTACGGGCAGCCGTTACAGCCAGGAGCCTTCATGAAACGCTCTGACTTGGCGGCTGTTTTGAACGCAGTCGGCGTGGAGGGAACGTCGGCATTTTACAACACAAACGTTACAGAGGAGATGGTTTCTGAGGTAAAGAGACGACAAGCTTGTCAAAATCATCCTGTTTTAAAAATGCTCATACTCCGGCAACAACCCTGACTTTGAATCTCTTTAACAGTCGAGGTACAGTTGACTCCACATTACCGTGTAACGCATCTGAGCATCATTGTGATGGGGAGATTCCTATCGCGAGCATTTTCTACAGATTTAATTTCACTGCATGGGAATTACATGCAGTAATTGCATATGGTCTAGCATATGGTCTAGCAATCTGGAAGACCGGATTGGAGGATTGGAGCTCCAGTGGCTTAGTCAAACTGACATAAACACAGACTTTGCCAGTCATCAGTTTCAAACTGAGAATACTCATTTGTCTGCCTTGGATGTGCAAGACAAACAAATCAGTGAGAATCAATCATCTTACCTCTCCTACTAGGAGGATTCTAGTTGAGATATGCTACTTATTTCAACCTCCTGAACCTCCGGCTATGTTTTATCTTTCCCAGGAATTGCTTGCTTTGGGAGCGAATAGCGGAGGGAAGGGATTTTATGCATTGCCGTTCCATGTGGATTAGGAATGTGTTTTATTTTGCAGTTGCTCTTTTTCGAGATGTTTTCTCAGAAAAGCCAAAATTGTGACATAAGAGCTGTTTGATAATACACGCCAACTCCCTGACCTATGTTTTGCTACAGGTTCGGAGTAAAGGAGGAGTAATGTCTGAGGAGGATTTTGCTAATTATACTGTCATTGTGGAGAAGCCTGTTGAAGGATCTTATCAAGGTACATGACGTTACTAGGTCAGAACTCTTAACCTTTCAGATGTAGATCTGAGATTTGGGGTCTTCATAAATAATAGCGATCCTCGCATTTGACATAGATCCTATCGTGTTGATAGGGTCTTAAAGCTCTTCACAGATTTTCTGTGATGTGTGGTGACTGTATATTTTGGAGGTGGGTGAACTCTTGAATGATTACCTGCATATTCTGTGAAGCGCTTTGAGACGTCTCGAAGATGTGATAAGGGCGCAATATCAAATGCAAGGAATTACTTTTCAGCCCAATCCTGCCAGTACCTGATGTCCATCTTTACACATTTACAGTAGGGAAAATGTGGGCAAGTCGAGGGGAAATATTGGCTATCCTTTCTCTTATGCTTAGGGGGCATTGAAGCCAAGTATAACGTTCAGAGGCTGAACTCATCTGTCATTTTTCAGGTCACCTCGTGCTGACAGCTCCACCTCCACACGTGGGCCCCGCTCTCATCTCTGCTCTCAACATCATGGAGGGTTTCAACATAACAACACAGGCAGCCAGGAATCTCACCTTCCATCTACTCGCGGAGGTAGGAGAGATTTCTGAGTTATTAAAATGTACAAAGCACTTGAGCATTCCCTTTCAGAAATGAATTTCCCCTCCATCCAACAACCACAACAAATTACAATTGTATAGTGCCTTTCACATTGGGAGGACGTCCAAGGTGCTGGACAGTCAGGGATTTGGAACTGAGCAGGGGTTGGGATCAAGGGAGGGCATGGAGGGTAGAGGTAGGAGGGTGTTCGAAGGCTCAGTTGAAGAGGAAGGTTCTTGAGACTTGCCTTGAAGGAGGCAGGGGAGGTAGCAAGGTGGAGGGACTGTGGGATGGAGCTCCAAAGAGGGTGTCAATTCATTCTCTGTGATGTTCCCCTTTATGTAAGGGAAACCCTCGCTCTCTGTGCTCAGCACCTTCTCAACCCCAGCTAAGAATAAAGATTCATTGAGTGCAGGTGAATGTCAATGGTGAACTTACATCCTTCTGTTGAGTAGTGTGTCAGTGATGTGTTCTGTGTTACATTATCATTGCTGTACTTAACGTTTCTCCTTGTTGCCTTTAGTCATTGAAAATCGCTTTAGCTCAGGCGAGCACCCTCTCCGACCCCTTCTTCGATTCCTCCGTGGCTCACACATCAGAGCAAATGCTCAGGTTAGAGACAAAGTCCTGATTTGCTTGAGAAACAAAAAATGCTAGAGAAATGCAACTGCTCACAATCCCCTCGTATGTGCCGAGCTCTAAAAAGTAGAATTTTGTTCCAACATTTTGTTGGGAGCAAAACAAAAATCATTATCCTTTCATAAAAGTAATATTTTTAACGATCGTTGCAAAAATTGTGAAAAAATATAACTCTTAATTTAGTTTTGCATTCATGTTTAATGAAATTTGTTTCTCCATCTCCCTTCTTGTGTCCAGTAAATCGGAAGCCAATGTTCTACGTCAGCTTATCAATGACAGTGTGGCTAATCCTCCAGGACACTACATGCAGTTCAATTCCCTGGAGGCTGGTCATCCAGTGAGCCAAGTACATGTCATAGGACCAGATGACCTCATTGTTTCTGTTGTGAGGTACTCTTCAGAAAAGTGCAACCCATCATTTTATCAAATGCAAATAACATTTATTCCTAAATTCTCATATTATCAGATAATCTGATAATTTCACCCACAAAATATCCAGTCAATTCACTTTACAGTATATTCTGTGAAGTGCTTTGAGACGTCTTAAAGATCTGCTAAGGCGCTATATCAAATGCAAGGATTATTGTATATTATAAGAGCTCTGAGACACTAACCTGTGTGAAGGACGCTATGTAAATGCAAGTTATTGTTCTGCTTTGATCTGATCTTTGCTAAGTGAATAGCTGCATAATGCTTTGTGAGCGTGCTCCCATTTAGTGGAATTTTACTGCAGAGCTATTGGAGATCTAGGGGTACAATTCCTTAAAGCACTACTTGACTTATTTAAAGAATGCTTTAAGTAATACCAGCCTTTGAGGTAAGGCATTTGTTCTTCTCAAGGTTGTAGCACCACTGTTTTCTCGAGGCGAGTGATTTTGTTCAGTAAATTTTAGGCTTTGGGTATAATATTTTGTTAAATAAATAACACTCTCCTTCCCAGGGCAGGAATCCAACATAAAAATATTTTTCTTTTTTTTTGCAGCTCCCTGAACCGTCCGTTTGGCAGTGGGATTATGACCACCTCCGGTATCCTGCTGAACAGCCAGATGTTGGATTTCTCCTGGAATAAAACACAAGACAGTTCCACAATGAACCTTGTAAGGAAACATTACACACATTAAATCTAAAGGATATGTTATTGAATGCATCAAAGGGCCTAAAATTCCTCATGCTCTTAGACCATGTTCACAGATGAAATATTCTGCTCTAGGCTTCTGCCACCGCTAAGTGCTCTGAGACACTGCCCTGCGTGAAGGGCGGTATATAAATGCAAGTTGGTGTTGTTGCTGCTATTGAACTCTAAGCCAACTCGTAACAGCAACCAGAGGATTACCTCTCTTCTCCTCATCGTCTGTGAAAATGGTCATTGCATACATCCTTGTGTTCTTTGCTTTCTTTCAGAGAAATAACATTCAACCCGGTAAAAGGCCTATGTCCTTTCTGCTCCCTACCATCGCCCGACCCTTGCGAGGCATGTGTGGGACATATCTCTCCCTTGGAGCTTCCAGTGGAATCAAATCTCTTAGCAGCATCACAGAGGTCAGTTGTAATTTGCTTCAAAATTTAATCTCAATCATCTGTTAATCCCCATATCAACTTGTCCACTTCCTCTGCTCAGCAGGCTCTGGCCTGTTCCACGTCCCCTGCCCGGCCCAGCCCACCATCGCTTCCTTCAGCTTCTCTGCCCTACTATTTGGAACTCCAACCCACAGTCCCCTTGCTTCACTCCCTCCCTTGCCTCCTTCAAGACGCTGCCATTCGGCCATCCTCCATCCTCCTACCCCTGCCCTCCACCCTCCCTGATCCCAACCCCCTCCCCCCCCATCTTGGGTCCAAATCCTGACTGTCCAGTGCTTTGGGACATCCTCCCAACGTGAAAGGCTCTGTGTAAATGTAATTTGTGTTGTTGTTGAAAGAGATAGTAAGCTTCTTGTTAAACTTGAAGAAATGTTTCACTCACAAAATAGCTTTCTCTTTGAGATTCTTGGCGACCAGCTGTGTATTTGCTGTGTTTTTTAACATTAGATATAAAGCAATTGCGGTTTCTGATTTAATCTGCAGTACAGTAATAACAATGCAAATGGGGACTCGTATCACTTTTCTGTTTGAACAGGTCCTGTTGAATATATTTTCCTTCCGGAAGAATTTGAATGAAAGCCTTACACTCGGCCGGCTCGCTCCACAGCTTCATCCAAATAATCTGCAGGTCGACAGTAAGTTTTTTTTATTCTTTTAAAAAACTGAAACAAACGTTTTACATTAATATAATAATAATCCTTGCATTTGATACAGCGCCTTATCACGTCTTCAAGGCGTCTCAAAGCGCTTCACAGAATATACTGTAAAGCAAATTGACTGTATATCGTGTGGGCGAAACGCGGCAGCCAATTGCGCACAGCAGTGCTGCCACAATACTGCCCCGGCTCCACGGTATAACAACTCGCTCTGACTGTGTTTGTGATTTTATGTTTTTCAATTTTTATGTTTATACCGACAATACAATGATATTATCAGTGTTCCTTGCACGTGGTACAATGCATTTTATGTCGGGAGGACTGTCTATATCAAAGCGCTTCACAGGATTTACTGTAAACTGTAGGGGTTGTTTATTTTGTAAGCGAACACGACAGCAGATTTGTGCACAGCAATGTCCCACAAACAGCCACGAAGCGAATGACCAATTCTATCTGGGAGAATGCTGGCAAGGACAGCAGGAGAAATTCCCTTTTTTGGGAGAATAACATTCCTCAGCTGTCACTCTGCAATAATGATCAAAACTACCTTTTATTTTTCAGATGAATTCCTGGAGGAAGATGTAGAATTCCTCGAGGATCGAGGTCACGTTGTGGTGAGAGAAGAGATCCTTTCCTCGGTTCACATAGCCAAAAGGGTGAACGATATCATCACCGGTGCAAAGGACCCACGAAGCAGTGACGCGGCTGCATCCGTGATTTCATAGCCAAACGTTCTTTCAGATCGATTTGTTTTTCAGTTCAGCATGAAATCATGAAAGGGAGAAAAAGGCATAAGCAGGGAAAGAGAAGACTGTTGTGTGACAGTATTGGGAGAAGTAGAATTCTGGAGCGATCTATGGGGAAACTCTCCCTCCCTCCTTCCCCAGCCTGGTTTTCATTGATGCTTATAAATGAAAATGGCCTGACTTATACCGCTTGTTAATATTTCGTAACTGGAATTTTAGAGGAGATAAACTGTGAAATGCACGCTGTGGGTCATTGTCTTAGAGCCAAAGCTTGCTGCAGATTTGCTTAGTGGTATCCCCACCGCAGCCAAAGACTAAAGATAGTCATTCCTTCTATTGGATAAAGGCAGAGCCATTTTGCCACATTGATATATTTTCTCAATTCTCATTCAAGAGGATTCCCTGCTCCATTCTCATTTGGGCTCTCTTGTCTGTATCCCTGGATCATGTGAATCCAATCTTTGGATAGCCAATGAAGGTTGAAACTTATATCACCCCAGGCTATCCAATGTATGTGTAGGGTTGCTTGTTTTGAGATAGTCTGTGCCCAGTTAGTTAGAAAGAAATGTTAATAAACATTAAAAAATGCCATTCCTGTGGCCACTTACCCTCCACACCCAAACTAGCTAGATATTCCCATTTTGGGTAAATAACTAGTGACAACAAAACTGTCTTATATTATGAATTTTATTGCTCTAGTTTTCTTCTTTAAGGTGAAATCCATCTTAAATATAGTATTGAATTAGTCACACCTAATATTTTAATTCTTACTGGGGGCTAATGAACTTTTTGGCTGGCCTCCAAGAAGAATGAAGCTCTAAGTAATGGTTTTCCTGAGCTCTTTGGAAATTAATTATTCCAAAACATATATTTTATTAAAAATGAACTGAAGATAATAATAATAATCCTTGTATTTGATATGGCGCCTTATCACGTCTTCTACACGTCTCAAAGCGCTTCACAGATTATACTGTAAAATGAATTGACTGTATTTTGTGGGCGAATGTTGTGTTAACCTGTTGTACACCTCACTGGTGCACAAATTTACGGAGAGGAATTCAGAGTGATAGATGTTTAAAAGAGGTAGATGGACACTGTACTTGGGATATTAAGAAGGATATGGAGAAAAGGTAGGAAAATGGGATTAAAAAATCTGTCATGATCTCGTAAAGCGACGGAACAGGCTCAATGGGCTGCATGGCCTCCTCCTGCTATTTCCCTACGTCTATGGCTGGTAAATGTAAATGCATCAGTGGATGCACCTAGAGAATCTACAATCTTTAAAACAATTGTTTGCAGCGTCTCGTACTCTTCCCCAAATAATAAACCTCCTTGAATAATTTAGATGATTTCTTTTAACACTTCAAATTAAAATCTGATACAATATATACGATTCATCTAATCTTTCAAAAAGTAGCATCTTAAAAATAATTTCTCATCTCTTGTGCATTATTTAATGCATCGGAAGTCAACTCAGCATTATAAATGCTGGCCCTTTGACAAAGCTATTCCTTGAGTTACTTCCTGATGTTTGCTGAATAAGCTCAATTTAAACAGGGCAGCAGTTTTGAATTATCTTAGCACCGTGAGCGAGATAAAACATCTGCCAAGGGTCCCAATTGTTATTTAATGATTCCTGCTGGAAGCTTCTGAGGATGAACTGTGGGTCAATGGTTGAATAGACAGCCCACACTCAACTAACTAGCCTTATGCACAAAGGATGGTTACTTGGGAAAAGAACTTGAGGAAAGTCAGTTATCAGAGATTGTTGATGTTGCTTCACCAGAATTCAACAACTTCAGTAGATTGGGGGAGTGTAAATCGGAAGAGTGGCCAGGAAACGACGGAAATTTATAGGTAAATAGGCCACCAAAAGGCTGGTTCCATCTTTTATGCTACACGATTGATGAAAGCTGGTGTCAAACCACAGAGAAATTATCCTGTCCGATTGGCTAGTTTCTGTCGGTTTACTTGGGAAGTCTTGGGTTCTGCCCTTACTAAATTATTAACCAAACATTCACTGGAAGGTACATTTTATTTGCACTTTAGTTGATAGACTTTGATTAGTGTTCTGTATAATTGTTTGATGTTGGGTGATGAAAAAAAACATGTGAAGTGTGAATATTTTGGATCATATTGTAACGATTGTCACTGAAAATGCAGTAATACATTACTCTGTATTGTTACTGGTGAATGATGTGACTGCTTAATTTAAGTGCTTAAGAGTTCAAACCAATGCCAAGGGTTTCCATACATACAATGTCTTACTTATTCAGTTGCTGTTATGGTACAGTTTGCTCTGTAAATAAAGTACCTTGTTGAATAAAACTGGAATGTGTATATTTTATGCAAAGTTTTTGTTAATAACTAAGATGGAATCTTCATGGTTACTGCCTTGTCAATGAGAAGCTTGACCAGAAATTGAAAGCTCTAAATTATTTTTTCACTTAAGAATCATAGAGGGCATTAAGAATTATAGAGAAAATAGGGATTTCAATTTACTATTATTTTCAGTTTATTTTGAAAGATTTCCTATCTTATTATCTGTGTGGGGAATGGATAGAACCAAAATCAATTTTCACTGCCTTTGGAAAAGTAGTGTTCTCTTGGCTCACTTGATAGCACTCTACAATTTTTTTTTAATGTTTTATTGCATCCAGGTCCTGACTTTAACTTCCGATTGAGGAGGTAGTGGGGTCAAGCTACAAATCAGGACTTCAATTCAATTTGTATTCTACAGGGAGGCCTACGTTTGCTAAGGAGGGAGTGCTACGTTGTTGGAGGTGGGACACTGTGTGCAAATTGGCTGCCCTGTTATTCCACAAAGTACTCAGTCACAGTCCTCACGTTTTGACTATAATGTACAATTAATTTGAAACTACGGTAGCTCGTGTACGTTGTAAGACGTTAACAGTAAACATCCCCATAATATTATGAAAAAAAATTGGTCACTCAATCTGACTGTGGGACAGTGTGTGGAATGGCGGGGGGGGGGGGGGCTGCCGTGTTTCGCGATAGATGAAGTGCTATGTCAAAGGCAAGGATTGTTATAATATGGGGACTATTAGGAGGGGTGGGGGAGAGGGGGGAAAATAAGAGAATCAATGGCTTTTCAGCACATTCCCATCCCACGCATTCACCTCGCTCCACGAATATTCCCACAGCCACCCCGCTCCCTCCCGAGCCTTGTTCAAGGCACACCTCGAGACCATCCTCTTTCGACCGCGCCTCTGGCAGCTCCCCTACCCTTCCCATCGCTGCTCCGGATCCCAACGCTGACCTCCACCCCCGCCCCCCCCCACCCCCCCCCCCCCCCCCCCCCGCACCAACCCATCACCAACCCCCCCATCACCAACCCCCCCATCACCAACCCCCCCCCATCACCAACCCCTCCCCATCACCAACCCCTCCCCATCACCAACCCCCCATCACCAACCCCCCATCACCAACCCCCCCATCACCAACCCCCCCCTTAGCTCGGGTCCAAACCCTCCCCATAATAATGCTCTAATACAGTGTGGTACAGTGTGTCAGGAGGAAGGTCAAGCCAATGCCCAACAGATGGGGTGGGTGGGGGGGGGGGGGGTCAATGACGTCACGCGAGCTAGTGCCCTTTGCTGATTGGTCGGGGCTCGGGGACCAATCAGGTGGGCCGTTACTGGCAGGATGGGAGGCCGGACCAATGGGAGCGCGGGACAGTGCGGGGTCGGGGCCTGGGGCCGGGGCCGGGAGTCGTTCGGTGTTAATTTGTTTTTAATGGTGGGTTTTTTTTTTGCTTTTTTTTTTCCCCCCCAACTCTCCCTCTCTCTCTCTCTCTCTCCATCTCCATCTCCTTCCTCTCCGCCTTCTTCTTCCTCTTCTTCTTGTGGTGGTGGTGGTGGTTGTCGTCTGTTTGTTTGTTTGCTTGTTGTTGTTGTTGTCGTTGACGGGTGGCGAGGGAGGGAGAGGGAGGGGAGAGGGAGGGGGAAGGGAGAGAGAGAGCGGGAGGGGGGGGAGAGGGGGGGGGGGGAGAGAGAGCGGGAGGGGGGGGGAGAGGGGGGGGGGGGGAGAGGGGGGGGGAGAGGGAGGGAAGGGGAGAGAGAGCGGGAGGGGGAGAGAGAGCGGGAGGGGGAGCGGGGGAGAGAGAGCGGGAGGGGGGGGGAGAGAGCGGGAGGGGGGGGAGAGAGAGGGGAGGGGGGGGAGAGAGAGAGCGGGAGGGGGGGGAGAGAGAGAGCGGGAGGGGGGGGAGAGAGGGAGGAAGGTGGGGGAGAGAGAGCGAGAGGGAGGGAGGGGAGGAGAGGGAGGGGGGGAGCGAGAGGGAGGGGGGGAGAGCGAGAGGGAGAGAGGGAGGGAGGAAGGTGGGGGAGAGGAGCGAGAGGGAGGGAGAGAGAGGAGGGAGTTTTGGTCGTTTTTTTTACCCCCCCCCCTTGCCGTGTGTGTCCTTCTGATATTGAGGTAAAGTTTTTATATTATATATATATATAGAGAGAGAGATGGGGGGAGAATAAAAAAAATTAAGAGACGAGAGGACACGTTCAAGGTGGCAGCAGAGGCAGAAGAAGAAGAAGAAGAAGAAGACAACATCGTCGAGGAATGGGAGAGTGAGGAGGAGGAGTGTTGAAGCCGGCGAATGTGTGTGTGTGTAGGTAATGGAAAGGCCTTGTACGTGGGATGGGAGAGGAGAGGATGGAGGGAGGGAGGGAGGGAGGTTATGTAAGTGGATGGAGGGAGGGAGGTTATGTAAGTGGGCTCTTCCCCCCCCCCCCACCCACCTGGGCTGTCTGTTAGGCCAACAGCAGAGGGAGAGATATCGAGTGTGAGTGTGTGTGTGAGAGAGAGGTAGGGAGGAGAGGGTGTGAGGGATGGATGGAGGGAGGGAGGAGGAGGGAATGGCTGGTTTTGTGAGTGGAGACAGCAGAGAGGGAGTGAGTGAGAGAGGCAGGAGGGAGAGGAGCCGGCACTGCATTGCAAAGACAGAGGGCCTCACTCAGTGTATAGCTTTCAAACTCTCTGTGTGTCACTTAACAGATTGTGCCAATCCCACTTTACCCCCCCCACCCCCCCTCCCAGGGAGACAGTGGAAGTAGGAAATGTTGTTTGTTTCAAGAACAAATCAGATAGATTTCTGCTAGAAAATAATATCTGGGGATTACAGTGTATAGTTTGGGACACGACATGTCAAGGGACTGCCAGGATAGTGGAAGGCAAACCAGGTGGACCTTGGTCTTCTTTCGCCAGCAAATTCTTATGTTCTTATTATGTATTTATTTATTTACACTGTGACAATGTCAACTTGCAGAATAACTTTTGCATGACAGTTGTGTCCATCCACCAGTTTCTGATGGTTTTATTTACTGGAATAGAACTAACATGCCACATCCTGGAAATGATATTTTTATTTCTTCGTTTAGTTGATTTTCCTTTATCTCTTCCTGTTTGTATTCCACGCTACTTTTGTATGAAAGTTACCTTCTCTGAATATATTGTGTCACTGTTAAAGTGAGTAGGGTGGTATCAAAGCATCATATTAATAATAACAATAATAACCCAGTATTTCATATAGCAGTTTATCACGTTGCCAAACTGTCTCCAAGCCCTTCACAGGAATGTTACTTGTGTAGTGAGTGTATTTTTATGTTGCATTTTCTTGATAAATACTTTTGCATAGATGGAAATTTAACTGAATGTTTTGGCAGCCTAATCAGTAGTATTTCAGTGCATAAGTGTGCACTAAAATTATTTTTTTGCGGGGGATTGTACAATTACTGAAACAGTTATTGATTCTTTATACAGTGTTTTGATTTTGCTCCATTTTGTGGAAGGTTCATAAATGTTGCAGTGAATTTAGTCATTCACTTCATGGCTTTTGGTGGGGCATTAGTAATTGCAAATAAGCTGCCATATCTGCATTTGAATACACAGTCACTACAATTGACAGCAATTACATCTAAAACACTTTTGAGATGTGTCAACATTCTGTTTTCAATGCTATGTGTACATCAAATGCAAGGATGATTGCCTTTTGAAAGGAACTTTATTTAATAGATCTTGCAGATGTCTTTGAATTCCTCTATTAATTGTACTTTCAAAATGTTTTCCTAATATTTTTATATTGAAGTCTCTGCAGGATAAATTAGCGTCAGTACGTCGAATTTACCTAGCTGGTACTGACTACCATTATTTTTTGGTCACAGTAGTGGAGTTTGTATTTTTCTGAAATCCTATTCACCTGTGCTTTTTTATTTGTACATAATTGTGATGCCATCGCTGTAAGATTACAAACAATCTGTGTGCCATATATAGATACTGGGAAGTGATTAAAGAGGGTAATCTTATCAATAGTACAATTTAATATTCTCCAAAACATGAGATCCCTAATTTCTATGTGTGCAGTGGCCTGCTTGCGTAGAAGTACAGTATAAACAGTTTATCTTGTAAGACAGCTACATGAATCATTTGATATGGTATTCTGAGCCAGTTTATGTGTTTCTGCTTTGGAGGTTTCCATTTGTACTTGGTCTTGGTAAGACTGCTCATTTTTAATGTGGTCTTTCTTAAACATACAAAGTTATTCCATCTATCACGCTTTGAGTTAAAGTGCTTTATGCTGATTATATCAGTTTTTGTATGAATTTTTTTCCAATATTTTTCCCTGGTATCTTTTCTATAATTATACTCCTTGCATTTGAAAATACAAAGATTTGTAAAAATTGTAATGTATCGTGGGCAGATCAGAAAAGTACAGTGCATTTTCTGTTGAAGTTTGAACCTTTAAAGAAGCAATGCCTCCCTTTTTCTGGTTTACATGATTGAATAACACTGTTCGATGTGAAGAAGGAATGTAAAAAATGAGGAAGACCATTATGAAAATGGATAATTTTATTTTAAAAATAGATGAATTGTAAAATTTTATATTAAAAGAAGCTGGCTCGGGAGCGCAGAATTCCCTAGAGCCATGGTTTAATTAATATTTTACATAGCTTTGAATATTGGTTTTGAAAAGCATGTGACTGTAAAAATGTTTGGACATCCTTATTAATTCTTTCATTTTGATACCAGCCTTGTTGTGCTCACTATCCTGCGCCAATCTGAAGCATTAAAAGAATGGATTCAGATGACCTGCCAAATCTAGAAGGTACATTTACCACTGTGAGGGCAACGACAATTGAAGATATGGATCTGGGTCTGGTTCTCGGAGAGGAAGAATTGAGCCTGGAAGTCAGCGATGTTGATTCCACAGTGTTGATAGCATTTCGGGGGAACATGAAGGATGCTGACTTTACCAATAAATTAGACACAATTATTAACAACATGCCATGCCTTCTGGATATTGGTAAGGATTTAACTGAACTCGTATCATCAGTAGTGAATGGGTTAAACAACTATTTGATTAGATTGAGTAATATTAAAGTGATTTTATATTCCCAGATTTTTAAGTCATTTTTATTCTCACCCACTTTGCTGTAATGTTGACTGGAAATGGCTGAGGTTGTGTTTTACTTAAAAATTACTGTTGTGGTGCAACATTTTGGATTAAGCAAAAGAACAGGAAAGTTAGGATTAAAACCATTTTTCAGATTTATCTGGTATTAATATTAGTTACTATAATTTGATGTACTGTATTTGAAAATAATTCAGAAGTCAACATTAGTTTGAAGGGTTAGTGGCGAAGTAGTGTTGAGAAAGCTATTAAAGTACGTGTTTTTGTCAGGATCTGAGAGATTGAGGCTACAGAAAGTGGAACCATGGAATAGCGTTCGGGTAACGTTTAATATTCCCCGCGAAGCTGCGGAGCGATTGCGGCTGATGGCTCAGAATAACAACCAGCAGCTGCGTGACTTGGGAATCCTCTCCGTGCAGATTGAAGGTATTGAGTTTTGTTTTCCCTCTTTCAAAGTTTACTCTCTGTTAGGAGTGGTTCTTGCAGTTTTTGTTGGCATTGGAGATTGTTTCCATCATTGTTAATCTCAACTTCCCTTTCCCTTTCTGTACTTACTGTACTTACACAACAGTGCAGTTCTGAGGAAGTGCTGCATTGTCGGAGGTATCATCTTTTGGATGAGACTTTTAACCAAAACTTGTTCGGGGGAGTGGGGGGCTATGAAAGATTTCATGACACTATTTGATGATTTTTGATGCGTAATAACATTTTATTTCTTTACCCCAACTTTACACTGTTAACTGATTCAAAATCCAGAGCATTCTCTCTTACACCAAAACCTGAGAAAAGGGGGGTGGAAAAGGCTTTCTTTCACATAATTGTTTTAGACTTTTAAAATAAGACATCTAAAATGTCCTGAAAGCTTTTTTGTGTGTTTTAAACTGAGATTCATTATTTTCAGGCGAGGGGATAATTAACTTGGCTTTAGTGCAGCACAGAGGACAAGAGGTCAGGATAAATGGCCCTGTGAATCAGATCCGAATGGAACCAGGAGGTCAAGGTAAATCAAATATTTTACCGATCCATATTCCGTTATCTAGTCAATCCACAAAGAAAGGTCTATAATCGCATTTTTTTGCAAGCAAACCTGAACTTTTTCCATAGAAATGTTTTCTGTTGTTTTATATCTGGTAGAATTATTCTGTAACATTTCATACTTTTCTTATCCTCTTTCTCCTTCTCCTAAACTACTGAGTAAGTAATATTCATTTTTGGGGTACCATTCATGGTGCTAGTGTTAACACTATTGGTCTCTTTTTTACATTCAATGATTTTGGGATAAATGCATGGAGGAATATATGTTTTAAATTGATATAAATTAAATTTAAATACAGCAAGGATAATAGTCTAATATCAAGTCTAATATGCAGTGAATTATGCTATGTTACAGCAGATGGTGTACAGTTTTGAGAACTGTAATGCACATTGGTTCTGCTAGAAAAGTGATTACAAAATGAATTATATTAATGGGCATCAGAAAAATATTTGGAGAGTATTCTGAAATAATTATTTGAAAGAGCAGCACAACAAATAACTCCACGGCATTGCAATTCAATATTTTTTCTTTCTGTTAGGTTTGATTAGAGTTAGTAATCCATCTGCTGTGATGCTCCCTTCGACTAGCAATGTGGGGACATCCTTGATTGGTGGTGGACCAAGTTCAGAGCTGCTACAAAACCGAGGTCCACATCAGGCTCCTCGACCCATGTCACAGTCTGGTAAGGAAGAAGTTCATTCTTAAAACCCTGTAGAGAGATGTGCCTACATTAACATGTACTTATTGGGATCCTTCATACACCCAAGCACTAAAATAGCATATTTTCTCTGGTTCAAGGCAGAGTGAAAGATAAAATAGTAATTATAATGAAAAAGGAGCTCCAAATTACAAACTGAAAAGGTAGGGCAAAAGGAAAGGAGAGGAATATCCATTTGAAATCTGGATTGCAAACAATCGTGCAAAACTCATTTGTGAATTATTTTTATCTCCAGAATGTGACACTTTTGTGCATTATTTGAAGCGTTCAGTTGCGAGCTGACAATGCCTGAGGAAGTCTGTAACAGACAGTTTATAGCTATCTCTGAAATGATGAACCTGGCAGAATGTTGACTTATATTGAATGATCAAATGTAATATTTTGTTTTCTTTAAATATCTGCAATTAAAATACAATAATAAACTTCCAGTCATATTACATCCTTGAAATTTCCAAATTAAATGCAAGTGTGTTGTTTTGTTATTGTTTAGGTATGGATCCTATCCTGTCAAATCTAAACCTGCAGTCTGCGGGTCACCCTTCTGGATCATTGCCTCCACAGCCTCACCCTATGCAAACAATGTCGATGAACAGACAGATAGCACCAGCTAATCTACAGCAGCACCAACAACAGCAGGGAGGCCGTCCATTCAATCCTGCTCAGATCTCCATAGCTGCCACGTGGAACCAAGCCTCAGCAGGGGGACTTCAACCTCCTCCCCAGGGGCCCATGGGAACCATGGCCAGTCAGATCTGGAAGAAAGCCCCTGGACAAATGCAACCTCAGCAACTTCAGACCAGACCTTCTCTAGCCACTGTCCAGACACCACCTCACCCTCCCCCTCCCTACCCATTTGGAAGCCAGCAAACCGCTCAAGCCCATCAGTCATTTTCTCAAGTCTGCAGCTCACCACAGTTTGCATCGCCGCCCCCTAAGAGCCTTCAAGGTGGACCTTCTCGAGTGCCTACACCCTTACAACAACCTCACTTAACGAACAAGTCACCGGCCTCATCTCCATCCTCTTTCCAGCAGAGCTCCCCATCATCGTCGCCCACAGTGAACCAGCCACAACAGCATATAGGATCCAGAGCACCACAGAGCAGCTCCCACCCTCAGGCATTCCAGCCCACCGTGTGCCAGAGTTCTCCCAGCCGAGGGCCTATGGTTCAGCAGGGAAATTTGCTGATGATGCAAGCAAATCAGGTGGCACAGAATTTACATTCTGGTATGGGAAGTAAGTATTACAGTTTTTGGTTCAGTTAAACTCGGCTATTAAACATTGTGATTGTCTTACGCGATTATATTCAGTAACTGGATGAAATGCTAGGCCAGGTTTGCAGATATTCTTGGAACTTGTTGTATATTAATAAAGCCCTCAAATGTCTCTTCCCCCTGAAATAAATTGAATACCAATAGTTGATAAAAGATTCTATTTTTTTCTCTCTCTCGACAGAAATGAGAAGAAATTTCATTCAGTTGTTTTTTTTCCTATCCCCCCCCACCACATCTTTCTGCCAGCTTCTTATGTTTCTGTAGATAAATGACAAACCCATTATTGTGTAATATCTGATTCCATGAAGGGACATTAGCAACATTTATAGACGCTTTGATGACTATTCTTCTGAATGAGAATTGATTAGGACAGGTATTGGCAATCAAATTAACAAAAACATGTTTATTATTCCTCCCTTAGACATGCCAAAACACCTTCCACCAGTTTTTTCTGTAGGACAGCCCAATCAAAACTTCAACCAAGGCCAGGTAAACCAAGGTGTTATATCTGGCACCTCAATTAACAGTGGACCTCTACAACTGCAGCCCAATCAGACTATACAACATACAGGTTGGTACTTCAGACAACTAAAGCTGCTTTTGTATTGGATAATTTAGTTCCTAGCAAGTGCAATATAAATAATGGAAAGTTCTCATTATTTATGGGGGGAAAAATAGCATGGTGCCAATGACTAAAGAATGTATTTTAGTAAATCTAATGATCTGGGTAAATAATTAAGTCAGCATTTTTTATTTAAAAACTGATATTGGGAGCCTTTTGTATCCATCCAGTCAAATTAGCTCTCATTACCCTCTTGTGAAACTTTTAAAGACATTTGAGTGTCGTGAGTATATATTGATGAGAGAATAATCTCTCACGTGCAAATAAAGGGACAGTTAAAAATAAAGTATCTAGAAGCACATACTTCGAGAAGTCCTGGTATCATCCCACGTTTTTGTTCGAAAATAGTTCTGAATGTTGTGAGATACCATTGCCACTGTTATATTTCATCCCTCCCCCACCCCAATAATTCAGAAGTCGCGATTAACCAATCTTCTAGTAATCTGGCAGTGTGTTGCTGTAATGTTTCTTAGAACCACTGAGATTCTCGAATATTCCCTTTCTCTGCTACTATTTCTAATGCAGTTCTTTCTTCCTCGTGTCTGTTTCCCGGTAGGATTGGGAAAGAGAGCTGTAAATGTTGATGCAAGATTAGTTTGGAATAAAGTGTTTTTTTTTTGTTTCTAGGTGGTCCAGGTAATGCTACTTCACAAAATTCGATGAATATCCAGGCTCACGGGCCACCGAATGTGATGCAAACAAATCTGGGACTTCACGGAAACATGAATAATCAGCAGTCGGTTAGTGGTCCTCAAGGGAATATGGGTAACGTACAGGGACAGCCTCAGTCACAGCTGATTGGAATGCACCAACAGATTGCATCATCACAAAGTCAAATGCTGAATGTTCAATCTCAAGGTCTACATCCGTCAAACCAGATGATCATTTCACGTCCGCAACTCATCCAAAGCCAAATGATGATGGCGTCCTCCCAAAGCCACAGCATTGGTCTGACGGGGCAGAGGATGACTCCACCCAAGCAACAAATAATGGCTACTCACGGGCAACTAACAGGGCCCCAGGGTCAAGTCATCCTCCAGCAAAGCCAGATGATGGGGCTCCCCGAACAGATTGTTGTTAGTCAGGTGCAGGGAAACAAACAAGGGTTCAATAATCCGAACCCGCAGAACATAATAGCGGGGCAAGGCCAGATGATGAGGGGACCCGCCACAAACTCGCAAGGTAACATGGTTCAGTTTTCCACGCAGATGATTCAACAGAGCTCTCTGAATGCCAATACTCCCCAAGGAATTGCAATGCAGGGGCAAGTACTTAGGCCGCCAATACCTCACCTCGCTCAGCAGCATGGGGACCCTGCCTCATCAGCCAATGATGTCAACCTAACACAGATGCTGCCTGACGTGCAAATGCAGCAAAATGTGGTTCCTACTCACATGCAGACCATGCAGGGCAATAACCCGGCCGGGCCACATTTTGGGATGCCCTTCAACAACACTTACGGCGCCAATATGAGTGGGGGTCAGATGGCGATCCCCAATGCTTCTGGCTTTCCTGGCAACAAGGACATCACTCTGACCAGCCCGCTGCTTGTAAACCTGCTGCAGAGTGACATCACGTCGGCACAGTTTGCCATGAACAACAAACAGAACAACCAGAATGCCAACAAACCTAAGAAAAAGAAACCATCGCGGTCACAGAAGAAGAAGGGTGGAGCTCAGCAGCCGGAGGAGCAGTCCCAGCATTTGTAAGTGAATTATTTCATTGCTCTCTACAAAAATAGCATTAAATTTTTTTTTCATCTTTTCAAGGGCATTTCATTATCAGTCATTTGAAAGTATTAGATAACGGAAATGTCCCGACACGTTACAATGCTGGTGCTGTGAATTTGAAGAGTACGGCCTTAATTATTTAATAAGTGACATACCGTTGTACATTTTTTGGAAAATATTTTCCTTTATTTTATGTAACATCTCTCCCATCCCCATGAAAATGGAATGTTTGCAAGGGGTCAGCCCCCAGATATTTGTAATAAGAATTTTGAAATATAATTAAATACTTAGTGTTGGAGGGAAGTTAATGTTCAGCTTTGATACCATGCTGTTTTTTTTCCCCTCGTGGCCAATGGTTGCTGCTGATCACTGCTGATATCGAGCCATAGATGGAGAATTGTTTGTCTTTAGGAATCCGACATGAGGCACAATGTACTGGAGTATCAACAATCTTGCCCGACCTGCCACCCTGCTAGCAAATAATTTTATATCTGAAATAACGTGTTTTTCAAATATTATTCACTCCTTTTACTTGTTTTAGAGTTTCAGATGCCCATCAGCTGCAGCAGGGTCTGGATGATGCAGAACAACAACAAATACCAGTAGAACAGGGAGTAGGAATGGATCCGGTAGCCAATAAATTACCTGAATTTGCAAGTCGACCCGGAGGTAAAATACATTTTCTTTTACAGTTTATAAATTTTTCCTGTTTTCTTGAGGATTCTGACGACATGAAAAGTGGTGGGAGGGGCACCAGATGTGGTGCTATCTCCGATCACTTTGCATCTATCCCAGATGGTGATTGTTGGCCAGCTACTTCACCATGGAGGGATATCAAAACTGATATTGTCTTCGTCTGACATTTATGCTTAATGCATTTTCCAGAAGAGGTGATTGGTTACCCCGATGGATTTTTTTTCCCCCACCCTTTTAAGAAAATTGATTCCCTAATCAATTAAACTTCCTTTTTAGGTAAAGTAGTGACATCTTCCCAACGTTCAAAATAATGTTTAAGATCCTTGATAAATAATCGGCAAATGTCGATGGCTAAAAATAATGTGAAATGCTGGATTTTTCTGAGAAAGGAAATAGGATATCACTTTAAAATGAAATAAATAAAAAAATTAAAATTTCTTGTAGGGAACCAACTTCATATTTATTTACCATGTGTAGACATGTGTATTTATGATCAATGTTACGTTCTGTTATAGGATTCCACATGCAAGCAGTTGATCAGAGAACTTTGCAGCCTACGACTATTCAACCCATGCAACACGCACAGCAGCAACAACAGACACAACTACAGCCTCTACAGCAGCAGCAACAACAACAGCAGCAACAGCAGCAGATGATGATGATGCTAATGATGAAGCAACAACAGCAGCAGCAGCAGCAACAACAGCAGCAGCAACAGGACCCATCTAAGGCCATTAAGATTCCAATGACTCCAGGCCCACATCCACAGAAGACTCCCTTGACTCCTGATGTTTCAAGAATGCCAATGACCCCAACTGGTAGTATGCCGGTCATGGTTAGTTTGCCTGGCCAAACTGGAGTACCTCCCTCACCGGACAAACCAAGAATGCCCCTGTTAGTTGGCCATCAAACTGGCAACTCTCTAAGGAAAATGCCCTTCCAGGAAAATCTACAGAATGTTCCATCAGCAACCGAGGAAGGAAACCCACCTACACACCAAGAAGGAATGGGACCTGACCTTCCGCTTTCTGTTGTTCAAACCAATTCAGGACCACAGTCTGTTCCTCCACCTAACCAAGTACTTATTACTGGGGCAAAACCAGGACATTCACAGATCACAGCACCTCAGGGCACAGGCCAACAGCAGCAAGCAACTATTTCTTTGCAAGGTGCTCACAATCTTCATTTCCCGAACTCTACTGCGAATACTCAGACCTCTAGACCAAAAACACCAAACCGAGCAAGTCCCAGGCCCTACTTTCCTCATACTCCCACTAACCGACCATCCAGCACCGAACCCTCAGAGATCAGTTTATCTCCTGAGAGGCTGAATGCTTCTATTGCAGGTCTCTTTCCTCCACCAATCAATATCCTCCCGCCTCCTCGGCAGCACCCGCTAAATAGAGGATTTGATCAACAAGGTCTAAACCCAACCACTCTGAAAGCAATTGGTCAGGCACCATCAAGCATGCCTTCAATCTCCAATAACCCGCCCATTCCCACTGCTTCACAAGTAAACAAACTGGATACAGTGATCGTCAGTTCAGGAAAACAAGGAACTGGGAAGCGAGCGAGTCCCAGTGCCAGCAGGAGGGCTAGCACTGGTTCTGGGAGAAAAACTGGTCAGATCCCAGTCAGGCAAGGTGCAAAAGCCTTGAAAGCCCCCTCAACCCCTCAACAGAATCCAGCACTTTTGTCGAGTATGGATGTACAGAAGAATGTTCCAGTGAATTCTGGCCCAGTTTCGGCGAGTTCCGTTACTGGCAACTCGAGCGATCCTATAAATAGCACTTCAGGTATGCAAAATCCAGCAGTTTCTATAAGGGTTTGGAGTAACCCTCCCGAAGACCTCAAGGAAGTTCATAATCCACCTGGAAATGATGCATTGAAACAGTTGGCCTCCATTAATAAAGAACAGACGAGTTTGGAATGTAATCCTCTGAGCATAAGCAAGCAGGAGAAGAGTAATGTTTCTGAGTCTCAAATAAAGAACGGAAATAAAGCTCTGGAAATCAGCAAGTCCAGTGATGAGAAAAGTGTGGCTTCACCAGTTGTAAGAGAAGCTCCAATTTCACTAAATCAGTTGCTGGACAGTTCTGGTGCACCCAACGTTACAGTTAAGCCCATTGGATCCAGTCCAGTGGAACATTCTGGAGACAAAGATAAAGCAGTAACGTCAGGCCAACCTAATGTTACAGAAAACGCGAGCACATCAGTCTCATCACCACAAGTCGTTGGTGAGAACAGCTCAGTCACATCACAACAAGATTCAGGAGCATCAAATACTTCTGTGACTCAAAGTGGCCCGGCAACGATACCCACACCAGTGGTATCAGCATCCATTTCTGCTTCAAATCAAATTACAGTTTTTGTAAGTTCCAGTCCTATTAGGTCCACAGCTAATGTTTCAGCACCTGCACAAGCCCAAATCCAGCCCGCCATGGTTTCCTCTGTCAGTTCATTGCCATCCATATGTAACAAAGTAATAGTATCTGAGGCCCTGCCAGTGGTACAGTCCAGTTCACAGTCAACACTTCTAACGGCACCTGTCTTTCTAAATACATCTCTGTTCAAGGTTGTGAAAGAACCTCCAATATCTCAGTCAGCCACAGTGCCTAGTGTATCCATGCCCGCAACATCCACTTTAGCATCGAAGTCTGTTGCTGTAGTTGAAGCTCTCCAGGTCTCACCTAATGTTCCAGTTTCATCATGCCCTGGAGTCTCCACCACAGCATCATCTGTCAGTAGCTCCACGAACTCCACTGCTGGACCAACAAATAGAACTGCAGTTCAGATATCACCTGCGTCTCCTCTTCAACCTCTGTCCGGTTCTCCAGCCCCTCCAAATGCCTCGTCACCCTCTCCTCACAGACCAGCCGTGGACGCTGCCCTCAGTGAGCCTCTTCAGAATTCTGCCACCGTGGTTGACCAAAGTTCTCCAGCTTCATCTCAGCCAACGGCAGTTGCAACGTCACCTACGTCAGGTAGCCCAGGTAGCTCTTCTAATAGTAGACGAAGTCCAATTTCATCCACGAAAGGAAGAGGGAAGGTAGATAAGATTGGTCAGTTCCTTATGACCAAGGCATGTCAAAAGGCATCCCCTGATAAAAAAGATGACCTTTCAGCATCTGAATTGGCTTCTCCAGGTGTTGACGATCAGGTGCAAAGAGCAACGGTTCCCAGTAGTGCTGAAGGAGGAGCTCCTCCTACAGAAGCTAATCAGACCACTAATCTTCCTTCAGCTAGTCATCCAGACGTAGGCACTTTTGTTAACATCATACTTGGTACAACTAGCAGCTCTACTTCTACTGTTTCTGTTTCGTCACCTGCAAGTTCATTGAATAGCACTCCTCAAAGCAATGTAACGTCGGCCATCTCTCCCCAGAACCCTGTAGTACCTGTTGGTGATAGCTGTCTTGCACTCTCACAGTCTGAGGGAAGATGTATGTCAGCAGAGAGAGTGGGAACAAATAAAGAACATCTTCCAAATACAGGTATCTAGTTGGTACTCTGCATGTCACTGCAGGATTTTTTTTATAAACTAAGTAAATATTAACTTGCAGTCTTTTTTTCCAATTTGAATTTCTGACTAGGAATCATTTTACGCCTTCCATTGAAATGTCTCCCAGCGCATCACATTGTATTTGAAGTGTAGTGGAATATTACAATGGCCAAAATGGCAGTTAATCTGCACCAAGATTATCCCACATTCAGCAGTGCAACAAATAGTTTTTGAGTTGTTTGGATGAGGGAGGAATATGGGCATGAGCAATGTTCAAAATAGATAACCAGGATCATTTCAAGTCCACCTGATCCACTAAATGGGCAGGAGGAATCTGAAGTTGATAATTTATGGTTTTTTTAGCCTTAAAATTATAGTTTATCTTTTGTCACCAAATATATATGGAACCATTTAAAGTTTAGCTCCAGTATCGTGTGTTTTTATTCTCCTCCATGCCCCCTCGTTAAGTCCATGACCTGGAAAATCGACATTTAATGGTTATAGTCTTGAGTTCTAGCTCTGGCAAACCCCTGGTCATATTTTTAGACATTTGTTTGCCAGCATCATCCTAATTACATTTAAGGCAGTTTCCAGTACTGTGTGCAGATCATTAACTTTTATTTCTTTCTGCCTTTCTTCTTCCCTCAACATTGGTTGCATCGCAGTGTTTTCTGTTTTACAGTGGATACTGGTAATGCAACATGGAATATTGTTTTGATTATTGAATGCACATATTTCTGAGCTTAACCATGTCCACAGAAATGGGTATCAGCAGGTTGTGCCTTAAACTTTGTCTAATTTCAAGTTACTGAATGGTTAGTAAGGCAACCATATGTGTGGATTTCTCTGTCCTTTTTCTATATCTTCCCTTACTTTTAAAAATCTACGCTCAAGAGTGAAGGGAACGAAGGAGTATGGGAAGGGGATAGGGAGAGGCTCACATTGAACATAAGAAATGCTAGACAAAAAAAGACCAAGGTCCATTCAGATCGCCTCCCACCTTCCTGGCGGTCCCGTATGAACATATGTCGCGAATTACCTGTGTATTAATCCCATAATGTTATTTCCTAAAAGAAAACTATCTAATCTGTGTTTGAAAGAATCAACACTGGGTGTAGAAAAAACGGCACAGACTAATTGAACTGAATGGGCCATGGCACGTTTTGGTGCTGTACAGCCTATGTAAAGCTATACCTTTGAGTAAACTGTTGACAGTGACCTCATGTGGAATATTTGTGAGGTAACCCCCAGAAAGCCATTTCTCCCATTGTTTTTTATTTAAAATTTTTAAAAAATTGTTAACTGCCCCTTCAGCCAAGTGACTCACTGCCACTTGAAGGCCAGGAGGTGACCTGTTTTAATTCTCTTTGATTATTTTGCTTTCGTTCCAACTATTTTCACGAACGTCATCTTAAGACAACGGGATTGTTTTCCTCCTGTTTGCCATCTCTGTAGGTATGTGCCAAGGTTTCATTTCATTCACCTTCTTAGAACATTATTAGCAAGGTTCTGATTGTTGGAATACCACCACAGTATAGCACCCTAAATTAATATTATGAAGATATTAAGACACATATGTACAGCAGTTAAACCAATCTGATGTACCTGTGAAATATCCCACTGCAAAATTTACATCCCCCCTTACTTATTGCTTACTGCTAACATTCTGTAAGTGTCAGACACTTCTCAAAATACTTCTTGTATTATCAATACAAGTATAAAGTCATTAAAAAAAACATGGTCACCAATCCATACTTTTTGTATATTTCTATTGTTTAACAGGTGAAGAGAATTCAGAGAAAAAAGAGACTTTGGAGTCTTCAGAGAAAGGACCCTTGACCACAAGTAAGTCATTTTTGAGGTCCTGTGAAGATGGTGTTTAGAGTTTCTTGTCATGCGCAACTTTTATGATTAAACTAATCTTCACTCAAACTGAATTCTTATTGAAGCGCTGATCTTTTTCCAATACAAGTTTCAGGACATACAGAATAACTATCAGTTGCGTATAACACAGTGTATTTCAAACTCTCAGCGCTTTGGGACATCCTTCCAACGTGAAAGGAGCTATATATTTTTGTTTGTTTATATCATTTGAGTTAGATAAACAAATTAGTACCTGAATTTTAGGCACTTTTTACTCTTTTCTCTTATTTTTTGAACAGTACCTGAAGTTGCTCCAGATCAGGAGTCATCCAGTAGAGTGCAACAAGGGACCATTTTGAAAAACGGTAGGACAGTCCTAATCTGCATGTGGTATCTTCAGATCGATAGTTATTTTATAACATAGTGCTTGGATGCCAGACCCTCTGATTTGTTGAGAGGTCCTATGCCAGTGAATTTCTCAAGGCGAGAGTTTAAACTAAAACCAATTGGGAAGAATTGTGTAGTTGTTTTACAAGAAAGAGAACTGAAAGGTTTATAGTGGCCATACTTATAAAAGCAGAATTTAATTTGCTTTAGTTTTATTGGGCTTGCCTACTTGTATCTCACCTATAAAGATTTATTTATATATACTCCAGATTTATCTGCTCCTCTAATGAATTTTCCACCTGTAATCTTTCCATACTTCCCTGTGTGGCATGTTAGTCCTTATTGAATGTCTTGTAAACACTGTGTTGTACAATTTTATCAAAACTCGTCCTAAAAATCCAGACATAGGAAAGAGATTACTGGGTTCTGACTGCTAATTTGAATGATATTTCATGCTGACAGTATTGTGTTTGTGGGAACTACCTTTTTGTAGCAAAACAGTAGAATTGTTGATCTATCTGGATTAGTTCAGTTTCAGCTTCAGAGTGGCTTTACTATAGGACTAGTAAATGGTGCAGATAGCTGACTGTTAATGCGTAATTACCATAAAAGCATTCCAATTGACAACTTTTTTATTTTGTTTTGTCGCAGGAGAGGAATCCACTGCCGGATTAGAAACTGGGCAGAGGTGGGTGTGTTGCCGGTGATGCCTATTCAAATGGATTCATTTAAAATGAATCCCATTCACTTTTTTTTATTCTTTCGCATTTCTTCCCATTAAAGTTCTTTTTTTAATCAGAGGAAACTCTTTCTGTCTTCCTACTTCCAGCAACAACGAAGTAAAAACGAGTGTAGAAAAGTCAAAAAGTCCGAGTAGAAGAAGTACAAAGACTGAAAAAGAAGGTGAAGAGGGTCCATCAGTTCCAGAATCTTCGGAGAACGGACAAAGGAAGAGGCCATCGAGGCCAGGTTCTTCAACGAACGCAGCAAAAGGTAGCGTAGTTATTGCTCACAGTTTGGCTTGTACGGTGTAACCAAACAGTCGTGATATCTACCCTATTATCTTTCTTAAAAAAATTAATTAAGACCTATGAGACATTGCAATGGTATCATGACTTTTGACATTTTGGTCACCCTGTACTTTTATTGCTGAAAGTAATTTATTTATTACTGGCTTACTTTAATATTTGTCCTACTGAAATGTGACTTTAATAAATCATTTAAGCAATAATTCATTATTTTAGATGTGGGGAGGATTTCCAATTTATAATAATGTACAGAAATACATTTTAAATATGTTCATTTTTTGGGAGGACATGGATGGGCAAAATGATTGAGTTTTGCATTGTTATGTTCCTTTTGCTTCAATGTGGTCCAGCTTCATAAATACATTAATCTTGTGTAGTGTACTAGAGTTTGGGGGATGGGGGTTATAATATAATGGTCAGTTTCAAAAAGGTTTGTATAGATTACGTCCCTATACTCTTTGGGTGTGTGTAAAAATAAATAAATAAACAAACAAACAAACAAATAAATAAAAATAACCCAAAGACAGATTTATGATGCTTATACCTGCATTTTTTTTCAAATTACATTAACCCTCTTGTTTTTCCTTCTAGATAACAGTACAGGCACCAGCCCTACGCAAACAAAACGAAGGAAATCCAAATAAAACTTAAGATTGTAAACCTGTGAAGTGTAAATGTTTGTGAATTTAAATAGATTTTTTCCAAGCTACTTTTTTAGCATGAAATTGTGAATAGGAGACTGTTTTAATATTTGTCCCACTGAAATGTGACTTTAAAAAAAAAAGGAAAAATTTCTTTAAATCCTGAAACTGTTAACAAGGTAAAGACCTGCAGAATAGCCAGTAAAACTCTACCGGAATATTCTAACTGTACTGGTAATTTCTATTGCAAAGCTAAAGTAAATTGCCAGTAAATGTTTTGTCACTGTCACAGACCTTGTTAGAATGTAGTGCATTTGTTATTTTTAATTTGGTATTTACTGACTGTGTTGAAGTGAGTGTTTAAGTCTTAAGTACTGTATGTGAATATTTGTACAAGGGTCTAATAAAACCCATCTCCACTGGATAGTTTTGAGTCTAGTCCAGAATCAATTTCCAGTCAGATTAAAGTTGTCTTTCGCTTATGTTTTTACAACAACACCTCTCTCCTTTATCGTACCCCTCCCTACACCCTCTCCCTCTCACCCGCACCTTGCATATGTTAGGGTGATGGCCGAAACTGAATGGTTTGGTGGAAATCACAATCTTCTAAGAGAGAGTTTTGCCTGTGGGAGGTTTAGAAGTAGATTTGTGTCTCAGACAATGGGAGATTTGCTGCATTCGTTAAGAATGGACAATTTACTGAAGTTTCTTAAGAGGAGGAAGACTGAGCTGAAGGTGAGTACCACTCCTATCAATGATGGAATTTGCCCAATGTTCATATAAGCACGACAGAGACAAAGGGACATTGAGACTGACCTTGGAGTATTTTGATCTTTTATGGTTGAATTCAGGAAACAACAGCACTCAGTTACACTTCCTTTTAACAAGTGTACAAGCATTCAAGAGTATAATCTAGCTAATTATGACCTTGGGACACAGGGATGAATGACAGTTCACATTTTTATGCCTAAAAAAAGATACAATATAGAAACTTTCAAACTATTCCATTTGTCATACAAGAGTGCCACCTATTGCTGGGGAAAAGAAAGTTTCAAAAGCCGGGGTCTTGCTCAACAGTTGTGTGAGATGGACTGGCTGGCAGATACTTGTTGCAAACATAATATGGGTTGAAGCAGGTGGGGGACATGAAGAGGGTCAGTGTTCACTGAGTAAAGGGAAAGGTCGCAGTTTTGAGTGTGTGTGTGTGTATTATATATATATATATTTAATATATAACATTTGCTAAAGATGTTTAACATTCTCAGTGTGTCAGAAAATTCACTGAGCTTTGAAGCCATTCTCTGTTTCTGGATTTATATTTTAATATAACCACAACAATTTGCATTTATATAGCTGCCCTTTGTGAGGGGCAGTGCCTCGGAGCGCTTAATTTTATTAGATACAGCCGAGGGCTATATTTTAATATAAAAAAAGAATCCGAACAAGACAAAACCGATCTTTGCTGTGACATTTATTTATGGTGCTCTTTGGAAAATTTCTGACAATGAATACAAGCATCACTGGTATCCAGCAGTAAAGAGGCACAGATTTACACATAGATTTCTGAATATTAAGAAATGGGATACTGTACGTTACAAGTCACAATGTAAAGGCAAAACGTAGCACTAATAATCAACCTTCTTTGTATGTTGTGTTTTCTATCATGCACACAAAAGCTAACATTCAAATTGATCCAAGCATTATGGTTTTCTTTCGTATGTTTTCCGTAAGTCATTTAAGTGCGTGTCTCCGTTTCAAAGATACAGCTCCCTCCTTTCACATGTTGGGTTGGTGGAAATCTCCCAACCTAAAATACGTTGCTACAGAAGTAAAATGAGTTTCAGACATACAATATTAATGAGAGAAAACAAACATTATATGAACCAAGTTTCTTTTCGAATATCTCCTATCACAGAATACAAGCATTTAATAATGATTTGGTCACTCAATCCACGACTGTTTGTGGGACGCTGCTGTGTGCAATCGGCTGCCGTGTTTCGCCTACAAAATAGTCAATTCACTTTATATTCTGTGAAGCTCTTTGAGACGTCTCAAAGAAATAATAAGGCGCTCTATCAAATGCAAGGATATTTTTTATTTAAGCTAGCAAACCGAGTCTGTCCTAATAAAGCTCTGGTGTCTATTACTGTAATATAGGCTGGAAAGCGTTGATGCGATGTGCAGTTTTACTGTTCTAGATGCGAAATGGGCAAATATTAATACCCAGTTCTGCTCAATTAACCACAAGTCGTCAGTTCCATAAAGCGTTAAATATATTATTTTCTACATTTACCTTATAAGGGCTTTGCATGAGTTGGGATTTCCTTCACTGTTAAGTTGGGTTAAGAGTACAATCAACGCCTAACATCAGGTGGCGACAGAGACCTGGAGCAGCTGTTACTAAACCATGTACATGGACCACTGGTTATCAAATAAAATGAACATTGGACTTAGTGGGGAATCCAGAGCAGCCAAATTTGAATAGGCACCTTGCTTTTGTACATATATATATATATCAAATGCAAGGATTATTATATCAGCCCCCGTCTCTCTAAGTTGTTCTACACTCCAATAACTTCTTAAAACTCTTCTGGAAGTTATCGTCCAGAAAGGCGTAGAGGAAGGGATTCAAGCAGGAATTGGCGTAGCTCAGACTGGTGATGAAGTAGGCGATACCTATGACCAGGGATGTCTCCTGGAGGTCTGTGGTCAGAGCCACGATGGTGGTCAGGTGGAAGGGAGTCCAGCAGAAAAGGCACACGGCCAGCACCACAAAGACCATCAGAGTCACTTTCTTCTTCGCCTTGTCCAGGGCTTTGGCATTGGAATTCAGCCGCATGTTCCTGAGCCTGTAGAGCATCCTGGTGTACAGGACGCAGATGGTGGAGACCGGGATGGCGAAGCCCAGGATCAGAGTGTAGATCCTGCTGGCTTTCAACCAGGCGCGCTCGGGCTTGGGGAACACCAGGACGCAGCTCTTCCTGTTCAAACTGTCGGTGTAGACCTCGGCGAAGACGGTGAAGGGCAACACGATGAGGAAGACCAGGAGCCACACGCACAGGCTGACGATCTGGGCCGCCCTGTAGGTGCGATGGGGCAGCTTCCTGGAGCGCACGGTGGCCAAGACCACCAGGTAACGGTCCACGCTCATCACGGTCAGGAAGTAGATGCTGGAGAAGATGTTGTAGTGGTCGATGGACAGAATCAGTTTGCACATGAGTTCCCCGAACGGCCAGTGGTGCAGCAGGTGGTCGGCTATGTTGATGGGCAGGACCAGGGTGAACAGGTCGTCGGCGATGGCCAGGTTGAGGATGAAGGTGTTGGTCACCGTCTTCATTTTGGGGGCTTTGAGGATCACGTAGATGACGGCCGTGTTGCCGGTCAGACCGGCGGCGCAAATCACCGAGTAGATGACCGGAAGGACGACGTAGAAATCCGGGAAGTGCTCCGGCAGCGTGAAGTTAGCCCCCGTGCCATTGGGAAAGCCACAGAGGTCCTGGGGCCCGGGGCAGGACTCAGAGCCATTGGGGTCCATGGTGACGGGGTGGGGGTGGGGGGGGGGGTGTAGTCTCCGGGGGGGGGGGGGGGGGGGGATGGGGGGGAGTGTCGGTATCTGCCCCTGAAATACAGGAAACCAATCAAACACCTGAACACCACCACAAACCCACAGACCCTCACGGGCACTGCCTCTGGTTTCGGTGTGAGAGCGCTCTGCCCCCGGGGCCGAGGGCCGGTGTTCCCGGAGGATTTCTGGCCCAAACGTACCCGGTGTTGGGGTTCAATCCGAGATGATGGACGGGATCCGCGGCTTCTGCTGCACGAACTCCAGGTCCATCCCCGTGGGAACACCGCCGGTGCCGGAACGCGGGGAGAGAGGGGCAGAGCTCTCCCCGGGAGGGCTTTGGCAACTCCCCATCTCCCCGGTGCCAAAAGGCTCTCAGAGAGAAGGTAAGTCGGTCGGTCGGTCCTTTGGTAGATCGGTCGATACCTTTTCTGTCCGTTTACGACTTCATCTTAAATGAAATATTATTTCACCTTTAGGAACGGAAAACACAGACCATTACGGTTTCCATTATAACTCCTTTTTTTGTTATGTATATATATATATATACACACACACACACACACACTCGCCCTTAAAAACAAATCCAAGTTTCTGTATCAGTTACTTTATTTAACACAAGTTTGTGTCTAATTTGTGTTCACATCACCTTCGCCACTGAAACCGGACCCGACAGTCACAGCAAATAAAACCCCACACCATTCAGTGCTGAACAGCCACCGCTCTTCATAGCAAAACATTCGAGTTATTTTTCAGGACTCCCCACTCCCGGAGTTACTACTCACTGTGCGATCTGTGGAGAGGAAAAGAAAAGGCAGAGAACTAACTCACCAGAGATGCCATCGTTTAGCGAAGAGACGGCACTGGTTCTTCGGCGGTCGAGTAAGTAATTCACAATCACATCATAAGTGAGTAATGACAATTAAGTATTTCTACTCAGAGGTATGTGGAGCTGTGGAGCTGTTCGGACCACAGGTGTGAGCTGTCCCGAAGGCAGTTCTTTCTGCTGAAGCTCAAGTGCGTGTATTACCTTCTCCTGAACCTCTCTCAAACTGCGTCTAAAGAAAGGGCTGCGCTCTCAGTCACACCGACTGACGTCTGACTCCCATTGGATTTCACTGAACACCTCATCCTCTCCCCCCCCCCACCCCCCCCTCTCCTTAAACCACTTTCCTTCACCTCCCACTACCCCCCACACACACACACACACACAACCAACTGGAGTTACAGGCATCCACTGCAAGAACATTGGTGCATTGGTGTAAGAAACGAAGTGTGTTTAAAATACTGTACATCTTAATGTATTTTTTTTGCTCGCCAAGTCAGAATCAGATGACATGTTTATTCAAGAGAAGCAAAGCAAAAAAAAAAAGGGACCATTGCACCTCTGATACTTTGCTTTGCAGGAGGTGCGCTGTGTCCAGCGATGACATGTTTGAAGCTGTTTTGAGCAGCTGCTGTAAGTGTGGTTTGTGCGGATGGCTTAGGAGACTTCGGGGAAGTAATAATAATAATAATCCTTGCATTTGATATAGCGCTTTTCACGTCGGGAGGACCTCCCAAAGCGCTTCACAGAACACACTGCAAAGCGAATTGACTGTATATTTGTGGGCGAACGCGGCAGCCAATTGCGCACAGCGATGTCCCACAAACAGTGGTAGATTGAAAATGACCAATTTATTATTATTATAAGTAGAATGGACAGTGATACTATTTCTGATTTGCGCCCAAAACGAATCGCATTATCTTACCCGAACATTTCCCATTGCTCAGTTTCGCGAAAAGCATCGGAAAGCCATCCGATTGAGACGCTATGAGATACAACGTTATAAGAGGTCTTGATGTGGTGAGTGAGGGCACAGAGCAATTTGGGACTGAGATAAACTAAGCAGTGAGACGCTACAGTGTCATTGAAAACGTGCACCTGATCATCCTGGAGAGATTGGGCATTAGGATAGGTCCTATGAAAGGTTTTGCTCTGATGGGTCAAACAGTCGTGACTTGTTCCTAAAGCAGGACCCATCCTATTGTTGTGCATTAGTTTAGTTGGAATTAATTTCACCGTAAAATAGTGGTGTCCTATAGCTCAGTGGTTAGAGCACTTGCACTCAGGATCAATTCCCGGGCAGGGCGAAACGTTGGGCAAGATTCCTAAATCCGCACGCCTCTGTTCACCTATCAGTAAGTAGGATCCCGGCTGTTAGTCGATTGGTAGATCACGTTTCAGGAGGTAATAACCCCTTAAAAATAATAATAGTGATAATTTGTCAATCAATCTACGTCTGTTTGTGGGACGCTGCTGTGCACAATCGGCTGCCACGTGTCACCCACAAAATGCAGTCAATTCACTTTGCAGTATATTCTGCAAAGCGCTTTGAGACGTCTTGAAGACATGATAAGGCGCTATATCAAATGCAGCTATCATTATTATATTATATATCCCACCATCCTGTTTGATTTTTTTCAAATTGTTACTCCACAGTTGGCATTGAAAGTAATGATTCTATCACCCTTCCCAGATGCCTTTTTACCTCACCCTCTGCCAATTCTATCCAATTAGTTATATGCTTGTGATGCACATTTCTCACTGTGGTGAGATAGTTTACATTCATCAATGTTAAATTGAATTTGCCACTTGTCCCCTCAATTGCCTAGCAGATTTCAAACCACCTGTCACTCTTTTGCTCAGTCTCTAACTGCTGCCTATTTCAGTGTCATCAGTATATTTGATGAGTTTCCATTTAGTACTGATATCTCAGTCATTAATGTAGATTAGGAACAGCAGGGATCTAAGCACTACCCAAGGAAATTCCAATGAGTATTGGCACCCACCTCCCACTCAAACACTATTCCTTTCAGTTTCCTATTTTTTCAATCAACTTCTTATCCAATTGTCTCTTCTATCTTAGGTTCCTGTGGCTTTTAGTTTAATTAGAACTCTTTCGGGTGGACTTCATCAAAAGCTTTCTTGAAGATCAAATACCGTCTATCACTGTCAGTTTCTAATAACTATTTTACAACATCCTTAAAGTCAAAGACATTTGTCAAGCAGGATCTTTGCAGCCTGCTATTGCTGAACAAGTACTCTTACTGACAACTCTTTTTCAACATTGTCCATTATATTAGCTGCTATTGATGGTAGGTTGATGAACTTGTGGGCATTTGGGTCAGATTTGGCAGTCCCTCCACCTCGCGCCCTCCTATGCCTCCTTCAAGACCCATCTCATAACCCTCCTCCTCGATCGTGCTTTCGATCACTCTCCTCTCCCCCCGCACTGCCCTCCACCCTCCCCAATCCCAGCTCGGGTCCGAATCACTGAATGTCCAGCACCTTGGGACGTCCTCCCGACGTGAAAGGTGCTGTACAAATGCAATTTTGTTGTTGTTGTTGTTTGACTTATTTATAAGATCAAGAGTTTGGATTTTCAAACCTATATCACATGGAGGGTATTTCTTTCACTGACTCAAGAACAGTTCAAGTTGAAAGCAGTAAATCATTGTTGACAATTGAGCCTTATAACCAGTACCTTTTGTTTTACATTTAGGATATTCTCTTGCATGGCATTTTAGTCTTCTCTTCAATATTCCAGGTAAAGCAGTATGTTTGGATGTTGAAAGTCTCCTTTAATTTGATCCATCTCTTTGTTCAAATGTATTTTAGTCACTCAAATTCAAATTCTGCGCTTTGTTTTACACATATGCTGACAATAAAGTGGGACAAAGCAGTACCAATTAACATTTAATTACTGAAGTTTTTATGCAGCTTAATTAAAGCAATGGCAAGCAGCTATTTCACTGTGAAAAAGATAGATGACTCAGTAATTCCATTTAAGAAAGAGAATGCTGTTTTTTGGAAAACAATTAAGTCTGGATTGTTGAGCAATTTAAACTGTAAACTGTGACATATACATTTATAAAGAATCCCAAATAGTCATTAGGACATTTCAGAAGGAATGCCATTTGTAAATGTCATGTTATTAAAGTATAATTAGAAAATGAAAGGCCACCGAGTAATTTATGGTCATGAAGTTCAGGTCCTCACAGCTAGAACCGCAGTGAACTCCAAGCGTAAAACACAAAGATATTTCTAGTAGCACATTTCATTTGTAGATGTATTAAATGGGCTTGAACAACATTAATTATCCATTTGGAGCCCAGGTAGGTTGCATTATAACAAGGTACTTATTATACGATTAAGCGACATTACTGAGATGATATAACAGTCATTGGCAACGTGTAATTGGAGTACATTTTGAATACTTAGAAATCTTCAGATAAGTGTGTAGCGTTACCAAGAAGCCAAATGGTTGGAAACGGCTCCACGACTCATGCTAATATAATGTACTGGAAGGGAAAGTAATCACAGCATCATTGGAGAAATGCAGATCCCTTGTCCTCTGGCACACATTGCCCATAAAAACACACGGTCACTCCACTTTACAGTATATCCTGTGAAGTGCTTTGAGATATCCTCTCAACATGAAAGGCTCTGTACCAAATGTAAGGATAATTATCGATTGTGGAGGCGGAGGTGGGGTGGGCGAAATAGCACAGAGCTCCATATATGAATCAGAGATTTTGATTGGTAAAAGTTTGCAATGCAAACAAATCAATTCATCTGACATAAAATCACCGAAATAATATACTACATGAATGGCAGCAACTGGGAAGAGGAAAATACTACTGCTAATAATCCTTGCATTTGATATAGCACCTTATCACATTTTCGAGACGTCTCAAAGGGCTTCACAGAATATACTGTAAAGTGAATTGACTGTATATTTTTGTGGGCAGCCAATTGTGCCCAGCAGTGTCCCACAAACAGGAGTGGATTGAGTGATCAGAATAGATGGCGTGTGAAAGGGAAATGCACTCACTCTGTAAAACTAGGTGGCAGTAGATGAATAGGAGAATTTGAATAGCAAAACTCATGAAAAACATAGAAGGAGAAATCCCTCAAATGCAAAACAGCATCTCAGCATTTCATTCATCCTTCATTTTGGACATGATATATTGATGCCTAATAATGTTGTCTCAATATTCATTCCTGCGGGAGTGATTAGCTATTTGGGAAACAAACTAAGCAGTGTTTCTCAGTATATATTATCTATAAAGCTATAAGGCACTGAGTGCCAGGATTTTGATTCATGGAAATGTATCTGGTAGAGACATGGTGCATCTGCTATGTTAAAACGTGATTAACAAAACTTATTTATTCGTGAAAGTTTCACAAAAGAGATCAGTCTGAATACTCTGGTCCAGTCCTGGGCTAAACATGTGCAAGAGGATTTATGGTTAGGTTTTATTAAATGTTTACCGCTAGTGTTCAATTGCCCCATTTCCTCACGATGGAAAACAAGATACAGTTATAAAGTATTTACAGAGCCCCTCACGCAGGATAGGGGGCTCTACATAAATGCGCTTCACAGTGATGAAGCCGGATGCGGAGGAAGGAGGTAACCGTAAGCACAGTCGAAGAGGAAAGTCGTCAGTAGTGATCTATTTAATACACGAATGGCTGATAATTTACATTTCATATAATATTATTCATAGTCTTATAGATTATAGATTCATATTCTCAAATGCAGATTGCTCTTGACTTTCTAATTCCTTTTACAATAAGAAAGGCTGATAAAACAGAATGGCACTAACCCTTTTGACTGTTGGTAAATCAAACATCAGCAAAGTTAACCTCTTGATCGTATCGTATCAGGTGCCTGGCTCAGTTGGTAGGATTCCCGACTACGAATCCAATAGTTCAAATGTTCAGGCAGACGTTAAAGATGCCTTGGTGTGATTCAACAACAACAACTGGCATTTGCATGGCGTTTATACATGCATTTATTATACTCTCACGCTGGAGAGCATCCCAGATTGCTTCACAGTGGCAGACGCAAAAGAGAAAATTGGTCATTCATTCCATGGTGGTTTGTGGGACATTGCTGAGCGCAAATTGGTTGCTACGTTCACCATAAATACACAGTCTCTAACTTTTACAGTAAATGCTGTAAAGAGCTTTGAGACGTCTTGACAAAACTTTATCGAATACAAGGATTATTATGATCCTATTACTGTACTGCTCCTGCTGACCAGCATGTGATGGGGAATGGCGCTATGCCTCAAGCAAAGAGCTCCTACTAATTGCCTGGCCATTACAACTGATGACTCCAATCTGTCTCTCCATTAAATTTGTAATAAAAACAATATTATTCTATTGAGAGCAATAAACCATTATATTCAAACGTAACATTAAAGTTTCATTTGCCTAAATTGTCATTTATACATTAGTCTACCACATCCAAGCTATTTCACTGTAAAGTTTGAGGATATTATTATTATTTAACTTTGATTAACTTTAGGGAGAGGAGTTAAGACTTAGTTTTAATATTTCAACACAATTAAAAGAATGTTACATTTGCATTTTTCTGTTTCCAGATCCTTTTAAAATGTTTCATATTGGACCAAACTTGGGGAATAAACTAATTTTCCCAACAAAATGCTTTATGTTTGCTCAATAATAATTTGTTTTATAATCTAATTCGTAACAACATAGTGTAGCTTTAAATATAAATGAAATCCAATGGGTTCATTTAATATAATACATCTTTCATTAGCTTTCAGTATCAGTCATTAACCACAGCATCATAACATCAAGCAAGTGTCTTTCGCATACAAAACTATTTAGATTATTTTAATTTGATGGCAATAGTCTAGATTGCCAACGGAAAGAAAATATGTAAGAAGCATATTTATTATCCATGTCACTTGGCTCTGGAATTGATGTGATACTCTCGACTTGAATTAGTCGTAAACTTGAAACGAACCCTCGGCCATTCACAATGTCACAATGTGATTGAAGAAAATTCTTATGATAAACTGAAATGAATATTCATAACCACTGTGAAGAAGCACGCCAATTAGCGCTAGTCTAAAATGATGCCTGTTTCTTATAGATGCTTTCCATTTGGTGAGTGGGTGATAACCATTAATGATTCCTGAAAGCTCACTGCGACCATGCACACATAACTCTCTGTGACTGCAATTGAATCAGCTGTTTTGTGTGGCATAAAAGAATGTCATTTAACGAAAGATTTGGTGGATGCGTACACGAGGGAGCAGGGAACAGAGTTGTATGTGCGTGGCGATAGGGAGAAGGGAGGTCCACTGGTGACAGACACCAAGTCAACTGATCAAGTGGCCATTCTTCACGTGTGAGGTTGGCAGTGAGTGCCATGCACTACTCAGTCCTGACCCAGGATCCACAAAATCCACCTGCAGCAGTGATCAGGGCTTGGCAATCAAGAGCAGGGAGACCCTGGCTGATATTGCTCTCCTCAGCCGAGGTTTAGTTGCACATCTATTGCAGCTCACTTACAGCGTCTTTAATGTTAAACAGCGTCAAAGAGCTTTACGCCAATTCACATAGTCGAGCTGACATTCCAATGCAGTGCTGGGCATGTGTTGCGTTGTTGAAGGTGTCGTCCTTTGGATGAGACATAAAACCAAGGTCCCGTCTGTCTGTTCAGGTGGATGTTAAAGATGGCGTGGCACTTTTCGAAAAGAGACAGGAGTTTCTCCCGGTATCTTGACCAACAATCCCCCAAATAAAATTGGACATTCACTCCTTGGGTGTTTGTGGAACATTGCTGTGCATAATTAGGCTGCTGTGTTCGCCTACAAATACACAGTCACTCCACTTCACAGTAAATCCTGTGAAGCGCTTTGGCAGGTCCTCCCAACGAGAAAGGGTGCTACACTAAATGCAATGAGTATTATTTATTGTTTAGCTGCAGAATTCAATGTTTTACACCAAATGGTCTGTCTAACCATCTCTGCTCAGCAGCCTGGGAGAATTATGTGCTACAAATAGCAATGAGCAACAGATTGTTTTCCTGGTACTTGCTTATCTCCTGAATGATCCAAAGTTTTCACAGTCTTCAGTTGAGATAAATGTGCAAAATATGCAATTGTGTTGCAGAGAGTGTGTTTTCTAGTTATGTAGCTGGCCTGAAGATTTATTACTCGTAAGACTTGTGCTGTATAATTTAAGAGAAATGTAGCATCAAGTCCTTGTAAATCATCTTCTCTGCTGAATTAAGATTACGTGGCACTGTCAGCAGGTCGTTCCACTGCCCAATCCTATTCTCTGAGACATCTGCTCACAAGGTCTTTGAGGCAAATTTGTAGGGCAGCAATTGTTGCCCTGAGATCAGACAGCTCAGAACAGAACAGAAATTGAACAGACAACTTTCTGATTCGTTTGGCATAGTGATGTCAAGGAAGTATAAAAAGAGATGCAAGGGTTGTTTATGGTATTGGATTGTTGGAAACAGAGAATATAAAGGAGTTACTTAATACACCAGTCTTGGGGTTGAGAATCATTATAATTTTCACCCAAGTTTATGAAAACAATATGATTAGCATTGAAATCTGCCATTGAAATAGTCTTCTGCCAAAAAATGATGAAGCAAACTAAAATAAATGGAGGTGGAATTAGGAATAATATGGCGAAAAGATGTTTCTTTAACTGATCGGGCATAAGAGTTTGTGCAAAGAGTTCAGCAGACAATTACACTGACTGTGATTTGAATCACATTGAAAATCACGAGTCTGGAAATTATCAGTTTATTAGCTTAACATCTCCAGTGAAGAAGATATTGGAGTGTGATATAATGAAAATAAATCAAGAGAGCCTTGCAACAAAAATAAGGGCAATAAATCTAAACCAACAGGAGTACAGCAAATTGGGTCGTCTCAAGTAAATTTATTGGAATTCTTTGAGAAGTGACAGAGTTGTGTCAGGCTGATGGATCTCATATAGCTCGAATTTCAGGAAAAAATTGACAGGAAGATGAATTGCTTAAGTGAAAGGTTATGGAATCTGGGCTGAAGTTACAAATTGAACTACTAATTGACCTGATCAGGGGAAGCTGCGAGTAATTCTTAATTATAATGGTTCTAATTGGGAAGCTGTGACTAGTAGTTTCCTAAGGTTTGATCCTGCTGTTCATAGTGGTTAGTAATTACTTTGACAAAGGCAAGTTGAATATCTGAACCTGCTCCTGATGTGGAAGTAAGTTTGACCCGAGAAGGCAGACATACTGTCAAGAGAGTTCCAGCCATTTAGGGATTGGGAAGATTACTGCTGAGAAATGTGAGGTATGGTGTATATCAGTGTAACTAATTTGATGACATGATACAAGGCAGATTGTAAAACAAATGCAGTCGGCAGTTCTTGCTCTTGATACATTAAGTGGCATAACCCTTGGAGGTAGGGAGAAACTGGAGGCAATTATAACGAGGACAAATGTCTCATGAATTTGACCTTAATGGCTGCTGAAAGCCCAGATAGACATGAAGAAATTGCACTGAGATACCCAATAGGCAAATCATAGATTTTCTGTAGTTTGATGCACTCCCTGACAGCTTTGGTTCTGCAAGTGATACTTCAAATCCACACTTGAACTTTGGCGTTGAGTTCCAGACAACAGATGTATTTGGGATAGAGTTCCAAGGTAACGGTTCACGTCTGGAAACCCATAATAAAAATAATAATTGCATTTGATATAATGTCTTATCGCATCACGCCATTGAGACATATGTCTCAAAGCGCTTCACAGAATATACTGTAAAGTGGAGAGACTTTTATTACATTTTATTGCATGCTCATGTTTACAGTTGATATGATGGCTCTTTCGTGGTATTCTTGTCAAGAATCTGTCTCAATTCTTACCTGAGAAACTATCTCGTATTGGTTTGTGATTGCGGATCCCACACTTAGCTCTCTGCTCTAATTCTAGATTAGCAATTGACAAGGCTAGGGAATGCGTTACGCCTTACTGGTGGGACAGAATAGTTTTGCTCTGCAGTTGGCTTAGGCGCTACCTGTTCCACAAATGGCTGATGCTTAAAAGTGGTAAAAGTGTTCTCAGCACTGATATTTCTACTTTCTGGTAAGCAATCCAGAAAAATCACTGCAACAAACATTGTTACAAAACTCTGAAGGAAATCACTGCAAAAATATTTAAAAATGTTATATATAATAATAATCCTTGCATTTGATATAGCGCCTTATTACGTCATTGCGATGTCTCAAAGCGCTTCACGGAATATACTGTAAAGTGAATGGACCGTATATTTTATGAGCAAAATGCGGCAGCCAGTTTTTATGCAAGATAGTTTCTGTAAGCGTGGCTCAAATTTCTATTTAAAATCTTTCTGTCTTTGTGTGCACAAGAGACCTACAGCGTTGAAGATGAATGATCAGTTTTGACCCCCAGTGTAATGAATCAAGCTCAAGGCTCTACACTTCATTACATGCTCCACTATTTCACTTGTT